AGCTGCACTTCACCGTTACTCTGTGGTGAGGAAAACAAGGGGGAGGAAGAAAAGGGAAGAAGGGTGAAAAACAGAAAGCCGGCTCCTCATCGCGGTGCTTCCAGGCTTACATGTAAATTAAAATGCAATTAAAAACTGGCAAATAAGCTGTTCCCCGGAGATGGGGAGGGGCGGAGGGAGGGGAGAAAAGCGAGGGAAGGGCTCTCAGGATAAGGGCCTGCGTCACTCATCATTAGCATGGCATTAGACTGAAGGGAGCTAAATCTGAGCACTGGGTCACAAGCACATTTAGAGGAGCTGTGGCTGCTACTGCAAGGTCTCCATGTCGATGAAAATAGCCACCCCATCCGGTGCGGAGGGAATTGCTTCTGCCTCGAACAGGCAGAAATCCAAACAATTATTCAGTGGATTATTCATCTTTTGTCCTCTGAGGCGTGCCATTGTGTGCTCACTATTGTGCTTTTCCTGCACAAAACCACGGACTATCCACCGTTGATGGCAGTGAATGAATAATTTCCACGTACAGTGGCACAGACGTGCCCCCGCGGTCCGGCCCTGCAGGCCGCCCCCCCCCCCCCCCCCCTCGCTGCGGCCCAGTGGCCACATCCACGAGTCGCGCATTCAGCCGCATTCTGCCAGAATTCCACTGCACCTCCTCCTTCCTTCCTCCGCCCCTGATCTCGGCCCTCACCCCCCGACCGCCACCCTTGAAGCCGTGTAGGCCCCCACCCCCCTTCCTCTTCTCGCTCTCCCGTGCTCCTTGCATCCCCCCCCCCTCCCTTCTCTCCAACCTCCTGCACAGGCTCCCGGGTAGGATCAATGGGGGAAGCTTATGTTGGTGGTGGTGGGGAGCGAGGGGGGGGTGAACCCCACACGACGGCAGCCGTGCAGGCAAGTAGGCGGTGGGGGGAGGGGGGGGGGAGAGGCGGGGGAGCCCACCCTGGCAGAGGAGCACCCCTCTCTGTAGACCTGTCGCCTCGGTACAACAATGGCCGTGACAATGACACTGGAGGAGGAATTTCCGCTGCCCCCCCCCCCCTCCCCACCACCCACACCCCATCTTCCTAGTGCATTAAAATCTGCAGCACCAAGATGAATGGCTTCCTAATAGCTTTCATTTGTTACAATTATCATAATTAAGCACATGTCAGGGGCGGACAAGGGGAGTGGGAAATTTCACCTAAAGCAGAAAGGGATAGTTGTTGCTACAGCGTAATTAGCTTGAACATCATACAGCATATTTGCATCATCGGGCTTCTGCTGCGGTTATTCAGTCAGTGAGGTTTCAGGAATCAGGAAACATTTATTACCAAAATATGTCAAACATACAAGGAATCTGTTGTGTGTTCAGCAACAGTGTGAACCTTAATTCTTCCGTCTTCTTGCCGTTTGTGTGCGCGTTTCCCCGGTGTGTCCTTCCTACTTCAGCCTGTTTGACAGTGGAGCTTAATTACCGCCTGCTGAGCGCCGCCAGAATGGCTGTAGGGCCCTCTCAACATTTTTGCAACACCCCCTTCATTCGCCTCCTCTAAAACCCCGTCCTTGCATTCTGTCCCTTAAACCGAGTCTTTTCTTCCCTGCAGTCGCCGTGGAGGAATGAATCGGATGGCCGACGCAGAGGACTTTCTCTCTTCCTTCTCTTCTTTCGGCTCCTTTTTTTTTTTTTTTGTCCCTCTCTTTCCTTTTCCCACCACACCTTTTTTTTGTTGTTTTCCTTCCCTCCTTTCCCTCTGCAACATTCACTCCTTTCCCAGCGCCCCCCCTTCCTTTCCCTCCTCCACCTCTCTCCATTCCCTCAGTTGGCACTCTTGGCACCGTGGGTGATTGGGTGCCAAGGGGGGGGGAGAGGGAAGGGGGGGGGGGGGGAGAGGCCCCCTGGCTTCCCCTTGAGCCACCATTTTGTGGATTTCTTCTCGAGCGAGCCAGCTGTGTGTGTGTGTGTGTGTGTGTGCGCGCGCAAGAGCGAGAACGAGAATGGCGAAATAATTGTTGTGTTTTTGCAATGGTAAAAAAAAAAAAAAAAAAAGGTCACAAGGCTGAGGTGCTCGTGGTTCCTGCTGAGACCGGTTCAGGGATCAGGACTCAACCTGACCCCGGCCCTCTTACGGGCACAATTACACCCCCATAAAAACACCCCTCAAACGTTCTGACGGGCCCACCGTTTCCTCTCATTTGCTGTGTAGAATTCACCATTAGAAGGACACCCTTAAGGTGTCTGACTTTAACATACGTGTATTTCCTCCTGCGTTGTTTCAAGGAAACACTTCCTCTCTGATGTGAAGAACTGACACGAACCGAAATGAAAGGAAACCATTTGTTTGAAGAGTCAGGAGATGAGAAACAGACCGGCTGACCCTGAGTCGTCCTCGTGTTTGTGATAACAGCTCATTTTGACCTTGAGGGTGTAGCAAGGACAAAATAAAAAACGAAAGTTATTTTTGCTTTTTTCAAGAGTTTTTTGGCAAAAAAAAAAAAAAGTTGACAAATTCCAATAAGTTTACAGCAAGGAGCAAGTCACTAAGTAGCCCGAATATCTGTGTTACTCATCTACTGCCAATCTCACACCGCTGATAACTGAATACAAAACGGGGAGACGAACATCCAAAGCTTGAATTTCAGAATGAGTCTTTTTTAACAACCATTTCAAATCACCTGATCGCCACGGATCCACGTTGATCGGCACCCTGGTCATTTATTTTCTGACTATTTATTTGCGTCGGCATTTATTTCCAGGTAGTTGAAGTGCGAAAAAATGTGGGTTTGTTTCCTGTCAGCAGCCGTTTTCAACACCTTGAATGTCAAAGTCGCAGGTGACAAGTGCAAAAAGGGACACGTGGTAACCCGAGCGCATTCCTAAGAGTGCGTGCCGACCTGGGATTACCAACACTGTAAATATTCCTATTTCTAAAGAGGAAAATGAGATTATATTGAAGAGGTCTCATGGTGCTTCACTTTCCAAGATGATCCGTCGTTAAAGCTCCGGTGAGAATGGATCTCTGTGAAGACGCACAACTCGTCGGCGAACCAATATAAGAAGAAGAAGAAATAAAACCCTTTTAAAGAACGAAAGGTTTCCAAGTCCTCCAACCGTCACACATTATCTCTGTGAATTAACAAGTAATCAGTGGTGTTGCTGAGGCGGTTCCACTTTAGTCCTGTCAGGTGACCGAAGCGCATTCTTCTGAAGTCCTTCGATTTATTTTGTTGTTGTAAGATCAACCAAATATATTTATATCACATCGAGCTGTGATCAGATCAGAGGCTCCGACGGGCTGAGCCGTGGGATCTTCTAAATGAGCATCTATTTCTTGACGCAGACTCCGTGTGCGTCATTCCCTTCGGCGCGAACGCAAAATGAAACATAATTTGTATTTTGGGCACCTGGTGAACAAACAGAGCTGACCAGAGGACACCTCCCATCACCAGGATCTCCTGTACAATGATCTCCTGTATATCAGATCATTTGGGGCGTGCATTTCGATTCGTTGAGATCTGCACAAAGACCAACAAAAAGAAACGATCGAGGAAACATCAGCTCCTCCGAGCCATCTCATTAAGATCTCGTTTGTTTGTCACAAACTTAAATTCTCTCTCTCTCTCTCTCTCTCTCTCGCTCTCTCTTTCTCTCTGCGCGTCTCTCTCTCCCCCTTTCATGCTGTTGCTAGGGAAGCAGGGCGTATGCGCTCCCTGGCCGCGGCTGAAGGGCAAAGGAAAAACGCCGGAATTAGGCGAAAATACACAGTTTTAATCGAGCCAGTGTCCTACGTTTGAGTCTTGACCCCCTCCTGCGCCAATTTCAAGAGAGAAACGCGGGAATTAGTGAGCGTAAAATGCCATATATTGGCGCTTTTTCTCTATTGCCTTATATGGCAGGGCAGAGATATATCGTGCCTGTATTTAATAGGCTGGCCGCTGCCGCTCTGCTTGGAGGTTTAACCCTTGTGCTGCTGAATTATTTTTGGAGCACACGAAGCATCGGGGGGTTTTTTTTCTTCTTTTTTATTAGCTTGTTCGAATCTCTTTGGTCAAGATCCATGAAACAAATTCAAACCGGTGACGCGCGTTTGAAGGATAATGGTGCAGGGCGTATCTCTAAAATTACGCATAAGAACAGGCGGTTCGGTGCACGAACGCGCGGTTTCTCTCATGGTTCCAATTAAGTCCCCATAAATCCGATGACTTAATGTTGCTGACATTTACAACACTCAGTACATACTCACCGGCGATGTGGTTTATGCATGTGGATTTAAATTGTCAAGGTGCAGATGGACAACCAACCGATAATCGGCAGTGGGACTGATGTTTGGATAGAAACAAGCTGAGCTTTCTGCCGCCAATAGAAAGTTGCCACAGGTAGGCGGATGGCTGCACAGCAACCCTCTACTGTGTGTCAAATTGATGTCAGTCGAGCCCAGAGGACATGGCACTGGTTCGACGATGAGTTTGCGTGACCTATATTCGCAGGGCGCTGTCAGCAAATCGAAGTGCAAGCCGCCGTTTGCACAACTGTGCTGCTTCAATGGGGGGTTGCAAATAAAAAAAAGGGGAACTTGTCCTTCATCGGTGACTCGGTTTGGAGAGAAAAACACGTTGTGATGACTCACTGCTGTCACCTCCAAGGCTTTGCATGCAATAAAATGCCTTTATGTGGATTTTAATTCACACCATTGGTTAACATCTGCACATCCGACGCACTTGAATAACACTCAACCACCCAAAGCACTTTTCCCAATCGTGAATAGTGTATCAGCTGTTGGAGCATGCCTTACTATCCAAACAATCAATACAACTGCACGAGTAGCTTTGATGCATCAGTGCCGTAACGGAGAGGTGGGGATTGATTTGAATGTCCAAATATCCCTCCCGCAGTCCAGCACGCACGGGATAAAACCCCAACCTCTGAGCAAGGTCTCTTCCTCCCCCTCCCCTCCTGACGTCATGCATCGGGCTCAAGCTATTGCACGAAAAGAGCTGCTCGCAGCCGCACTGTGAATATTTTGTACGCTCGTAGCCAGTGACTGTGGAGTGTGCAAAGGAGAGAGAGCGAGAGGGAGGGGGAGAGCGAGAGGGAGAGAGAGAGAGACAGAGCGGGAGCGAGAGAGAGAAGGAGAGGTGGAGGGAATACAGTTGAATTTGGAAACAACTGGAAAACTACCAAGCGCGCACAGCACCGCACCGATCCGACGGCGCATCGACGGTGCGCGGCCAACACATTTCACCGACTTTCCTCCCCCCCGTCCCCCCCGCCGCCCGCGATCGGATTCAGGCGAGAATGGAGCTCCCCGCCGCCGGAGAGCACGTCTTTGCGGTGGAGGGCATCGAAAAGAAGCGCATCCGCAAGGTAAGAGAGGGAAGCGCGTTTGCAGACGTTGAAATGTTGCGCGAAACGACTGGAGCCTCACCAGATTCTTCCTCCCCCCCCATCACAGGGAAAGATCGAGTACCTGGTCAAGTGGCGAGGCTGGTCTCCCAAGTAAGTCTTACTGCAATCATCATCACGTGCAATGCCTCCGCTGTAATAAAGACGAATGGGTCATTTTTGCATCCAAATCAAGTGTTGTCGCTTAAAAATGCCATTCAACAAGGGCGTGCGCGCACAAAGTGTGTGTGTGTGCGTGCGCGCGGCGCGGTCGGTATGTGTATCCACGGATGCCTTCACTAATTTATGCGAGGGAGGGGGGGGTAGGCACAGCCATGTAATCCCGTTTTAATTATTTCTGCTCTGCCAGCGAATTTACGAGACAGTGGTGCTAAGATGGCCGACTGTACGTCGGTGCCGGAGGACCGTTTGGCGAGCAGATACAGACGAATACAATCCGTCTTTGACGCGTTTGCTTCTGCGCGGTCGCACGTCCGCGTGGTTGGCGCCGGCCGTTGCAGGAATGCGACTAATCTCCGTTGCGGTCTTTAATTAAAATCCGCACCTTTTATTTTTATTTTTATTTTTTTGATGTCTCACCTGTCGACTGACTGAAACCGACGAGCTGAACAGTCGTCGCGAAGACGTGGGAACCGTGCGCGCGGCGGACTGACCGTGAGGGCCCGCGTGTCAGCTCGGTGGGGGGGGCGGGAGAGGGGGGGGGGGTTGTTTCTACGTGACAGCTCGCTGACAGTTGCTCTCTCTCCTCCCGACAGATACAACACATGGGAACCGGAGGAAAACATCCTCGACCCGCGCCTCCTCGTCGCCTTTCAACACAGGTGAGAGATGTGGACTTAGGACGGGCCAGTTCAGTCACGGCCATATATGGGCATGGGAGGAGGGGCGCTCCAGTAACTCTAGTACTGACCCCCACTCCCACCCACCAACCCCAACCCCTCCCTCCCCATTCCTCCCCAGGTCTCCCAGGGGAAAGGTTGGGGATGTGGTGGTAAAAAACAGTCCTGAATCATACTGGTAGGGAAGTCACGTGTGCATGGATGTAGACGTAAATTGTAGCGTATTATCAATTCGTTACGTGATTTTGCATCAGGAAGCGGAGGGCCCAACGTGCCAAGTAGCTCCTTTGTTTTTGCTAGTAGGGGCACAATGGACCAATGGAAAAGCGACGCTCCGCATGTGGATTACACTACAGATATTTGGCTATAATTGCATTTTCACTTGTTTGCGAGTGTGGGGTTTAAGCAGGGCAGGTGCTGAATCAGCAGCTGCACCACAGAGCCCCACTGTTTTCATTCAGGGCGCAAGACACAAGTGCAGCGGTTTGTTGTGGTTGTCATGTGAGGGGGGGGCCGAGCTGCTGCCTGGTGGGATTCTCATCACTGCTCCTGGCGGACTCCATGGCGCTTTCCATCCCAATCAAAACCGTCTGCTAGCATTGAGGCATCGCCTGCAAAACGCTTTCAATCGTGGGTCAAGAGTAGGCTTAATGGAGGCCCGCAGGTAAGCGGAAACATGTCAACGTCAATCTCAGAGGTTGAGATGTCAAGGAATACAAATGCTGCTGTCATTTTAGCCTTGTGGCACGTGCACAACAGCGTCTTGTCTGGGTTGCTGGACTCACGAGGCCACCGGGTAAAGACACGATGGCTCACGAAAAGGAATTCGCGTTTCTGACACGGCTAATTGACACGCAGTGCTCCCCGGCGTTTCCAGCGTGCGGCCCTCCCATTCCCTGGCTGGCTGGCTGCGTGTGCATGTGTCTGGCTCTTCGCTGATGGTCATGGAGTGCTGCCTCTGCGCCGTGTGTGCGGATTCCTCTCCGCTCCCAGAGGATGGGGGAGGGGATCCGACAAGGGAGGCTGTAATTGCCAAATCTTCTGTGAATAGGGGTCACCCCGTTGGACGCTTTTTTGAAATCGCACACATTAAAGCATTAAAATGTAGACTGTTTATTGTGGCAATTTTCTGGCAGCTCTGATAGTTTGAACATCTGCAGCAGAGAGGCCTACAATAGGCTGGATTTACACATGCCTGGTGAAGCCTGTGAGCAGCCGGCCTTCACCCGCCGCTGGTTATTTATGAGCCAATGATGAGTCAAGGTTTATATGGGGAGTGATATTTCACAGATAAAGCCGAATGCTCCGTCTAGTCAGTACAACAATAACACGATTCCCGCTCTCCTCCCTCTACAAAAACAGTTCCAAGAATTGTTTGTTATTTGTCAGATATCCATTCCATTCGCATTTTGAGCGCGAGTGAGTGTATAGGCGTAGTGTTGCTCAAGGGTGGCGGTTTGCGTGTTACCCCAGAAGTTCTGTTGTATTTATGCTATTTCATCCCTCATAACCCTAATTAGAGCTTGAATGTAGAAGGACGGCTGTGCTGCGGGAGGGAGGATTTTTGAAAGACAAGGAGAGATTTTCCCTGCTGCAAGCCTTAATTGAATCTCTCCTGGATAATGAGAATGTGGAATGGGCCTATTACCATGGAGAGCTATGCAAATAAGGACCATAATGCTTTGCAGCAGGTCACACGTGGGCATTCATTAGTCTTCCCAATCTAAATTCCATTTTTGACCTTGAATAGGTAGAAGAAGATTAACAAATACTCAAAATGTCCACCCTCTCATTTTCTTTGTCATATAATTCATTTCTTAATCCAGAAAGGTAAACACTGTCAGTTTTAATTAAATGTTCCATATAGAAGACAATAAAATGTAATTACCTTTTTTGTTTTTGCAGAGAGAGGCAGGAACAGATGTTGGGATATCGCAAACGGGGGCCGAAACCAAAACATCTTTTACTCCAGGTAATTATCTTCATCATTCATGAGAAATGATATAAAAGCATCCTGCTTTTCTACGCCTTCTTATTAAAAAATGTTCTGTAAAAGGCCCAAAGGGGGGTTTGGGCTTGTCAGGTGTTTTAAGAGCTGCAGACATTGTGGTCACGGTTATTAACATTAGGATTTCTTTGAGTGATGGAATAAAGGGCAAAGAAAGGGTGGGTTCCTACAGCTGGATTTGTCTGCTCACTCATCATGAAACAGGGTTTTTTGCCTGAGGTTACGCAAGCAGCGCATGAGTGCATTCATTTTTTCTGCATGTTCATTCTTTTTTTTTAAGTCTAAATAGCTTCAAATGCAGAAAAAGAAAACCAGCTTTACAGCACCTATTTTTTTTTGCACCAAGTTAATCTGTATCTGGAGAATGCTTACTTTCATTTCCCTGTTTACAAAAGCTAAAAATAGGGGGCTGAAAGTAGCACTTGCCCCGTGCTTTGACTATTCTACCTCTGTCCTTTGCGATGTGATTATATGTTTTTGAGACACTCGTAGCCGATTGCTATGCAGCGTCACTCCTCTCAGAGGGATACCTCTTTGCCAGAGTCACACGTGGCCAGCGATCAGGGAAAAAAGCGTGACATGTCTGGTGGCACTTCTCTGACCCGAGGTCAAAGCCGGAGCGTCTTGGGCGTTCCGCTGCAGTTTTCCTTTGACAGCCCGAAGGGTCAGTCTGTACAGGAGGAGGGGGAGGGTACAAGATGGTGGGAGGGAGGTTGTAGGCTGAGCACTGATTGGCTTGTTTATTTCCATTTCGGAAAGGCTTCTGCATCTTGTAAACTTTCTCGTTTTCAGCCTGTAGGTTTGCTTATTTTTAACTGCTGTTTGAACTCTGATCTTAAAATGGGGAATTTGGGGAAAACAGGCACCTGGGGTAGAAATAGCCCGTATGATGTCATGGGGATTATTCAAGCTTGGACTTGAAGACCACAAGTATATTACCTAAAACTGTGTATTTCAAAATAGTGCTTGAAAGATATTCCTTTGCCAGGAAAGGTAAAACACCAATAGGAAAGTGTTGCTTTGTGGGAAATGTGGTATCTGGTCTTCATAGAGCTTCATACGTCATAATAATCAGTTTTTCATCATGCTTTTCGTCATCTGTATCCCACCACCAAGTGCAATACTTAGGTGGCCTATTTCCCTTTAGTTATTACTCATAACTTACTCCAATCTCAATATTAGAACCCTCTTTTTGGCTCACTTTATTTATTAGTTTGATGAAAACAGAGAGATGTTAAACTTGGTGTCTTGTCTCTTTCTTCAAGGTACCCTCATTTGCCAGACGATCCTGTATCCCTGCAGGTTTTGAAGACTCATCTCCGGATACGGAGGCAGTCCTCGTGTCCGATCCCACCTCGGTCCAGCGCCCCCAAGCTCAGCAGTACCAGCTTAACAGCAAAAAGCACCATCAGTACCAGCCCAACTTCCAGGAGGTCCCCGCGGACCAGCCGACCAACGGCAAGAAGAAGTTCATCTACCAGCTCAACAGCAAAAAGCACCACCACTATGAGCCTGACCCGAGCATGTACGACGCACAGGCTTCCAGGCTCAAAGAGGTGGTCAAAGTCCAGGAGCCGGCCAGTAAACCGGCAAATCCTGGCTGGAACTTACCGCTGGCCCTGCAGCAGAAATGGGTTCGAGACAAAGACACAGGCTGCTTGAGCAAAGTCAAGGAGTTGGCCGTGGAGGTTAGAAAACCAGCTGTTAAAGACGCTGAGAGCGAACATGCCCTCAAAGCCAATCCTAAAGACGCAACCCTGCCTAGCTCCGTCAGCAGCAAAATGAAGATAATCAAGAACAAGAACAAGAATGGACGTATTGTTATTGTCATGAGCAAATATATGGACAGCAACAAGGCTCACGGAGCTAAGGGTAAACACAGCGAATCGTCAAGCGACGTGAAACCGCAAAACACCAAACCGTCGGAGAACAATCCAGCACACACAACCAAAACAGCGGAGCACCCGGAGAACGGTATTCCAAAACAGCTCTGTAGTGGCAGCTCCCTCCCCGCCGCAGAGCACCCTATAAAGTGTTCCCCAAAGGACAGGCATTTCTCCAAACCCTCACCGAGCACAGCAGAGGAATACAACACCGAGGTGGCTCGTGGTCAGGCCGATTTACCGGACGATCTGCCCCTTCAGCTGACCGCTAGCTCTCCACTGACGTCATGGTCTGTCGACACCAACATCCCCACCCCAACATTAGTGGAGATAAGGATCCCTTCTTTTCCCAACGACCGCAAGCGAAAGCTATCAGGTCCCGCTGAGGACAGGAGCGTCTCCAAAACCTACCTGACTTCCAGGAGCTTCAGCGTGCCCAGCACCGTGGTCACGCCGCCGCAGGACAAACCTATGGACCTCCATTGCAGTGGCACGCGCCACAGCAGCACATATACGTACGAGGCTGGGGACGGTGGCAGCCAAGAGGAGCCAATGGATCTCAGCTGCCCAAAGAATAAGAATCAGGTGGACATGGAAATACTGGCTGAGCCCGAGCCTGCCGTCACTGAGCCAACCCAAGTGGTAGAAGACACACACAAATCCACAGAGGAATCTAAAGAAGCAAACATCTCCCCCTTTATGGGAAATATAATAATCACTGACATCACAACAAACAGTCTCACGGTCACATTCAAGGAATTTGTTTCTTTCTAAGAACCCATTCGTGAACTACTACCAGTGACTGATAAATCCTGTTGCATATGTATATATGTAAAAACATCAGAATTTTGTAAATGTTGAAATTTATAATTTATCATTCAAATTTAATATGTTTCTTAGAATGTTTTATACTGTAACTCCTCTGTGACGTCGTAGCCAAGAAAGTGCCCTCGAGGATTTGAGCGAATGCATTCAGGTGGATGTGTTCCACTTTAAAAATACTGTTTATTTGTCGTATGGAGCATAATGGGATACTTTTGCTGTTGTTTTGATATCTGCACCAAACTTATAACCTGGGATGTATGAAGGCGTATACATATTTCTTATGAATAATATCACTTATTTTGGTCCTGATAGAAGGTAGAGAGGATGTTTTTGAGTATATGGGGATCAAAGATCAATTTAAAAGCACTTAATTACATATTCATATGTTGACTTGTTTCATTACGAGGAAACAAAACGTTGTTCTCTTGAAGTCTTATTTCACTTTTTACTACAGGCAGGTCTCCTCTTGGCATGTTTTGTTTGTGGCTTGTTTGAGAAAACAGGATAAGCTATGACATGCAAATTTACAAAGCAGGTGTGTCTGGTTACAGTGGAAACATGCACGCACGGTATGTGTCAACAAATGTAAAAAAAAAAAAAATTGTCCCGGTCCTTTCTTCTTTTGTCGGGTTTTCATCTTGCCATTGGCATGCAACGAAACTGTGAATGTGCCGTTGCAACCCGATCCATTACTATGACACACAAACATCTACGGACTGACATTTGACATCTCAATGACCTGTTGCCATTAAGAAAATGTCATTTATCAAACGTGTGACTTTCCGTTAAGACAATGTACTGATTCACACCATAATCGGATCATGATTTATTAACTTATTTTTGACCTCACATGTGGCTGGAGTTACTAAAATACATTTGCTAGTCTCATTAGGACTCTCCTAATGTCACAGACAGTAGCTATATTCATCTCATTTTGCTTTTGGAGTTCATTGTGCTATCTGAAAAAATGAAACACGTTATTGCTATTTGCATTACTACCTGTGGGAGTAACGAGTACGTTACACAGATTAAATGTGAGTTGTGAGGCTGCCTTTGTGTACTGTTACGAGCGAGCCAATGAGTGCAAGCTGTTTTGATTATGCTGCTTAAAATTCAAATGTCGAAGCTGTTGGATGTAACCTACATTTGAGTCTAAATTGCCTTCCACGCACGTTTGATGCAAACCAGTATGAATGCTGAAATGCTATAATAATAATAATAAAAAATATAGCATCATGACGTTTAATTTGTTGTAATAAAGCTGCTCTCTGCATCAGAAGCTAATTGTTTTCATTGAACAGTTGAAAAGATATTTTGAGTCTGTTAGCTCCATTTTGTTTCTTCTTTTGTGCTTTATGACCATTCTCGCACTTGGTTCGAAATCAAAATGATTGATATAGAGTATGTTCTACCAGGAGTTTGTGGACTTACTGCTGTTGGCACAGCTTATTGGATGGTATGTTTCACAATAAAGAGCGAGAAATAACCACATGTGTTTATGCATTCATGTTTGATGGGCTTTTTGATCCTTTTTTTTGTGTGTTCAGTGAAAGATTTATGAATCGCTGTTCCTGCCCTGCGTTCCTGCTGATACAGAGAAGGAATGGAACAATAAACACCAGAAACACTAACTTGGTTGTGAGCCGTGAATCGCAAAACAGATCGTGTTGCATAATCACAAACGATCCTGCACAAAGGGCCCTCTGTATAACTGCACCGGCTACTTGTGCTATTAAAACTTTACCGTGCATTATTTTTGTACTTTATCTCGACCCTGAGCAGGAATGTAAACAACATGTTATGTTACTCTTAGATTCTATCAAGAAGCGGCATCGCGAACGGTATTTGTCCGTCGTACTTCTAATAAGCGCATGGGTCGTCCACAAGAATGTGCCTGTTAGGAGTATCAGATATATGATATAAGAATAACATGGTCCTGGCATTTCCAGATCATTGTTGTCTTGTAAAACGCTGTGTCACTATGGCAGCAAGTCTGCCACATGGCAAGGCAGTTTTATTCGTAGAGCGCATTTCAACAACAAGGCAGTTCAAAGTGCTTCATATAAAACCATTAAAACCATCCAAACGTAAAGCAAGGAGATTTAAGAGCATTGATGCATTGAAACATAGAAGAAAAACAGTCATTAGAAGGATAAAAAAAAGATTTGAAATAGAATAAAATGTCATTTAAGAATGTCTTTAAGGATTCCGACTTGCAGAAACGGTCAATTAAAGGCAGCAGCAAACAGCAAATGGGGTAAGATCAGACCTCAAAAGACAAGCTTAAGAAACTTGCTGACCTTCCATGACATTTGCCTCTCTCAGTCTTGTCTTATCAGTATTGTCTACATTTACTGTAACGGCATTATGTCGGTAATTGTCTCTACACTTTGCCTTTTGTGTCCCTGTTATCTTTGTTTCTTTCGCAGCGAGGGTCAAAGGACAGATGGTGCCGTGCAGATTGATCGTAGACCCCTATGAGGTCAATTTGTCATGTGGGCCTGTGTGCCAGAATCATGGCAGTGAACAAAAGAGAATAACTTAGAACTGACTTGACTTGAAAAGGATCAATAAAGGCCCTCTAATCTGGGAAGCTGTCGTCAGTATACTGGAATCTCAAGCCTGTAAAGAGTTAAACTGTTTACAGGCTTTTAGGTGATAAAAGGCCTGTGTGTGTGTGTGCGTGCGTGCGTGCGTGCGTGTGTGTGTGTGTGTGTGTGTGTGTGTGTGTGTGTGTTTCCTGTCTTCTTTAGTTTAGTCATGGGAGTTGCCTTTTTATGACTGTGACACAAACAGCTCCATGAACAAGAGGAGAAAGATGACACATGTCCACTCCCCACTAATCAAAAGGCGTAGCTATTTTTTCCACCATGACTCTTTCTCTCTGCACTTTCCTGTCATCCTATTTTGTTGTAGGTTGGTAGACATTTAATACATTGGTATTCTGGCTTACAAGTACGTCAAAAACACCAAGTAACTCTAACAGATGTGTTATTTTGAATCAGACCTCACAGACAATCTGGGTCAAAAGGGCTACAGTTTCCCAAGAATTACCTCAACTTCAAATTTGAATCGAGTTCTGACCGAAAAACCAAAGTTCACCATCGGGACAGTAGTTAATTAACTTGAAGCTCGAACACTGCAGTCTCGTTTAAATCACAATAAATAGGTCCATGTAGAAATAAATAACGCGTGCCCGTTGCCCGTTGCGTACTAAAGTCTGAAAAAGCATAATGGTGACGGACAATCCATTACTCCATGCAGGCCCACTGGGGACTACGGTGACCAAAGACACGCATAACGCATTTCTCAGTTTCGGAACTCATAGCCCACCGGTGAATTATAGCGGGATTTCCAAACCCACGAACACACAGCTGTCCTCTCTCTCTCTCTCTCCGCAGGCTATACCTCTATAGGCATTCGTGGATTTGAACCATGCAGTCAGCCATACGTCTGCAGGGAACTGAAAGCACACGGGTAATATTTATAGAGCAGGTGTGATGTTTCACATTCCCCCTTTATCATCGGACCCAACAGAAGCCCGCAGCGTCGGCTTCAGCCCGCGCGCGGTGTTTGCCCCGCGGGGTCACATCGGCGGGATCGTTCTGATCGTTTAAATCCCGCCGTGTGACCCGGAGGAGGCCCGCTGCTCGGTAAATGTAATGGACCTTCCTCTATTTTCAGTCCAAATGCATTAAACAATACAGGGGAAATGGCTCAGATCTTTAATTTACGTATATATATTTTTAAATCCAGAAAAGGCGGACGCACCATCAAATAGATGTGACCTAAAATAGTCATAGTGGAGGAAATGACAAATGAGAGCTAGTGTGTGTGCGTGTGTGTGTGTGTGTGTGTGTGTGTGTGGGGGGGGGGGGGGGGGTCGATCAGGCAGCAGCAGTACTTCCTAATTCAACGTAATGCGCTGCAAATGGCTTCGCGGTATCTCGCTTGTGGGGTTTTTTTGGGGGTTGTTGTTTTTTTGTTGTTGTTTTAAATGTGTGTTCCACCAACATGTCGCCCGGCCGAGTGGCCACAGTTGCCCCCCAGAAATCGGAGAATGAGCCGCCAAATGTTCCCGCGGAGCCGCGGTTATTCGCGTTGAGGCTCGTCGCCATTGCGGCTCCCGCGGGTCTCACTCCTCCTTCAACTGCGGCGGCCAAATACGCGGAACCGCAGCGGCCCCCGTTTTCCCCGTCCGCCTCGTTCTCCGAACACCGACCCGCGCGGGCTCCGCGGACCCACCGGAGCACCGACAGGAAATGTCGGTCCGCGCAGGCTGCGAATATCAAAATGGTGGTTCATATTTCTACGGCGGCCACAGCGCATCTTTTGTCCGCGCCGCGCGGCCGCCTTTTGTCTGCCGCGCGGCGGGTGCGGGTTTAAACAGACAGCGGACAAGTGTGTGCGGGTATTAAGGTGTAAATGCGTGTTAGTCTATAGACGGCGCGTGTTTAACGGGACCCGGAATGAAGACGGACAGAGCTGCCCGCGCGTGAGGCGAATTCGTTTCCCACACCTGCCGTGAAGGATCCAACGTCTAATTAACCTTGCGATTTATTGCAGTCGATTAAACGACTGCGTGCTGAATTATGCGCAATTTTAGGAAAATATATAAATTGGTATTTCATCATTAACACATATAGCTAATGAAGAGCGCAGCGCGGGTCAAGAGGGAATAGTGAGCAATTTGTACGCAACACTTTTCAATAATGCAAAGATCTCGCTGTAAATTTCTTTTATAAACCTGTGAATTTTTCATTTCATGCGGCCTCTTTTAACAGAATCCACAGTTGAAAGCTACAACGTCTTATAAAAAAAGGACCAAAAAATTATTTTTCTGGCCTACAGCACCAACAAAAAGGCTCTAATGGTGGATGCAGATGCTCTCCCAATTGTTTTATTTGTGTAATGAATACATTCATCTGCACGGGTGGTATATTGTTTGTATTGGAAAACTGCAAAAGAGGAAGAAATACAAGGAGGAAATCTGACGATCTAAACGGTGCAGTATTGTGCCCGTGTGTAGAGGATTTTCTTCATTAATTATAATATTTCACAACGTGCAGTTTGACCTTCCGTTCAGCTACGGATGATTTGGGTGATTTGGAGGACCTGGAGGCTTTAGCCAGTAGATTTACTAGAAGATGAAGACATGCTGGAGTGTTTTTTGGCAACATTTAAAATTTAGGCCAAATTCAATTAATTCAGTAATTATCATTTTTAATTTTACTCCAAAATCAATAGCTCATGAATGCAGTAAATACCCCTTGGGCCTAATGAAAAATAAGTTGCCGCTCGGCTCTTACTCTCTCCATTGTTTGTGGTTCATTTGTATGATTAATAATCCGAGTAAATGTTGCGATCACGACCGTATTGGTGGATCAATATATACCAGAAAAGCTTGGTGTTTTGGAAAATGACTCCAACTATTTATAATAATTGTACCTAGCACAGAAAGAAACGCGGTATGTTTAATCAAATAAATATGTTGGGTTTTATTTGTGAGGTAACGCCAGACATAATGAAGGAAAACACATCAATGACAACGCCAATAACAAAATCATCAGACTACCAAATGTATTTTAGTAATCATCATCATTTAAAAAAATGATATGAATACTATCAACAATATTAATAACCAATAACCGAAATCTTAAAGTAAAACAGGCCCACGTGAAGAAATGTATCTTATCAAAGAAGGTTGAATTAAATATTTGTTAAGATATATTTACTACCTGTATAAAAAGTATTCTTCCATTGATTGGCTCTCGGTATTTTGAAGATTTTTTTAAGTTTAAGTTTTTTTTAAGACAGTTCATCTGATTTAATGATGTAATTCAAATGTAGGTAAATCCCACCCAGCGCTTCTGGATGGAGTCCAGTTCAGAAAGTTACACTTTGCCTCAATGCTTTCCGAGTCTCAAAACCCATCAAGGACCTGGAATAACGTCTTCAACCCCTGAGAAGGCTGCGAAAAGACTTGATTACTTAACTTGATTTTGAGAGAACTAATTGAGTTGTGTGCGGTCGTTATGAACCAGCTTTTCTTTAATTCGGCTCGTCTTTTAATATCATATAATCATGGTGGGAAATACTGGTGTGCCTATGATTTGTGAAATATTATATATCCATATATACGCACACATATATGTACTGTATATTCTATAATTAAAAACCAATTGTCTTTTTTCAAAGGGGGTTTCTCCCCTAGATCATGCGTGAATCGTAATCCAATTAAACATGATGATGTTACATTTTGGCACGTGGAATTTTTCTTTAATATTCAGCACTTGAAAATCTGGACCTGTTAATACAACTGATTTGCAGCACATTGTGTTAACGAATTATTTTTAACAATCAGATCAAAATCAAAGCTTCTCTGAGTATTACTCGGGTTTTTTTTTAGCTTAAATGTGACTGATATCATAACATATGCTCCTTTCTGGCACATTATCATGCTCGACTTTCCACTTCTAAAGACATTGATTTCAATCGCACTGTCGGATTAATCCTGCTGTATAATATATAGACTAATAAATACAGTTGTTATGTGTACATGTCTTCGGGATTAGATGTGTTGTGCCTGTTGAACCAGTCCTCCGATATGAACTCTTTTTTTATTATTTTTTGAAGAAGGTGAAATAAACACATTTTCTTCCTTTGGGTTTTTTCTATGCCCCCCCCCTCCCCCCCTCCGTGGATTGGCTCCTCGCATTTTGCTCTCCCTCGCGGTGCCAGACATTCCAGTACAGCAGCCGGAGCAGCGGGGCTCCTCCCCCTTCGCTCAGGCACCCGGAGCACGTAGCGACAACCGAGCGCAACGTGCTCCGCCGCGATCCGTCCTTCCGACTGCGGTGCCTGGCAACAGACGAAAAAAAAAAAAAAAGACGTGATGACGTCCTCTCCAGATTGCGTGTTATGCGCTGTGAGGAATTAAAACAACCTCGAAGAAGAGGACACGGGGGAAGGCTAAAATAATAAACGAGACGGAAATAAACGAGGTGCGCGGTGAACCATGGAGCTCTCGGCTGTCGGCGAGAGCGTCTTCGCGGCCGAGTCCATCATTAAACGGAGAATCCGACGGGTATTTGCTTCTTTTTTTTCTTTTTTTTTTCACCCGCAGGCTGTCTGCGCGTATTACGCAACCGTTTATTTGCACGGCGCTGGTGGGCAAATCCTAACCTGAAGCTAACGCCGATCTGTGTTGTTGTTTTTTTTGCAGGGGCGCTGGGAATATCTCGTGAAATGGAAGGGCTGGTCTCAGAAGTGAGTATCGAAGCTCGGGCGGGAGCTGTGAGGCACAGCGCTCCATCCCGGCCGCTCGCACAACTGCACCCCCCCGCAGACGGATGTTTTTTCTTTATCTTTAAATCATATAATGCATTGCAGCGCGCTCCAGCCTTCTCCCCGTGGGGCTCGCGCGCACCGCGTTGAACCGGGTTCGCGAGCGTCAGGCGCTTCAGGCCGCCGGGGGCGTTCGTTTTCTGTCTCCGCTGGCTTTAGCAATGGCTGGGTTCACCATGTGTCAACCGCCCGCTACATGCACGCGCAGTTTAGTCCGACGTGCCTTTCGTCCAAAACGCACGGGCCGACAAACACCTGTCCTCTCCTCCTTGTCGTTGGCACGCAGGTACAGCACGTGGGAGCCCGAGGAAAACATTCTGGACGCGCGACTCTTCGCCGCCTTCGAGGAGAGGTGAGGGTTTGACAGGCCTCCGCCGCGATAACGTCCGTTTGAATCACACCTTAGGGCTGCACATTTAAGTCGTATTTTTTTTATAAAGGAAGTAGAAAGTGGCGGCGCAAGTTGAGTCGGTTTACATAATATGTGTCCAACCGTTTTCTAACAAACGGGTACATTGTTTTAAAAATAACTTCACTTCTACTAAAACCCTATAACACTCCAATATTGGCGTGTACTTATCGAATTAATTAGAAATATGTAGCCTACCTTTGTAAATGCCTGAGGTTTAATGCTTCAGTTAAATGCTTTGCATTCGCCAGGGAGCGAGAAAGGGAGCTTTTCGGCCCGAAGAAGAGGGGTCCCAAACCTGAGACATTTCTCTTGAAGGTGAGTGAATCTTTTGATATATCTCGGGGTCCCAAACCTGAGACATTTCTCTTGAAGGTGGGTGAATCTTTTGATATATCTCGGGGTATCATTACGTCTCCTCACCTGACTGGGGCGATACAGACGATGAGTACAAATTCTAACACAGGACGGCTACAATTTTAATTATTATTTTTGAAACTGTTGGACTTCTGCTTTTTACCTTTCATTGGTTTGTATTTATATTTAAGTACTGTGCTTTTGCATTCTTAAACACCCTCAACGTATTATCGAGCGGTTAATGTATCGGCCATCTGCAACTGCTTCTCTTAAAACTTTAAATTTCCTCAGACTCCAAAGTTTTCCTCTCCGGTGTTTCCTCTGTCCTCAGGCCAGGGCCAAAGAAAAAACGTATGATTCCAGACGAGAGGCTCCGAGAAGGATCCAGGTTTCCTATCCCGTCCCGGAGCCCGTCATAACCCCGAGGGCCCGGGAGGGTTTACGCGCGGTTCTCCCTACGATCTTCCCACCGAGCTCGGTCAACAGAGGGGAAAGTGTCCTCATCCAGCCGCCGCAGCCGGACAGACGGCCCAGGTCGACTCCGCCGGCGCCTCTGACACTCCAAGAAGACGTGCGGTTCCCCAAAAAGAGAGGGCGCAAACCCAAGCTGCATTTACATTACGACGAGGATGAGCCGGACGCCGAACGCGGTCGGCCTTCGGAGGAGCAGGGGTCGCACGGTGTGTCCGGCGCGTCCCGACGCTTGCTCCACCGCGGAGAGACGTCGGATCACGGCCTCGTCCAGCTGACCAGGAGGTTTCAGGAGAAGACCACGATAACGCCCAAGCACAGCGGCGCGCGGGGGCACGCGGGTCTGTTTTACGGCTGCGCGTTCAGTCCTCCAGATGTGCACGAGAGAGAGCACAGGACTACTTGTTTGCCCGGGTGGTCTGTTCCTCGGTCCGGCAGCTCCGCAGAACACCAGAGACACCAGGCGAAGGATCTCCGTCTGCCCCCGGAGCAAGCTGCCGTCACCTCCACGCAGTCCGAGTCCACCCGCGACCAGTCCACGCGCCCGGCCTCGACCTGGACCCCCCGTTTCACCAGTCTGGACACAGTGACCGTGACAGATGTCACCATGAACTTCTTGACTGTCACCGTCAGAGAAAGCAGCACCGAGAAAGGCTTTTTCCGGGAGAAGAGATGAGTAGAGCCATGCGCTTTGGATGTGGGTCAGAGGAAGATGATATAAAAAAAGATTTGTTTAACAAGCTACCAACTAACACGCCTACTGTATTGCTTTATTTGGTCCTGTGTAACTGTCAAATACAAGTATTTAATACGCTGCTGGGAAAATAAAAAACGAAAGTGACTAGTGTAGTTTTGTGTATCCTTTCGTTAAGATTATCCTCTTTGAGGCTGTTCTTAAATATACTGTTTTAAAAAACAAATCATATAGTTTGTGGAATGATCCCACTCTTAAACCTAACTAAATGGATCCAGCGTTCCCCCAATGAAACAACAATTAATTCTAATACACTGTTTGAGTTTTACCGCATGTTAGTCTGGATTTTAAAAATCCCTTCGAATCACGTTTTAAAAAAGGTTTGTAGGCAGCTTGATAATATCTAATACTTTAAATAAACATCTCACTCTGCAAGAAAATGTATCTCTAACTTTAAGATAGTGGGAGTGTTTAAATAATTGACCCACGGGCCCTGATCTAAAACGCGTGATGACATTTCATCATTTCTCTTTGGATAATTCCTGTCGTGCAAGATTATATTTGTACTAAAACTTTACAACGCATTGGGGGGAACACACATTTGAACACATACAAAAACTAGAATGTGCTAAATTATATTTATTATAAAACATGATTTCTTTTTTCTATTGTAGTTTTGGATGCTTTCTGTCACACGAGACATGTCTCTAAAACCTCGTGGGCCCGATCTCACGCGGCCTCATACCGAATTCAAATGTACACAGACACAATTCACAATCACCACGTTCATCATCACCCCCGTGGTGACGGTAAGACTCCGCCGGGCGAGTTAGGCCTTCAAGCCGACAGCGGGTCTGTGAGTGACAGCTTGATGAGGATTTGAATCGGATTACTCATTGACATCAGTGCGCTATTTGACTGCTGTATGCACATAACACAATTCCTATACGGGACATCGTCTCTCCTTCAGGCACGTGACCTTTTTAATGTGTTAAAGATGATATGTATAGATCGTAATGTCATCAATCGATAGCGATGGCTTCTGACAGCATGCAAAAAGGATCACCTTGATCCTTCAGGCCTTTGCACAGAGTGGGAATGCTGCAGGATTCAGTATTCAGTACTTCTTTATAGGCACAAAGCCTCCATTCATTTGACTTTGCTTTGTCTCGCTGAGACACATGACCCGATCTGACCATCCGGTTCTTCTGTGAGAACTGTCCGTCTGGTTTCTGTCTCACCGATCGCCACTAAAATTAGAATTTTATTTCAGCATCTGCATTTGGTTTTGAGGCTTAATGGAACATGGCTGTGAAGCGCAGTTTTCAGAAATGTGTTTTAGACGCCAAATTAAAAAAGAAAACATTCTGTAACGTTGCCAACTTAAAATGCGTCACACACCATCAAACATATTCTGCGTGCATATCAAATGTTTGGTCAACACGGCTCTTTATTCCAAAGTGACACGCTTCGAGATTTTACTTGAGAAAGCGAAGTATTTGTCCTGCAGCGGCGACAACATCTGGAAAGATTCTCCGCATGAGTGTAATTGATTACCCGACAAGAACCTCAGCCCCTTGATCTGATGCAGCCTGGGGGCCTACATGCATGAAGCAGTCCGAGAGAGAGAGAGAGGGAGAGGGAGAGAGGGGCTGTGGCCCTCCGAGCTCCGGACCGGCCTGCGTGGTGGTCACGCTCCGCAGACTTCACCTCCACAAGATGTCGCCACCAGCGCGACCTTGAAACGGTGCCAAATTGTTTTCCGCACAGAGACCCCGCGAGCGCACTCATCCGCGGTGGATCAATCATTGCCGCAAAGCTGGCTACGTTTGCACTCATCTACAATATTAGTGGTTGTTGAGTTACAGACTGCGCCTGCGGAGGGGCGGCGGGAGACCTTTGTCCTCCAGATGTGGAGGGGAAGGGGGGGGGGGGGGGGCGCTGTGTGCTGCACTGTCTCGCCACTAGATGAAGCTCCAGCACAGAGACACGGCTTCCTTCTGTCTTTCTCTAGCTGGCCTCTCGAATCCAGTCACAGAAATGAGACGAAGTCATGAGCGATAGAACGGTCTTTCGCGTGAAGTGTGACTCGTGGTTTTGGATGAACGGATCAGGTGAAATTAACCTTAGTTTGATACATTTCAACCAGGTGTAGTAGTTCAGTTTTGCCACTTCCCCAAATAAATGTATAAAATAAAGATACTAAAGAGCTGCCTTTAACTTGTTTAGAAATTACAAATAATAAACAGCCTCTCAGAAGTATAGGAACTGTTGTGTATTCAAATGGATAAAGACGGCTAAAGGCCTTCAGACTGATGAGAGAGAGAGAGAGAGAGAGAGAGGGGGAGAGAGAGGGGGGGGGGGCTGTAGTAGCATAGCGCGTGCACTCTCGATGACTCACACACAAACTCTCTGGCCATGCACTACCCGTCCACCTCTGCCTGGATCTGTGTTTGCGTGGGCGAGATGTTGCCTAGTTGGATCCTTCTGATGTGTTTCGTGGGTCTTCAGTTGCGGAGCTGTGCGACTGATCTGTGCAACTGGACTGGAAGGTAAGGACCCTCTGTTCATGCTGCACGGGTTTGTTGCATTCTGATAACAATTTGAAGGGCTGAAGGCAATCGGGTCAAACTTTTACCGTTGCAGATTTTACATTTTTAAAAGAATTCACATGTAGGCCTACGACTGCATAATGCTGATTAAATAGTAAGAAACAAATGAGCATGTTTTATTGAATTACCCTCAAATAGAAAAGATAGTTTGTTCCCACACGCGGCTTATAATCTAAATATATATATTATTAATCATTCATTGATGAGGCCACTAGTCACAATGTAATCCATGCCATACGTGGAAGTCAGTTTAATTGCGCTTCGTTGAATTATAAAGTCATTAAGACCCCGCTTTTTTTCCCCCTTCCCGCCAATCCAGCGGTTTTGCAGCTGGGGTGGACTCCAGGATCGTCCTCCAGGTGCAGCTGCGCTGCACAGAGGGCTCGGTGCGTTGGATATACCCGGGCCAGGCCCTCCGAGTGGTCGTGGAGCCCAACCTCTCCACCGCCGGACGCACCACCGTGTGCATCAAACCGTCTCCCTCTCTGCGCGGCGCCAGCGTCTTCATCGAACGCGCCGGGGAGCTCGAGCTGCTGGTGACGGAGCGCGGGCTGCCCGAGCGGCAGGTCTGGTGTTTCCGGGCGGAGGGTCCGCAGAGGCCCGCTATCTACCTCCAGTCCAGCCCGCAGAGCGATGGGTCGTGGAGCAGACGTACGATGGGCTTCAGATATGAGCTGCTGAGCAACAGGAGTGCTGCGCCCAACGGCGCCGGCCACACCTGGCTCCAGGGTAAGTGGAGCCTCTTTCATTTTGCTGCCTGAAGATCAATCCGTAAATATGCACTTATGTATTTGCAACCTAGTGTTTAGTATGAAGTCATTTTTATGGGACACTTTTGGATGCCAATTTGCGAAAATGTATTTTTTGCATAACCCCTTTTGAAGAAGGACCGATGAAGATCATGACCCAAATCTCTAACATGTGCTAAGCATTTACAAAAACAATCATTTTTTACAACCTAGCCAAAAATATTGCATTAATGGTTTATAATTGTTGTGTGTGTTGTTGGTCACAACATATTGAGACTAGAGCTTTTATAAAGGGTGGTTTATTATGAAATGGTAACAAAAATGTGAACACAATTGTCAACTGTTGTGACATGTGAGGAACCGACCAGTACGGATTCCTAGAAGTTGTTGTTATTGGATTACGGTCTCAATCGTGCCGGCGGGTCACGCAGCTGCTGGTCAGTTGCGTGTTTTGTCTGGCTGTCTGGTTTCCATCGGGGGGGACAAAGCAGCAAGGACAGAGCGGACCACACTGGGCCAGAGGGCCTGAATTCAGAGCGCAAATACTTTGCAGATTCCACGAATGCCTTTTCATTGTGTCCCGTTCTGTTTATTAGCATTTATCCATGTGTGAGGCCCGGTCCCCACCGGTGCCATTCATGCAGCTGGTTTATCTTCTCTGGAATGCCAGCCTGGCAGAGGAGTTTGACTCCTGCCGTCTCCCGAATTGGCAAGGGGTCGATCCATAAGGCGGATACAATGAGAGTCGGGGGGGTCAAGACTAGGGAGGGTTTGTTATACTGACGTATAAACAAGCCAGATTCCTTCATTGAACCTCTGGTTCCGTGAGGTGGGAGATGAATGAAGCTGCATGTCAGAGGAGTGGAAGGGAGGACGCATCAGTCGATGGAGGCTGTAGAGCGTCGGCTCATGTAAAGTCGTGGAGAGGGTGGTTGAAAGTTTGCTCTTTAAATGACAATTTCTTTGCTGTTTTTCTTTATTCGCAGCTTCATGCCAACCTTGCAACAATACACAACTCCTCATGGCCGTCTGCAACAGTGACTTTGGTGGGTACATATAATAATCTGTTGCTGTACTTGAACACAATGTGATAACATTGTTCCACACCTACTGAAAAGGTAATGGTTTCGGGTTAATTAATAGGTTAAGAGTGAAATAAAATACAAAAATGTCCAAATATCAATGAGTTTTGGTCCAAGAAAATACTCCCAATTGGTCAGTGGTGCAAAATATTTATTGACATAAATAAATAATGCTATGACTTTATTATGTAAAGGCCTTCTACACTGTAATCACTTGTTTTTCCGATTTTTCATTTAATTCCTTCTCAGCACGCGCTGACGTGGTTCTGCCTTTTTGCTTTCAGTGGTCCGAGGTTTCATCCGCAATGTTTCCCACAACTCTCAGCGTGGGACCTCGCTGGTGGAGGTGGCAGCCGAGAGGGTTTACTGGCAGCGCAGTGGAGTGTTTGAGCAGCAAGCCGCTGCCTCTGGCTCTCCGCTCGTGTCTTGGCGTGGACACATCCACACCCTCGTGCAGTGCCGCGTGAGGCCCGGGGACGGAGAGTTTCTCTTCACGGGGTCAGAACACTTCGGGGAAGCTTGGTTGGGGTGTGCCCCGCGGTACAAAGACTTCCTGTCCGTCTACCAGACTGCCTGGGCAGCGCGTCGGAATTCCTGTGACTTCCCTTTGGACTGAGGAAGTGTGGTCTGTTCGAGCTCTAACGGGGGGGATCCGTGTAATATTTGCCACATCCCGGGAAAGGTGGCATGCAGGAATCGCCAGCGTGGACGGATTCATTTAATTGCTGGTAAAAGAAATTCCCATTTAAAGGAGCAGAGCAAGTGCAAACAGCAGGGCCTCCTGCACTGAGGCCCAGGGAGGGCAGGCCTTTGTCTCCCCCCCATCACTGCCCTTATCCCTGCGAGGGTGAGAAGGGGTTGGGTTGCTGCTCTCTCTCTTTGTGCTGCTCCCCACATCAACCGTTGTTCACTTTGCCGGCTCTGTGTGACAATTGCCCCCTGAACTGAGATGGGAAGAAAGAGGGAAGCAATGACGGTTTGTCGTAGTGAAAAGGCTCGTGCGTGTATATGATTGTGAAGTTATTTTTTAGTCTGATTCATCTGTGCTTAAGTTTCAAATGCTCTTTGTTCTGTCTATTTATTTGTGTCGTACCGGGCGCATGATACTTAAATTACAGATTTGTTTTTTGTTTTTTCATCTAATTCACAAATATTGTGTTGTTAATCTAAAATAAAGTCGTAACTATATTATTGAAGACATTTGTATTATTTTTATCAAAGGACGGTTTGCATTGTCCAGGTACTTTTTGTTCAGTTACAGTTCAGACATGTAAACGGCTATGCGATCTTTTATTAATTCTGTCTTTCTGTAAAAGCTTGTCTTGGCTTACCATTGACAGTACCTAATAATGAAATAGCTTTATAAGTCTATATTTTAATTACGCAAGAAAAACAAACATTTTCCACTTTTTTATCAACCTTCTTATCTTGAGCGTAGGCCGTTTTAATAAACCATATACACAAACATCTCATGTGGATAATATCTAATCAATATATTTTCTTTTAGGTATTCACAGATAACCTGATCAATTGTCTTCCTGATGAAGTGTTGGAATTAAACAGTGCTCAAGAACAATGCATTAAAATCTAAATTTCATGAGGCCCTCTGGTACACAAGAATGCTCGGGCCCCTTAAGGGTACGAGTGAAGGCTTAAATGAACTAAGTCCCTCATTTCCCATCATATGCTGCATCATTTCTTATCGTCTTTTTAAGAGAATGAGAATTTAGAGCTGAAGTTGTTTGGCTCCTTTCCCCCTGTAATCAGATACTTATGACAATAGGACAGCCATAGCATAAAATCAACTACAAAATCTCCTTAGATGGCGAAAAAGCCCCGAGCAGACTGAATTGGAGTTTTCTTTTGAGCTGTTTGGCCCCTCCACGGCCGAGAAGACGAATGGACAGATGTGAGGCCCCAAAGCCCGGGGATCCTCCCCCTCAGCCCCTCCCAGTAGAAGGGAACAATTAATTGACTTTAAAAGAAACTGCTTTCTTTGCCTATTCCACACTTCTCCTTGGCTGAGCAGGGCTCACAAATTGGTGTGTTGAACTTTTTATGAGGACTAAATAGCTGCCAATGAAAGTGTAAATGACTGTGTGGTGAATGGGGACCACACAATGGCCCTGCAGTGACAAGGCCCCCGGCAGACATAATGACCATTGTCACAGCTGCTGTCATCAAGAAACCATCAGGGATCACGAATCCAAGAAGCAAGAGGACGCGGGATACGTCTAAGTTTGTCTTTTCTGCTCTAATTCTCATTTTTTCTTTCTATTACTCCTCCTATTATGCACCTCTTGTCTCTCCTGAATAAAGACATCTCACATGGCATTTTATGGCTTTATTATGACACATAATAATCTATTTTTAAATCAATATTAACAATCACAGATGATATGAAAAACATTCACGCTGTTTACCCAGAGGTATCCACTGTAAATGTGAAAGATGCCGTTACAGATTAAAAAAAGTTCTTTTGAAAAATCTCTTCCAAAATTAAAACTTTTTCCATCCTGCAGGAGCCCAGCTTGAAGGTTCCTCCTTCATTATTGTCCCAGGGGGGCCACCATGTCAAATTTCCAAGTAAAATATAGCTGGGAATTCCATCCGGCTCTCACGGAGAACGAGCCCAGGAGGGCTCGGGACCGAAGCGGCGCGGTGCACCGGCAGGAGTCCACCCAGACTTTAGAGGGGGCGGGTGGGTAATTGGTTTATCCCACCGCCTGGCCTGTTTTCCCATGTGGGCCACTGCTGTGGGGAGGCCCAGGGGCATAATATGGGAACAGCATGATACTCTCAAGTGCCGAAGAGGCATTCACTGCCCCGGCTATAGAGACCAGGGGCCGAGTGCCCGGGACACAAAGCTGGAGCGGAGTTCTCTTTCGGCTCAAATGGGTTACCATTTGGTCTCCTTTTAACGTTGATGAGCATTATTGGTTGAAAGTTTGAAGTGATTGAATTTCAGCTGAAGCTTTTTTTGTGGATTTTCTTGGACTCTTGAGAGTCTCTATACATCTCCACATACAAAAGTCTTCTCTCAGGCACCTGGTGAAGAAAGTGATTGTCTTATTGTCCCTGTTAATTAAGCATGTTGAAAAAAGTAACTAAAAAGTGTTGGTTTTGGTATGGTAGACCCCCGAAAAAGGGATCGTAAAGTTTACAATTTAAAATAAATTAAAAAAAATATGTATAGAAAATATCAAACAAAAATAAGTCATAATATTGTATGTAGGAATAAATAAAGCTGCATGTCTTTGGACGATGGGAAGAAGCTTGAAGAAGCTGTAGAAAAGTCACACTGACATTGGGAGAAGACACAAAGTCCGCAGGACAGACCAGATTTGAAACAAAAAGCATATCATGTAGAAATAAGTATAACCACAAACCTTTAGAACAACATACCTTGTAATGTTTTTTCTTTACTTGCTGACACATTTGTTACAACTTTATTCATATTTGCTTTGGCAAGGAATTTGACACGCATCTTTAATTATGTGAAGAAGTAAACTTTAATGAATAGCAAAGGAGGCATAATCATGCACAAACATCTCAGTCCAGAAGGGCTTCTTTTGTAAGTTTATGCACAAGATGTTATTTGAAAATGAGTCGCATCTTCCTGTCCCCAAGGAGGAGTCTGCAAAGTAAAATAAAAAAACAGTTTTATTGTGCATTCAGAAATGACACCTTAAACCAGGGGTGTCAAACATACGGCCCGCGGGCTGAGTCCGGCCCGCCAGGGGGGTCCAGTGGGGTCCGCCGGATGACTTTGCTAAGTGTAAAAATGACAGAAAGACCTGCTCTAAAATAACGGATGGTCCGCCCTGCGTGACATCAAAGTGGACAGTATGTGGCCCCCTACCTAAAATAAGTTTGACACCCCTGTCTTAAACCAAATACAGTAACATCCGAATCCTTTTAGGAGTATAATGTGTAAATGTCGGGTTGTACCTACCGAACCAGTGCAGCAGCTATTAGGCCTCCAGTGATGGGTCCCATCCAGTAGACCCAGTGACGAACCCAGTAGTTGCTCACTACGGCTGGACCGAAGGCTCTGGCTGGGTTCAGGCAGGTGCCAGATACATCTCCTCTGACAAAACAAAGGGATATGAGTTATCCAGATGAGTTAACAATACTAGTATAAATATAAATATAAATACATTACTTACAAGCTTGTAAAATACAGAGGATGCGTCCCAACAAGAGATTAAGTCGCTATGTCCTTTTCCTCACTAATCTCTACTCACCCTGCCAGGATGTTGATAACAACAGTGCATCCCACCATAAACGGCACCAGGGGACTCCTGGTCTTGGCGTTGACGGCGCCCAGCAGCACCACCATGGTGACCAGGCAGGTCATGGCGACCTCTCCAAACACAGCTCCCGCTACCTCATCGTCGGGCTGCAGCAGAGCAAACGCGGCCCCGTGGGCTTTGGCGAAGTTCTCACTCGAGGTCATTGCCTGTGGGCAGAGGCGGTGATTCAAGTCTAGTTTATGCACACGGAGGAGAGTGTGAGATGGACGTTATCAAGACACAAAAATGAGACCGGTTCATCTTCGCCATGGCAGCTCCAAGCACCCCTCCGACCAACTGACTCGCAATGTATGGGGCCACCATACTCATCTCCATGCCCCCACATAGATAGATGCCTATGGTGAATGGAGGGTTGAAATGGGAACCACTGCAGACAGAAAAAGTCAGGACCAAAAAAAAAAGTTCAGGGGGGAGGATTGAGGCGACTTGGACGACCGTCGCACTGGCCTCGGTCCTCCGGTTTAAAGCTCAGCCTTCCTGGCCACGTGGCCCCTGGCTGATCGCTCTGTGCCTCGTCGACACCGCGTGCGGATTGTCCTGCCAAAGCTCTGAATGAATGCATTCTTGTTGGTTAATTGTCTGCGTTTCCCTCATTCGGTCATGGCTGTCCAAGCCAGGTCGTGACAGTTGGGTTTTTAGCACCTTTGACTGGGAACTATTACAAGATCGTTTTTTTCTGTCATAATTTACAGAGGATGGAATTAATAAATGCATGGATATACAAGCCTGATTCGTTCAATCATTGACTATTTCCTATACTGTTCTAACTTTTATAAGAATAGCGAAAATCAGTTGAAAGAAAAAAGCTTTTTGTTATTGTTTTAAAAACAATTAACTAAGAGGATTAGATAAGGATATTTGGACTCAGAGTCATCGTAGATCCTGTTTCTGGTGAAAATGTTAGTTAATTAGTTTTCCATTCAACATACAGGAAGGAATTATATCATCACTAAAAAAACAGTACTTGTCCAGGGTGCACGACAAACTCGATGCTTCTCACCTGATCTCAGCCATGCAGGCCACCATAACGGCGACGGCCAGACCGTGCACCAGGGCCGGCTGAAACCTCCCTGTAGACTCCACATTCTCTATGACCGACACACACCCGATAAACACGAAGAAAGTAGTTCCCACCAGCTCGCCCAGGCAGGGCTGAAACAGCCTCTCAAATATGTTTGTAGGTCTGGCTGGAGGCGGCTTGGACTCTGAAATCACGAGAGACGCCCGGACTTCACCTGACTCCATCTTCTCGTCAGCCATGAGTCTTCGGTTGTGAGAGCTGAGGGTGTAGCACTGAGCGTGCTGACCTGAGATGTGCACTCAAAGATATCTACTCTGCTAAGCACACAGACCTTGGAGCTTAAGGTTAGAGTCTAGGTGGAGGTGCTTCGCCGACTTGTTATGTTCTCACTGACTCTTTTTCTTATGAATTCAGCATGGTGATGCTATTTTGATTTTACACAATAGGGACGACAAATATGTAGAATTGTTTTATATTTGTCTTTTTTTAGTATGTGGATCAAGATAGAGTGAAACGCCAGTGCTGTAAAAGTCAAGCTGGGATAAAAAGACTGCAAAAAAACCATAAGCCTAGGTAAGGATGCGAGCCAAAACCCTTGATAAGTGTTTAGCCCAGAGCAAGGTGTCTGGTTTTAAAGGGATGGAAATGTTAACTTCATTTAAGTTTAATAGTATGATTGCATGATGCAGCAGATTACGTTCGCTAATTAATCATTCATCTTGTGAAGGTCGTCTCATCAAAATATTGCCAGTGCTCTGACAGAAAAGGTCAAAGAGATTCTTTCAATCCAAACAGGATTAAGTGTCAAAACAATGTGTGAACACATGTCAGCATGTTTAATGGGAAATAATGAGTTCTTTTGAATTTGAATATAGTGTTGACTTTGGAAATGTGCAACTGATACTATTAAAAAAGAACTGTATTCTAAATAATAAAAAAAACTACTTTTCTAAAACTGGTTTCAGCAATTAAACTCTAAATACAGTGTGACAGAATAGTCTAAATGAGGATTAGCTATTGAGGAAAACAGGGACAAATCAGCTGTCATTATAATTAAATTATATTGATTATTCTGAGCTTTTTAAACCTCACCTCAGTTGTTCTTTAACTTGGACAAACCCGGGTTAAATTACCCTCAGCAAAGTTAAGACTTGCACAGAGGAAAGAACAGACCCTGCATATTTCCTTCCATTTATTGGAATCATATAGTCATTATCGGTCCGATGGCAAACAGTTCATAGGCCACGTTGCATTGCTGGTTCTCCAATAGGAAGGACTTTACCATGTATAGAACATTGACCCTCATAACACAGGCTATATAGGCAGATAAGGCAGAGGTGTGTCCTTTGTGTGGAAAAGCCAATAAGAAGCCGTTATATCTTTATTGTTATATTTATATAAAAATATATAAAAAGATCCAATGAGGGAATTCACCATCACCTTAATGCAAAGACACTGAAGTGATCCCAGCGGGAAACATTCAATTTGCCTCAATATTGCTTATTCCCATACTACTGATGTTAAGTGTATTGAATGTGTTAAATCTGGCATAATATGAATTGTCTTATTCTGTTAAATAAAAAGAAGGAGCAACTGACTGACGTTTCAGAAGTTGTCCTTGTCGTGACGGAGCGCAGCCACGCGGCGGCAGCAGAGAGCCGCTCCGGCGTTTGATGACCGATCGCCCCAAATCAGTGCAGAGAAACACACCAGTCCCCCGAACGCGACACGGACTGACCCCGGGTCAGTGAAACGAATGCAATCACACGCCCCTCGGTCAGGTTTTTTCTTTTGACAGTTTTTTGCACGTGGAGTGCAGCGAGATTTCCGGTTGCCGCGTGTCTCCAATTTGCCCCCATTTAAGTTGAAATAATCGAGCCTATTTTTAAACCACCTATTTTCTAAAACTACCTTTCCCAATTATCAACCCAAGGCAACGACTGTGACTTTGTCAGTCAACTTTATACTTATACCCCCCCCCCTTATCACGTGTCACATGGGCCGCGCGGCGCCCAGTTGGGGAAGTAGAAGGCACTTCCTCTTTTACCGCGCTGGTGGCACGCAAACCAGTCGCTTCGACAGGGAGCCCCACTGTTTCGTGGGCGACGGGGCGTCCAGCAGCTCCTAGCCGGCTATTTCGACTGACTCCCCCCCCCCCCCCCGAGTTTCGGAGGTCGACCCGTCCGGTTGTTAGTGCGTTAAAGTGAGGAGGAGGAGCAGAAGGAGGAAGAGGAGGGGGTCAGTCCTGTCAGCCACCATGGCTGCGACGTAGCGCAACTTTTGTAATCCGCGGCGGAGGAACGAGCAACTTTTTTTTAGCGAACTTCCAGGGAGGCGCGAGGGAAGGAGGCAACATGAAGAAGCAGTTCAATCGGATGAGGCAGCTCGCCAACCAGACGGTCGGGAGGTGAGTGCTTCGTTTGCGACGATGGACATTTGTTTGCAACAACATTTTGATTCTGGCGGGGGGGGGCAGAGACCGTGGAGATGTCTCGTGGTTTGGGAATATTGGGAATATTCCCGGTTGTTTGCTCTTCTATGTGTCATGGTCGGAAGGGCGGATGGACACCTGGGTAGTTTACAGCTGTGCCGGCCGGAAACGCACTGAAACGAACCCACTTCGACGGTGAGAACAGCGCGAGCTGACAATTCCCGACGTTCTCGTTTATTTTGGTTGATGGTCCATTAAATGTAAAAGGAAAGTATAAAACATTTCCCCCATAGTTTCTGTGAGTTCGAAGAGGCTTTCCTCAAATGCCCCTTTTTGTCTCTAAAACACAAAAATTGTAATCAAACAAACAAGCAGTACATTCCTTCAATGTTCCCTCGTTATTTGACTTCTAATTACATGGATTCAATGTTCCTCTCTGTTTCTCTTTGCCTACTTTAAAGGTAGAAACAGAACAGCTCCACTTTGGGCCCCTCCGCCCGCCGCTTCAGCCGCAGTTGACACATTACTCGTATTCTGCTGTTAAACGCAATGGGTGTGCACACAAACACACATTTCCTGATGTGTGAAGATACTGGAAGTTGGTGTACACACACTCCCGCTATCTCTGCCATCCCCTCCTCTCCCTTCATCTCCGCCCCTCAGGGGTTTCCAGCCATGTTCTCCATCAGTCGCCACCACGGAGACGACGTCTCCAGTGACGATGCCGCCGTGACGTTTCTTTTAAAAGCCCGTGTCCGTCCTCCCATAACAACACCCCCCCTCCCGAAACGCCCGCAAGCTTACACACACTTTCCCACTGTGCGTTACTGCTGAATACCAGGGAATCCATTGGTGCCATTGCAGCCTGAAGCAGAGTGGAAGTTATGGCCTCGTATCAAAAAATGGTTGAGATTAGAAACTATGCAGTCCAAGTCACTGAAGTCAAATGTCCAAATGGTTTTCTTCAAGTAGAAAAAATGGTATTTCCGGCGCCCCGTGTCCCGTCTTCAGCATCTTACTACATTCTATATAAAGTCTCAAAGGCAGAAGTAAACAAACGTGTACTATTCCAACATTACAAACCTTCATTTTTCCTCCGCAATAACCAATCGCTCATCAGTATATTTGGTCATCAATGCGATGAGTTTATCGACACATTCTCAAAGAAAAAATATAAAGTTGCATCAAACAGCCTTCGGAAGCATCCGATCTCCATGACGACGCCGCCACTGCTCATACGTCCGTCATCGTGAACCCTCACAAAAAAACCTTTCATAAAAATGAAACCAATTCTCTTTTTTTGTGGTATAACAAACCAGTTTTGCACAGCTCTCGGCACAGGAAGGGCCGGCCACGGAGGGTTTTTTGTGGAGTAAGCGTTTCCATCGGCTGTGACAGGCCGGGGACGTCGCACGGCCACAGGGGCGTTTTATTTATAAAAGAGGAAGCGGTTTGATTCACGTGCAGTTGTTGCAGTTTAATGGCTGACCGGTTTAAGCTCAAAGAGCAATGGAATCCTTGCGTACCTCTGCGACACTTAAAAGAGATGAGCTTACATCACGCTTTAAAAAAACTATAATACACGATGAACAAAAGGTGTCCTCTGGTTTAGTACAAGTAACACAATTGCTTTTTCTTCTCATTCTGTGTGTTTTTCTTTGAGGTTCTGGGCTCCAGCTTTGTGGGAGTCTATTCTTAGAACAATGGCTGGTGGACAGTCAAGCTGAACTCCTCAAATCAATGCTGAAAGCAATCTAAAGTTCGCTCGCGTAGTCGACCAGTAAAAATAAAACCGTTTTGGAAGCTACTGTTGCGGTTGGATTCATCGAGCGGACATTTCATAACAGCTGGGGCTGCAGTAATGATTCATTTCTTTATCAATTAATCAATACATTTTCTTGTTGAATGGTTTGACCCTAAGAATCAAAAGATCTCAGGGCTCAACGTGACAACTTTAAAAAAAGTCATGTTTAGTTCCACCGACAATCTAAAACCAAAGAAATTCCATTAACCAGCGAGGAAAAAACTTAAGACAATTAAAGAGATCAGCAAAATGAACGTATTTAAATACTTTGTGCCTCAATAGAATATCTGCGTTACATTAGGATTGCCAGCACTTGCGTACCAAACATCCAACCTTTTGACCGCATATGTTTAAAAACCAGAATTTCTACTCCTGGACACAGCTGAGTGCAGCAAAGGTGTGTTTGAATAACAGACATTTCTGGCGTAAGTTGAGGGAAGGCTTTATCTGTAAGGTGTGACTGTGTGACGTAATCGCCATCGTGCGGCGGAGGTTTAATTGATCCCTGTGAGAGTTGAATCCATGATGTGGGCCTGCTCTAGAAGGGGAGAGGTCTTCGTGTGTGTGTGTGTGTGTGTGTGTGTGAGAGCGAGTGAGCGCTGCACTCGTCTTATTTGGTGGTTGATTTGTGCATTTCCACATTTTCCCAGACGCGCTTTACTGGAGTGGTGTCACCGTTCTGCTTTCTGCGGACTCTGCAACAATGTACAGTGTGTTGCAGACATCAACAAGCCACTTGCTAACTCCCCCACAAACGCACACACAGACACACACACACACCTTGCCCCGTTGCCATAACAAACAAGGTGAAGATGACACAGCAGGAAGTGTTTGTTTGCAGCAATTCAACGGGTCTATCGTGGAATCCAGCCACAGGCTCAGGCTGGTGCAGGCGTGCATGCATGTTGTTGAGTGTGTGTGTGTGCAGCAAACTGCAGCTCCCACATGCTTTACAACCACGTGACGTTTTGGTGCGCTGCGCTCCGGGCGCAAACTGCAGACAGGTTGGTCTGGAAAAAAACACACTCTTGCTTTAGCTCAATGGTCCTGTCACTTCCTCGTAGTCTGAACAGCAAGTAACAAATAAAAGTGAGACGTGTCCAAATACTCACTGCATACATACTCTCATTCAAAGTCGTTGCTACGGCAGAGGTGTTGCCCCTTGAATAAATCCTCAGCATTGCATTATATTGTTCAGGTATTGATTCCTCTTATCTCTGTATGTCAAAGGTGTTTTTATTTCTCTATTTGCTGTCAGTGTTTGACCGTTGCTTCAAATTGTGCGTTTCCTTCAACAGGGCTGAGAAAACTGAGGTGCTGAGTGACGACCTCCTACAGGTGAATATGACATTTTCCTCCTATCAGATGAATCCATATCATGAAGTTACTACTTGCACAGGATTCAGGGTCGCTGCAGTGACTGATGGACCTTAGTAATTAACAGATTGGTGTGGAGACGGCGTGTCTCTGCATTCATTTGTCTCATAAGTCCACTGTCAACTGAACAGCAACATTCAGCATATTCATCTCAAAATGAAGTCTGAAGACCTTCTCATAGATTCTTTGATTAATTGGCCCAGAGAATATGAAGTTAGCGACTCATTTCGGTAATTTTATAGTTTTAATCATTTTGCAAGACAATTGACCAGCATGTAATGGTTTCAATGTTTAGCCCTTTGCTGACATCTTACAAGTGGAAAAAATGGTTAATGAAGAAAGAGCAGATTAAGGGATCATGAAAATAATCCTTCACAAACCTACATTTTGCATTCTTTACTAAACGGACCTGCGTCCTTATTGGTCCTTATGAATGTCGTTATTGAAATTCCAGAAAAAGTGAACGTTTATCTCCTGCTTTCACGTGAGTGGGGCCGTCATTGAGTATCTGACACCCGTGAAGCCAGTTGTGTCCAATTCGCCCTCAAAGCCGCTTCACTGCAGTTGTTTTCGGGACGAACAAAATGCAGGAGTAAGACAAGTTCCCCTCACACGCTAAAGCCATCATGCCTGAGCCTGCCTGCTGGGGCCAAATCTCGCTGCAGTATTAAAAAAAACATACTGGTGAGACTTTCATTCACTTCCACCTCGCCGCCGCCTCGGGGGTTCTGCTACGTAGGAAAAGTGCCTCATGGTTTTCCACTCAGGGGAAACCCTGGCAAGGTTCTGGAAATCCTAGTGTGAGTGTGAGTGTGAGTGTGTGTTGGGGGATGGGAGTACTCTGGCATGTGAAACTGTGAGATCACGGCGAGGGAAAATAGTTTTGAAGAAATAGAAGTGGCCTGAAGAAGACGCAGCATGTTTACTGTGTCAAGGGGGCTTTTCTGCAGTGAAAAGGTGAAGGTTGAGTCTAAAGTGTTTCATTCGCTCATCAACGTTTTATTATGCGCAGCAGTAAACTATGCACCTCGTGTGGTTTGCATAGGCCGCAGCAAACAATGCAAGAGCATTAGTGTCGATGAAAATGGAATTTATACTTTGTTTAATAACCTGATATGCAGCGTCGCTTTGCTGCAACCGAGGCGACTTTCTAGAGCCGACTTTATGTTGCTACATTGTCCCGAGAGCGCGCAGAACAAAGCGACCCAACCCTGCCAGAGAATGCCTCCTCTCTGGCCCTCGTTCTGAACGACAGGAGCTTTGTGCTGCGCTGGACATTCCTGTAGCTGCAGCTCTCTGCGAGGAATGTGACTGTCGAGCCGTCGGCACCGTGGAAGCAGCTTGGACGTCTTCGGCCAGAACCACTCCGAGCTTCGAGGCGGAATCTGCAGGAACTCAATCACCATCACGCAGACACAAGTTGGAGTTTTACTGATTAGTGGAACACTTAATCAGTATTGGCCTTTAAATCCAATCCGCACAAAAAAAAGAGCGGAACAAGTTTTACAGTGTTATTGTGCTGGACTTTGTTTTAAAATCCATTAAGCAAATGAGATATAATGAGCTTGTTGGTCATCTTTTAAAGCTAAGATAAGCTGACGTGAAGCCGTAACCTTCTCACCCAAACACTAAAATGATCGCGTTTCCCCAAAAAGTCCAACCCCTCCCTGAAGGCCTGCACGGCTATTTCGACATCCCGTTTCTGCTCTCTGCCGTGAGCGAACCAGACCGTTGGCCGCGCTGCCAACGAGGTCAGCCATCCACACCGCCACAGCAGCTCCAAACCACAAAACGAAACCGTAACCCCCCCCCGTCCCCGGTTCCTCTGTGACTCACTAAACGTTCCACAGTTTTATGCTCTTGTAGGTCAGAGGTCGCAAGCTCGCTCTGTCCGCTGTTTTCATTGCTGTATGAAAAAAAATAAAAAGGATATTAACCGTCTTGTAAACCTTTGGACCGCTGCATGACGAGAGAAGGGATTGCGTTGTGCTGTGAAACGGGATTTTGATCAAAGTCTCTCCAGCGTTGTTACGTCTGTTCGTCAGGGTGTTTCTGCCGCGGTGCTTTCGCGCACACGTCTCCCGAGGGTCTCCCGGGTGATTTGTACCGGTCGGGCCTCCTTCTTTCCCCCCTTGGCTTGGAGCGTTGGACGTCTGGATCCAGATACTTAGACATCCATCGAATTTTTTTTAATCCGAGCCGGGGATCAGCTGAACGATGAGCGAATCAATCGGGATCAGGGCAAGGAAGCCAAGTCCAGCTGTGGTTTGGCATGAAGCAACAGCTGCAGGAAAGAGGGAGGAGAGAGTAAAAAGGGGGAGGTCGAAGGAAAAGTTTGTGTGGGAGAGGAATAGATTCTCGTGGCGTAAAGAGAACAGCAAGTTAGCGAGGATAAAGGAAAAAGAGCGAGCGCTCGATGGGGGATCAGGCGGCAATTCAGGGCCTCCGATGATGTGACACGGCTGGATGTTGACACAGAAACAGGAAGTGGATACTTAGAGACGCGAGCGCCTCGCTTGCTTTAGTGCACTACATTTTATACACTTCCATTCGGCCACTGGCTTCAGTTCATTCAGCAGTTGCTTGAAACTGGCACTTCAGTTCAGAGTTAAGTGATTATCACGATGGTATTTAAGCTGCAGGCAGGAACTGAAAACTCTCACAGGTGCATTCAGGGACACTCTGAAGTCTCGGATTACAGAGTTGTATGCTTAAAAACCTGAAAACGTTGGGGATTGATTTAGAATCTTTTGTATTTATCCGCAGTAATCTCATTTTATAATAGGCCATTATACGCAATGTTGCAAGTCAATTAACAGGTTGTGATTGTGAACTTGATTTGTATTCTTATATTTCTGGATTGAATCTTATTCTCCATGGATTTTCCAGAAGGTGCTTTATACATGTAGACAACTAAATGTTATTTGTAGTGAAGACCACAATCCATCAACCCATCACTTATCTTCCCAGTTTCCCTCCATCTGGATGTCTGTGCAACCTCTGGTAACCCTGCACAACAGAGCCACCTTTCAAAAACAAGACCAGGATGGAAAGTGTGAAAAGGGATGTTTTGCCTGTTCATTTTGTTTTTATTTCACCTTTTCTGTCTCGTGTGCACGCGCAGATCGAGAGGCGACTGGAGTTGGTGCGTTTGATGTCGCACAACACGCACAAGAGGCTGGTGTCCTGCCTGCAGGGTCAGCTGGGCACGGACACCGAGAAGAGACATGTAAGAAGCGCACTGTCTCCTGACTGTTCTTTTATTACACAGCTGCACTTTGGGCATCACCTCCTCCTATGATCACACAATCAGGATGTCTGTGCAAAGCTTTTCCGGTTTTCCCGTGAGAATCACTGTTGCTAATACAGAGATGTATTCGCAACAGTTGAATCATTGTGACGATATTGTCTGTATTAGCAAGTCTGTGCTATGAAAACATAGCGCCTCGTCTTATGTAACGCAGTGATATGAGAGACACTCATGAGAAAAATATTCAGCTCTGGCCTCCAGCCAGCTTCGCTGTCACAGATATCAGAACTCGACGCAAAAAAACAGGTCTATGTTACATGCTGTTTTTTTATATCTCCCTTCTTTTGCTTTTAGCTCTATTGCAAACACCTCATAATTTGGTTATTTCGAGGAAAATGGCTATTGACTAAACTTTGTCCGCTGGTCTGCTTGCAGAAAAGGTTGCCGCTGACTACGCTGTCCCAGACCATGCAGGAGGGAGGCAGTCAGCTGGGAGACGAAAGTCTGATCGGGTGAGATAAAAAAAAGAGACCAGTTTTGGGTCATGCTGACTAATCAAAGCCGATTGGGCTTTTTTGGTGAAGGGTCGTAAAGAGACTGTCTCAGAAAGAGGGAGATTATACATTATTATAATAATGTATCCAAAGCAACTTACATTGCATTTTTTTTTTTAACCCATGGCTTTTTACATTTCTAGTTATAATAGCATTATGATGAGCATGACATCTCCCTGCAGGGCGTCCAGCTGGCACACAATTGAAAAATGAATTCCATCGATCCTAATGAACTGAAATACAACATTAAAAGTGACCGTTAAGGGTCTAACAAGGGCCCTCTTGTGTGTGAGTGTGTTTTTCTCCCTGTGAGAACAGACGTGATAACATCCCTATATGTATTCGTGTGTGTGTGTGTGTGAGAACAGCAAGATGATGGACGTGTGTGGGGAGGCTGAGGGCAGGTTAGCGGCTGAACTGATGCAGCATGAAGTCCAGATTGAGAGAGACGTCCTGGAGCCTCTCAACCAGCTGGCTGAGGTAAAAATCCTGCAGCCCTCTTCATGCTCCAGGGATCACATGGGACCTCCTACTATTGACTAAAACACTCGGAAACAGCATCGGCTTACATTACGTGTGTTTTTGGAGTCCTTCGTCGTGCCAAATTCAACACTGCATCTTTTTTTTGTGTTATACAACTATTCTGCATGATCAATATTGACTAAATGTTCTCACAGGAAAAACGTGTGCCTCAGTGTTGACTTCTCCGTTTCTCTCACAGATTGAGATTCCCAATATTCTAAAACAGAGAAAGCAACTCGCCAAGCTGGTTCTGGATTATGACTCGGCCAAGACGAGGTGCCCTGGTTTATAATCTTTATTTAGTGCCACCGTGTCAGAATGTTAACTTTGATGTCAAATTGTAAAAAATAATTTGAAATTGAAATATTTCAATCGGATAGGCTCATGCTTACTGTATAACGTGTGTCTAAATAATGTCTTGCCCCACAGGTACTACCAGGCAGCAAAGTCCAGCAACCACGCTATGGCAGCTAAGGCCGATTCCCTCAAAGACGAGATGGACGAGGCTCTCAACAAAGTAGAAATATGCAAGGTAGATCTTGCTTTGTTACTCAGAATGCGATTTGTGTTGTCACACAGCGGCCCGATGCCTCGGCGACTGTGGTTTATACACGCTGCACTGTGCAAAGAATATTTCATCCGATGGCTCTACATTCCAGTCGGGGCCTCTTCATCAAGTGAGGCGCGTGTCTTATGAACTGGCTGAACAAAAGAAGCCTTGTAACAGGAACCAACCCATTGTGCACGTTATTAGGGCCACGGAAGTCAAGGTCGTCGCTTTGTCATCTGGAGTTCATCTGCGCCTTAATGAGAAGTTTGAGTGACGAGTAAAGCAGCTGGTTTATGGTTGCCTTAATAATTGCCATGCGTGGAAATATGTATACATGTATTTTCCATCCTACAGGACCAGCTCTCTGCAGACTTGTACAGCTTTGCTTCCAAAGAGGGAGACTATGCGCGCTACTATGTCCTGGTGGGTGCACTTGTATTTGAATGACCTTAAACGGAAATGGAAATGTGATGCAAACGTGATCCGTTCCACTATAACTGTATGACTTTGCTCTATGCCAACGGTTGTGTCTATGACCTGTGATTTTGTTTGTGTATTTGCACCAGTTGTTAGAGGCCCAGGCCGACTACCACAGGAGGTCGCTGGCAGCTATGGAGGCCGCTATACCGACGATCAAAATGCAGCAAGGTGAGAAGCACAATTTAAAGACATTCAATGCGCTAACAATGAAAAAAACATAACCTTTTTCATGCATTTGTCACTAAACTCTAACAGAGTTCTGGAGCTGGCAGACATCGTTGTTGTTGTTGACGTTATCAATAGACGAGCTGCTCTGAGAAATGTAGACCGGCTTGTTGGGCTGCGCCTGTCCAGGTTGTCAGTGCAAATAAAGAAAATCATGAACAAGCCAGCACAACAGACTGAAAGTCAATTCATTCTCCAGAAATCAGTTTCTCTCGCGTTGTGTTCCTGTAGAGTATTTAGATGCCCTTAAATAACTAGCTTCTTGCAGTTTGACGATGAGAAATTCTGTAAATATTGTTGGGTGATTAAAGAGAATTTCTCCTCCCGAAATGTGCCCATGGGCACACTGAAAGTATCTGCATTGTAACATAGTCACCATTGACGGTAGAATAACTGTACGATGAAAAGCGCTTTAACAGAACTGCACTTGTGACTGTTTCCGCTAGACTCCTGGATGGAGAAGCCGGCGTTCGGCACGTCTCTGGACGAGCACCTGAAGAGGAGTAACCGCGAGATCGCTCTGCCAATGGAGGCCTGCGTCATGATGCTGCTCGAGACCGGCATGAAGGAGGAGGTAGGGATGGAGCGATGGATGGAGCGATGGCAGGGGAAGCTTGAGTAGATGAACGTTGAGGGTTAAATCACCAGAATTTGGACATAAATTTGTACCAATGAAAACGTCACTCTCTATGGATCATAATGAATGCTCCCTACAAATGATGGCACGTACAGTCTGGAAACATCTGTGGCCAACTTGTGGTCAGTTAGCCTTGAAGTTGGGGGAATGTGTGTGTGTGTATGTGCATGCAGGCATCTGTTAAGCATTTCCATGTTCAGTATTCAATTGTAACCATATCACTAGACTCCCCAAGGAGGAGATTTTTATTTAAGGAAACAAAACTCATGCTGCACGTCTAGAGAAGTCTTCTTTCATCCCGAAAGAGAAACTTCACGGTTTGCAACAAAAACCCGTCCAACCAGACTTTCTCTGGCGTTTACTGACTTCGGCCTTTGTTTGCTCTACTTCTCCTTTACTGATGCCTAGAATCACTTCTTCAATTCCTGCACTCAAACAGTCACATGTACCTGGACAAAAAGCCCTAATCAGTCGTTTTACCTGCAGGGTCTCTTCAGAATAGCTGCTGGAGCCTCAAAGCTGAAGAAGCTGAAAGCGGCGCTGGATTGCTCCACCTCGCAGCTGGAGGAGTTCTACTCTGATCCCCACGCCGTCGCCGGTACACCCTCTGAAACAGGTCCACACAAAGTGCGTCCATCTGGTTCAGATCCTCTTCTCACAGCCTTTCTCCTCGTACACAGGAGCCCTGAAGTCCTACCTCAGGGAACTTCCTGAACCTCTAATGACTTTTGGCTTGTACGACGAATGGACTCAGGCCTCCAAGTAAGAAAACACACACAGATATGGCTCTTTTTAATATCCTGCAAAAACCATCTCTGTCTTTTTTTAATTAACATGAAACCCACACCTGACGCATCGTGTGCTCACATGTTGATCTAGATAAGAGACTGTGTGTGTGTGTGTGTGTGTGTGTGTGTGTTTTCAGTGTGTCTGACACTGACAAGAGGCTCCAGGCTTTGTGGGTGGCGTGTGACCGTTTGCCAAAAACTCACAAGGCAAACCTCCGGTAAGAACATTTTCAGCAGCGCCGCATCCCGTTGAGACGGTGCAATAATATTTTCTTATTTAGCGGAGAAGTATGCTTTTTGTTGTTTATTTTTAGGAGTTGACATCAACTGAACTGAATGTATTAAGTGAATTTCTCTTCTGTTTTCTGTGGTGGAAATTTAGTGTATTAAGCCCTGGTGAGAAATCAGAAGTATCTTAAACTCGTTTGTGATGAGGTATTTATTACTAACTAGAACGTAGAAGAATCGGAACACAAACATCAACACAAGCTGTAAGTGCAGACAGAAGTGGAATGACTCACTTCAGCTGAAAGAGTACAGTGTGTTCCGCCTCCCTTAGAGGAGCAGGAAGCTTCTTGGGGTAAATAGAAGCTGTAATTACGCACCAGAGAGGTTTGCGTTGCCCAATCAGAATACACACCTGCACAAGGAACAGTAACCAGATGTTGAAGGAATGTACCCTTTGACCCCCAGACAGCCAGAAGATGTTTCAGTCCAGAATAGAGGTCACTATGTTCATGGGAGAGATTTTACAAAGTCTAAGAGAACTCTGTGTGCACGGGATCAATCAGTCCCCCCCCAACATTTCCACTTTTATTTGTGGTTTTATCAGATGTATCAACAAACCACTCACTTCTGCTTCGGACAATTTATTCCTTTGTTCAAAATGGTGCAAAATAAACCACGTACACACATGTGAGAAGAACTGAAAAGAGAACAATGCATTCCTGTAAAACAATATTATAGATTGCAGTAGCTTGCAGATTTTTTTACAACAGCGTCTGTTTCAGGTATCTGGTGAAATTTCTTGCCAAACTGGCTCAGGACAGTGAGGTTAATAAAATGACTCCAAGCAACATCGCCATAGTCCTCGGGCCAAACCTGCTCTGGGCAAAGACTGAGGGGTAAGAAGTCTGCACTGTTGCCTCACACGCGTGCGATACAAAGTGAGGCTGAGGCTGATGAAGCTTCCTAATGTTCCCGTCGGTTGGTGGCTGTGCTCAGGACGCTGGCAGAGATGGCAGCCGCCACATCCGTCCATGTGGTCGCCATCATTGAGCCCATTATCCAGCACGCCGACTGGTTCTTCCCTGAAGGTAATGCATCTGTGTTGCTGTATTCGCACCCGTTCTTCTCTCCGTCTTACCTAAAGGAGGCTCAATAGTGAAGAACGGCAAAGAAAAAAATAACCAAAAGATGAAGTGTGAAATGTAACAATCAATTGTTCGTTGTCCCCCTTGTTTAATTTATTTACACTAAATATACGTCTATTTGTAGGACATGTTTCAACTGTTGTTTTTTTATTTGTGTGGAGATAATAGCTTTAAGTGACAAATGTGTTGTCTTGAGTAAAAACAACCTCTTCTAAGTAAATAAAAAGTAGTTCAACATTAAACACAAACCTGCAATAAGACCAAAGTATTGTTACACATTTTCATTTTAGATTAAAAGTTAAACGATCCCTAAATGGTAAATGTCAGCGTAGCAAACAATTGGATTACTGATCATAACACAACTGCCGTCAATCATTAGAAGCATTCGGAGATCTTTGTCCTCTTTTCACCGCTCCTCTATCCGCTGTGTTCCCTCCCAGAGGTGGACTTCAACGTGTCGGGCATGTTCGCAGCAACCTCGGACCTGGACCCCGCCCTGGAAAGGAAGCGCCCCGGCAGCCTGGTGGGGCAGGACGGGGACGGTCACACCCCCCGTAAAGACAGGTACCTGCCTCGCCCCAACCTCGGCCTGACCCTGACCCTCCCGTCTCGTCCCAAGACGCCGAGCAGGCAGGAGTCGCGGGGCCCGGTGGTGTCGGCACTCTATGTAGTGGCCAACGAGTCCATCACAGTCACAGAAACCCCCACTGAAGATCTGCCCTGTCCAGACTTCAGAGCTGCGCCGCGGCCCAATGTAGCTCCCCTGAATCCAATTACTGATAATTAAATTAGGGGAAGGATGTTTTGTTTTTGTTTGCTTTTTTGCACCAGGTTTTTTTTTTTTTTTTTTGGGTGATTTCCGCATAAGATAATCAGTTATGTTTTCCTCAATATTGGTAATGAACGGGAGTTCCCTCGTTTCTTTCAGACAAACACGAACCGTTCTTCACAACAGTTTTCAGCATCGTTGGGATAACATTTTGTCCAGAGCTATAATTTTGGTGTGTTGCTCTTGTGTACTCTTGTGTTATCTTCCCTGTTTCCTAATTAAAGCTTAGGTCCCTCAGTAGGATGCTGGTTTTATGCTTTGTGTGGGCTTCCTTTGTTGCATTCTGTTTGTATGGTGTGGCATATGTTTTTTTGTTGTTTTTTTTTCTGCCTCTGCAGAGATGTCGCAGTTCTACTTCAAAAGGTCACTTACGCGGTTTCACGCTCTGTTTGGGTTTCTTCATTAAACTCAGGAAGCGGTGCTCTCTTTCCGTCTCCTGCTCAATCTGTCTGTCTGTCTGTCTCGGTCTCTTGTCTGATGGCGTGTGGTTCGCCCTCCTGAACTCTCTCCCCTCTCCCCCTCCCCTCCCCTCCCTAGCCCTGTTAACAAACAGCCGGAGCCCGCTCCACGTAGAGCCAGCGCTGTAAATAGAAAGCAACCGCAGCTAACCTCACCCACCTTCCAACCCCCAGTGGCCCCTCTGGAGGCCTGGGGTCCTGCCCAGTCTGAGCCCCAGCTTCTGTCCCCGGCTGCAGAGGCTGAGCAGCCTGGCCTGGGTGGTGCTAGTTCTGGTGCTGGTGGTGGTGGTGGTCGGGGTGGTGGGGTCCAGGTAGCGACAATGCAACCTCGGGTTGTAGCCCAGCTGAGCGCAGAGGAGAGCAGGTAAGGAGGAGCGAGCTGAGGTAGCGACGATACTCCACCGCCTGCTCGCAGCCAATCAGCCCAATCCGGAGCTCATCCGCCCGCTACTTCGTTTGTTCCCGTCTTTAGTTGGTCTTTGGGTTTTTGGTACCCATGTCGGATCTCCTAAATTATAAAATTGTGAGAATAACGACGTCGGTTACCTCTACAGCTTTTAATCTCCTGCATTTTTTACAAATTAAGAATGCTTTGATTACAGGCCTCTTTGATTCTCCATCCGACTTGTGATGAATCGCCTCTATTTTCAAGTATTCACTTCCTTCTTATCGCCTGCCTGCCTGACATGTGATTTTGCACCTAACTCTTACTCAGCTTTTGAACAAACCTGATTTTGCATCTTCACTCCACTTGCCTTTATGGAGTTGTGCGAGTTACTTTTGTTTAAACCTTCATCTAATTGTCATTATCTTTTGAATGGAAGTATGTGTCGTTTGTTTTGTTTTTTCCTCGCATGAGTTCTTGTGGCACTTCCTTGTTCAGGTAGAGTTGGCGTATTGATGGATTGACATTTGGATTCATTGTATCCCCCCAGCCCTGCCCGTGAACACACGTCCACCCCCCCGTCCCAGAGGAATGGTTCAGTCCATCTCACAGTAGGAACCCCCCACTCTCAGGGTGGATCCAGGGGGCCAAGTCCACACATGGTTCGCAGAGGTGAGAGAACGTACCGATTTTACAATTCTGGTAAAAGTAACAAGTCAATGTTGTTGTAATGTGTCAAAATGGCCGCTTCCCTCCGAAGGCACCAAGAAACAGGCTCCGCCCCCCCCCAAGCAGTTCAGCCCCTTTGCCTCTCAAGCTAGCAACGCCCCCAGCTCCCCTCATTACCCACCCATCACCCCCCGACGCAACCCCAGCAAAGACAGCCTGATCCAGGCGCCGAGCCACCCGCCCCCGCAGCCTCCTCTAGCCCCCCACGCCCAGGGGGAGGCGGAGTCCTCTCCCCCCAGCAGTCCCACTCCTCCCGGTACTCCGCCCAGCGATGGGCCGCAGTCCAGCCCGCTGTCTTGCTACCAGTCCGGATCTCTGCCTCGCCCCTCAAGGCCGGCCCCCAAACCACGGCCCCGCCCCAGCATGCCGCCGCCCCCCCAGCCGGCAGGAAATGACACCGGTAACGGCGTCTGCGGCTCCTCCTCCAAGATCATAACAGGTAGACGGCCTCACAAATCCGGCTTTTCCATGTGTTTGTTTCCTGTACGTTCGGATAATGTGCAGCAGCATCTCAAGTCAAATCAAACATGGAATACATGCGGGTTTACTTTAGTAAACATTTTACTTAAGTAGAAGTTTTTTGTATCCGTTTATACAGAAAAGCTCATTTCATAATATTATAAAACTGGATGCATTGACATATTCATTACTTTTAACGTTTCAGCTGTCAAAAGTGAAGCTAATTTTATTACTTTATAAACTTCTAGAAGGTTTAACTCATAGTAAGACATTTGTATTCAGAATAATAGTATAATGCTCAAAGTACTCCCATATTGACAAAATGTATAGTGGAATAAAAAGTACAATATTTATGTCTGAATTGTAGTTCAGTAAAAAGTAACAGAAGACATAAATACTGAATTAAAGAATTTATGATACATAAGCTCAGTGTTTGAGTCGCTTATACTCAAAAAAATAGATCTTTTTATTCAGCATTTTAATGAAATTATGATTTATCAATTGAGTTTTGATTAACTACAGTGTTTTATGAAATAGCATAAACGGGAACACACCGTTGGTGATTAAAGTCGTATATTTTTCTGCGTTGGCGTTTCGACGACTGAAATCGCACTCGGAGCGTTTGAGTGATTTCTGCACTGCTGTATTTCGCTTCCTGGCTCGTCTCAGGATGTCGTAGTGCTTCAAATACTTCATGTAAATGTGGTGATCCGACGCATGACAGGAAATGTATAAATATTACAGATGTCTGAGCTGCTGGTCTGCCTGTAAGATGAGCTTTGCAAGGCAGGTGATGGTAAGGATCTAAATGGCTGGTGTGTTGGCCTCGCTGCTGTGTGTGCTGCATGTTAGCGTCACTCTGCACATACCGTCTGCGTGTGTATTAGTATGCACTTGGGCTTCCTTTTAACCCCGCTGTCCAGTGAAACTAACATGATCGTGTGATTTCCGGCGTGCACATTTTCTTGAGCCGCTCGGGTGCAAAAAACATGTCATTAAACGATTTAACACACCAAGGATACTCACTTCACTTCTAAAAAAAAAAATAAAAAAATTCAAGTCATTGCAATATTGACTAGACCTTAGTGGAAGGATCGATCTTTGGTGTCTTACAAAAGTGGTGTGTGTGTGTGTGTGTGTGTGTGTGTGTGTGTGTGTGTGTGTGTGTGTGGGGTCCCGTTTTAAACCATGTGTTCTATGTGCGTGTGTGTTGCTCTTAAGTTTGTTGGTTTCACTGGTTGAACTCAAGTTCAAGTTTTTCCTGATACGTTCCTCTAACTGTCATGCACAGAAGGAGGCGTATCCCTGAAGGGGATTGGACGAGCCTTCATCCCTGAAGTGAACGTGGACCATCACCGGGAGAGCTCTGCTGGTCAGGAGCCCGCCCCCACCCACACCACCACCCCCCCAGACTCCTATGCAGAGCCTCAGACAGAGTCCACCGCTCTGTGAAGAATCGAGGGCTCGCTGCGATCCTCTTTAACTCAGCCGCTCCGTGTAACAAAGAACCATCGGTCCAGCCCGGATCCTCACACTCTATGCACAAGATGTCCGACTGCTCTCTGGGGGGGGAAGTCTGCCGTTTCTTCTTATTTGCGGAGTCGTATCTCAGAAAAACACTCGCAGTTCCTGTTAGCTACTGGACGTCATATCTCACGGCCGATGTTCTATTTTTCTGGGTATTTTAAGATTGGACTGCAGAGCCTTGCTGGCCTGGAGGCAAGTGAGCGCTAAATATATTGTATATGTAACCGAAACATGCTGAACTCAAAAGGTGCTGAGCTTTCAAAGCTTTCACTTGTCTATTTGAACTTTTAATCCAGCTATTGATGACATCGGTTCAATGCTTTTGTAAGTTTTTTTGAGACCGAAATCTGTGAATCCTGTTCAGCAGCTTTTTGCGGATGTTCTTGAGCCAGCCACTGATTATCTATTCAGCATTTTCCCGATTGGCCAATTCCAATAATTGTCCCACTTCACTCTAAACACTTGTAAAGGACCAAAGAAATGGATGTAGGCCAAAGGAAATTGAATATAAGTTTAGAGGTTTTGTGCAATAAAATGCAGTTGTCTCCCACAGTGCATTTGCTGTACAATTTGTTATTTCAGTTGTCTTTTAATCCAGTGTGGAAGAATATTGTTTGATTCCAAATGGACAAATTCAAAATTGCTTTAAACTTCAGATTGATCAGCTGTCCTCATTAAAAGGGATTTTTTTTGTGTTAATTACTTTAAATACAAAGCTTGTAATCCATCTCTCCCACTCGAGCTTAACGCTATGACCAAATACAGCCAAATTCTATTTTGTGTATAATATTGACCACGGCTGATCATCTTTTTTCTGTATTTTTCTATATATATATATTTTTTGTCTACTTGCTTTTTTTATTTCTCATTCATGCATTTCTATGTTGTCTTCTGCACATAATGCATGATTACTCTTGATAATTAAAGGTTGTTCATCATTTTACAATGTTGTCAGCTTATCAGTTATTTGTCAAAATAGGATGGAACCGCTAAAAGTAGATGCAAAGCCTGAAAAACACTTCAATCTGTTATTGTCATTTTAGTATATTATTCAGCAGTTATTCTTTATAAATATGACATGAGTTTTTATCTGGGTGTGTTGACATACGCATTCTTTCATGCACTGATGTGTGAGAAATGATACTCATCACCTTTAATGAACCCGTCTAATTTTAATGTCCGTCTCGGTAAAATATATTTACATGGCTTTTCACAGTTCACACACACACCGTTGTGTCCATTGAATTGGTTCACGGCCAGCTTGTCAAACCCAGTAGCCGATGATGAAGGCAGTTACAGAGAGGCAAATGAGGAGGTTGACGTTAACAACGAGCCTTAGTCGTGGCTTTTCTTCCAGAGAAGAGATAATCTCTACAGGTGCAGGCCGCGCCACAGGATCATCATCTCCCTTCTTCCTCCTCTCCATCCCACACACCCAGTAGACGGCGGCTGTCAGCCTGGATTGGCTCTGGACGGCGGACACAGCCGAGTCTGGAGAGTTTAGGAGGGAGGAAGAAGACACTGAGGTGAGTAGAGCGTTCGCCGGCAGGACGGACTGACAAATGGAGACGCGGGACAGAGACCCACCTTTCCTTTGCTGACACGCGGTTCCGTTGCTGCTCTCCTGCTCTCCTCCTGTGACTTCCATCTCGTGCATCTGACCAGGGGTCACCTCTGAGCCGTTACTGCTCTGCTCCCCCTGCTCTTTGGGCTCCACTGGGTCAAACCTAGTGAACCACGTGAGGCGGCTAATCTGTTCAAAGTAAAAACAAGTGAGACTGGCATTATAATATCTAGCTGCTATTTAAAATGGTTTATTTTAATTCAGGTGTGATTCACAGCAGAAATAAGCTGCTTATATGCTTTTCTCATGGGTCAGTTTTAAGTTTATTCTGTAAAACTACTTTCAGTTTTCCTAAAAAAATTCCTGCTGTGTTATTGGCCCTCTGTGGTGCTGTAGAGTGATGTGTTATTCAAATATGTAGATTAAAAGCGTTGACTTCACCTGCTCTGGTTTGGGCTCCTCTGTAGCCAGGCTGACTACAACCACCACAGCCAGTGTGATGAAGGACAGCAACGTGGAGAAGTACAGGTAATGGACGTACTTCAGCACCGCCGGCCTGTCGTCCTCCTCGTAGCACAGCGGCGCAGGATAAATGAAGTCCAACAACATGCGAATGCATCCCACCACCAGGCCGACAACCAGGCCCCAGAATGCACCCTGAACAAGTGACAGGTCCGAAGATGCATTCGAAATCTTTCACAATTTGCCTTCCTGAACAGGAAGTTATCATTTCTGGTTATACATGTATTCAGTACGGTAACATTGTTTACAGCCTGCGATCTAATAGTGAATGCGTTAAACAACCGTCGCCATGTAGAAAATGACCATAGACACAACCGCACCTTCTCATTAGCCCTCCTCCAGAAACAGCCCGCGAGGAAGATGATGGAGACCGGGGGCTGCAGGTAAGTGCTGATGGACTGGATGTAGATGAACAGCTGCCCCCCCTGACTGGCCTGCACGATAGGAATCCACAGCACAGACACGACCACAAGCACGAGCACAAACAGCCTGTCACGCAAACACAAGGAGAGAAGTCGGGTCAGCGCAGCAAGGACCAAAGACTTTATTACAGGAATAAAAAAAAACTGCGTATTTAAACACCACTGTATGTTCAGTTACCAGTGTGTGTGTGTGTGTGTTGGCTTGAAAGGGAAATCTGGTAAAGTTATTACTTTAGAAAATGTGGAAACGGAGTTTGTGGTTTGGTTGTGCAAGAGAGAAAATTGTACTGATTTAATGCGTAATTTTGTGGGTGGTTTTATCCAGCGCATTATAATGCCATGCGTGGCGTATACTTTAACTTCGAGGTTCCCTGAGTAGGAATGAAATATTTTTCAAGATGTATACAGTAGATCTTCAAATTTGAACCTAAAGCCCCTGTGGACAATGCTGTATGAAAGCATTTTGAAAGAATTGTTAAACCATTTAAAGCTCAAAGCGAATGTTATGACAATTATAGATTATGAAACATACGTGATGTTTGAATATTGTTACAAGCCGGCCCCTCGGCAGCTACGTCGCCTACCTGCCCACAATCATAAGTTCCCACTCGGATGCCCGTGATCGGAAAGTCTTCCATAGATCCATGGTGAAAATGGTGCTGGCGCTGTTGAAGATGGAGGTCAGAGAGGACATTAGGGCAGCAATCATCACTGCCATCATCAAACCTCGAAGCCCTGGGTGGGAAAAGAAAACAGAGATTGTCATAAAATACGCAGCACAGGAGGTGTAATCAGGGGAAAGAATATCTCACCTGCAGGCAGCAGCTCCATGACCAGTCTGGCGTAAGCGGTGTCCGAACATCCCACTGGGTTGCCACATATCTCATTGCACTGGTCAGGGTCTGCACACGCCACATCCTCTGCACAGCACCATGAAAATACACAACACCCCCAAAGATGAAAACATTCAACACAACCTGAACAAGCCAGTAGTACATTTAGAATTAATTGTATAGTTCTGGGTGTATCAAGCACATTTTCCTGAGCTGCTGTTTTAATCAATTAAAAGATTTCACACTGTACCCGTGTAAAGTATCCTGCTGATCATGCCAGGCAGCATGATAATAAAGAAAGGCAATATCTTTAGATAAGCAGCCAGGAGGGAGCCCCCTTTGGCGTGGGTCAGGGTTTTAGCAGACAAGGAGCGCTGCACAATGACCTGCAGGAAAGACCTCAGTTACACAGCAAGTACTTTTTAATAGGACCCTTTCTAATCTGAGTGGATAAGAAAGTCGCCCAGATGACTCAGTCTGGCATGCACTGAGGGTAAGGGTCGTATGTGCAGGATAAGATTAGATTCGAAGGGGTGAACTAAGTAGAAAAGACATTAAATCACTCCTGTCTTTTGTTGTCTCGAGCGTAGTCATCTATTCCTCTTATACTTGGCAAAGGTATCTTTAAATTCTCTAAGGAGCAAAACATACCAAATTCATGCCAAAAAGAAAAAGCATTGAATTTCATATTTCATACAAAAAAATCCCCTGTGGCATTTTAAAAGTATATTCTCTAAACAGCCCCCCTGCTGAGATGGTGCCAGCATTATATCTAAATAAAACGAGAATAAGGAATTCCTTTATATATCCTGATTTCACTGTTTTGTAGTAGTATTGGCAAATTAGTATTTCTGTACCTGGTCAGAACACCAGTACCACATGGAAGGGACGGACATGCCGATGATCACTCCGGGCCAAGGCAGGTCAGAGGTCACCGGGTCTCTGAATATGTGGAAGGAGTCATCTCGAGGAATGCCACAGGTAGAGTTTGGCACACGAATCGAAGGGATGGCTCTTGGGTACCTGTCCATCAGAGCATCCCAGCCTCCGACCTCCGCGAAGCCTCAACAGGAGAGGAGGGAAGAGGCGGGGAGAGAGGGAGGGGGGCACAGCAGGGTCAGAGCAACTGGAACATTAGAGTGCCGGTGACGGAATGATGTCACGTGCAGACTGACTCACTGAAACCCATGAGGGTGAGAGCTCCGGCCAGCATGATGGCAGTTTGAACAGCATCCGTGTAGATAACTGCAGCCAGACCGCCTGGGAAACAACCAGCAGTGACACACAGCAGCAGTAATGAGGAGTAAAAAGCATCAAGTGGACAGAAGAACAAAAGTCACCTGCTACAGTGTAGAAAGCGGTGATTGACAGCAGCATCAACACAGCCAAGTAGATGTTCCATTGTAACGCGAGCTGAATGAACAATGCACCAGCGTACATGTCCACCTGGCAGAGGGACACGAAACATTTCAAATACATCCATGAATTCAAATGTATCTATTTGTTATAGAGTACAAAACCCTAGACAGTTATTGTGGATTTGTATCATACCGATATTTTTGTGAAGACGTAAATGAATAAGGACAGGACAGCTATAAATATCTGTGTTCTTCTTCCACCAAATCGCCTCTGCAGGTATTCTGGCATCGTCATCACCTGGAGATAGTAGTTGAAAGATGATCGCACATAAAGGAATGAGCAAAATAATCCACAAGCACGTTTGCGTTAGTGATGCTTGTCGCGTGGACGGCTCACCCCAGAGGCGATGTAAATGGGCAGGAAGAGCCATCCCAGCAGCAGCACCATCAGTATCCCCTGTGTGGACCTCACCCGGTTTAAAAACAGCTCACCATCTCATTTCCAACCTGTTGGCTTTTTATGCTAATCTGCATATCTTCACAACGTGTATAAAATCTCTTACATTCCACTCGTATGCAATAGCCCCAATTCCTGCAGCAGCTCCGGAGCCCGCCAGGCCGATGAAATGACCACTGCCGATGTTACTGGCAAACAGCGAGGCGCCGACCTCAAGAAAGACCCGAGAATTAGGACGGTCTCAGTATTTCAACTTCCAACTGCAGGACATTTCGCGTCAGAAAATATATATTTTCTCGAGATAGTTGAACTTGTCTGCGAGTCTGTGAAAAGCCCCAAACTGTTTACTTGTTTAACTCACTGGCCACCAGGTCATGTCCTTCCCAGCCAGGAAGTATCCATCCACCGTGCTGCGCTTTGTCTTCCACATTGACTGGAAAGGGAATAAAAGGAGGATGAATTTCCAAGAATAAATACCGGAAACACGACAGGATCCCCCACCGGAGAGGGAGGAACGCTCCACCTGCGGCCGTCTTACCGGGTGGTAATTTAATGTAATGTATCAGACGTGTTTTTATCCTGCGCTTACCCACAAGCCAACAGCCAGAATGAGCAGGAAGTAGACGACCAGCACAACCACATCCACGGTGCTCAGGGGACTCCTGCTGCTCGGAGGAGGTGAAGGAGACGGGTCCATGTTGATTCTTTTTTGGCCTTCTGTAATGTCAAATATATGCCAATTTGTGGAATCAAATTAATTTGGCTAATTGTCTCTCCATTAAGTACAGTAATCAAAAGTGAAGACTCATTAGTCTTGAATATCTTCCAAAGTCATGAAAGAGTGAACTGTGTTGTGACTAAACTAAGGTGCACTTGTGTGCAGAACAGTAGGAACGTCGCTTTGGAACTGCGTCTGTCCACTTCTTTATGAAGCCACCAGCTGTGAACCAATGCTTTAAAATATGATGGATAGATCACTATCTTACACTCAACACATGTATGCACAATCATAAATTATTCAAATTAATACAATGTCTCTTTTACTGGAGACATGTTTAATAAACGGTTGATGAGTGGAAGTTAATGTTTAGTCATATACTTATGAACTGCACTTCATATCAATTCAATTCGAAGATACAGATGTTGCCCTTTAAGACATCAATGACGCACTTTGTGGCACATCACAAGAAAACATACACATGTTGGTATTTTCCAGCAATTCAGATAAATAAAAAACAGTCTGTGCATTGGATCGTTTTATCCGGTTTATAAACTCACTTTCAGCAGGTTTTCACGCAGTTTTCCTCTAAGTGGAGTTGTCACAAACTACGTGACGGTGATCCTGGGAATCTTGTGTCTGTTCCGAAAGAATCCTTTACTCGGCAAAAGATCAAACTCCACATTCCCCTGGTGTGTGGCAAGGTGGTGTTTAAATGTAAATGATTGATTGAAACAGAGCAATAAAAGGCTGCAGCTGAAGCCAATGGAAGATCAAAATGATTGCTGATCTTTTTTAGTAGAGTCGTTAGATGTGGGCAGCGATATCCATGCATGAGGTGAGTGTTGTGATTGTGTGTCTTTGTGTGCAGGCTCATCTCAGCCGGTGTTAATCTGACAGTAAAGACAGGACGAGTTGTATGGAAATTTAATGAGTGTAGTGTTGTGATTACATTCTTAATCGTATTTATTGTCCTGTCGATATTACACTTCTGCACACAGTATCATTACTATATAGCATTTTTTATGGTTTTTAAATGAAACACTGGAAAAAACATCCAGGGCAAAAGTAGATTTTATTTCATTCTTTGTAGCATTCTTATACAAAATACAGACATGACACTATGCATTAAATGGACGGTAATGCTTTGGAGTTAAACACTTTACATTTTAAGCAGAAAACAACGTGTTTGCTGCACACATTATGATCATAACATTTGCCTTAAAATTAAAAATGATCACTTGCGGATCACTAGCACGTCCTAAAAGTCGTGTTATTCACCATATGCATGTAACATGCTGCCTCTGCTACAAGATACTATAATTATCGTTGCTCCATATGACACATCAATAAAATAAATATTTAGGTAAAACATAAAAGTAACAAAGTGCTTTATTTACAGTAGCATCTACATCGGTTTCCTTTAAATCCACTCTCATTCTGTACAGTACAAACACAATATATTTCTGTTAAAGTTTTATATAGTATTGTAATATGTAGTATAATATCCATACAGTTATACATTCACATATTGCACACTGCCCACTTTTAGGTCCACATAATCCCACTTCTACTACCTACACTTAGTGCACACCAGATCAAGTTGAACTTTGGAACAGTTCACATGTATAAAAACAATAATGTTGTTTCATATATACATGTTAATAACGCTTGAAGTTAAAATTAATAAAGAAGAAATTGAATGGAAGATCTGGTGTAAGTTAATTAAATCACCAGGACAAGAGAGCTCAATGAGGATTTACGCTAAACTTTGTCAGTAAAGAAGTTATGTCACATTCAATGTGCTTACAGAAATACAGAAACATGAAACTAACTGCTTTTGTTTTAGTTTTTTTGAAACCACCAAGAGAATGTGAATATATTTTAATGTAATGTCTATTTCAGGCTCAAATAGAATTGTCTAAATCTATGTCTTAATAGTGTATATTCAAGAAATACATCAGTGTAGAATTGTAGCAGCACACAAACACTCAGGCTTAGAAAAAGAAATCTTCAACTACAGGATGTTAATGAGCGACTTCCAAACGGTGGAGATCTGCTGACGGTCAGACAAGCTTGTTCTCTACACAGCAGTTCCAATCATCAAGATTTAGACCAACAACAACTTTCAGTGGGGAAGGATACACATGATTTACAATACAACTTGCATTACGCTTTGCAAAGTTTATATATTTGTGCCTCATGACATTACCACCCAAAATAAATGAATATATAAAATGTTTTGCCCAGAATTTGTGCTTTATGCCTTTGTGCATGTAAATACAGAATATGTGGATGAACTATGTCATCTCTATGTGTGTGTGTGTGTGTGTGTGTGTGTGTTACCAGGCGAGTGGGGAGGCCAATCGTGGACTTCTGGGGCTCTTCTGATTTTCTGCAGCTTGCTGATCGTGAAGAGCTCTCTTTGGTGAAGAAAAAAACAGGGTTAGTAAGCAAACATTATTAACTTGATATATTTTTATATTTATTCAGAGTTGTACGGCTGAGAAGGAACTACACATGCAGAAATTAGTCTAATAAATACCTGAATCTTTCTTGCTCACCTCAAACTTGTCGATGAATTGGGCAAAGATACCAAAGAAAGCCTCAGTGTTTGTGGTGTTGCCGTCTTCTCCAAAGTAAGAGGCAGTTTTGTTGAATTCCTCCAAAGCTCTCTGTTGCAGGGACTCAAGGGACTGGACAGCTGGATGACTGTTTTCCAGAAAGTTCTGCACGTATTTGAGTTAAAGGACACAAGACTTTCATCATCTCCTCTACTACATCTATTTCATTCCGTCTCATCAGGGCTCCAAATATTGTAAACGAAAGGATACACTCATGACGACAGCAAAGCGGTCCTCAGCGCTCGCAGGCATCTTCTGACAAGCTGAGCGAATGTCCTTGATGGTCGCATCGAGGTCATTCAGATCAGACGTGATAATCCTCAGGTTTACTGTACACAGAAAATAGAAGAAGAATGAAATGAAAAAAAAAACACAACAACCAATCTTGATCAAGAGCTCGGTGAGTTTTGGAAGCTATCGCTAAATGTACCCACCTTTGACTGCGAGAGGAACCATAGTTAAATCTTTGGAAAAATCTAAGACATCAGGGAAGTGATGACATAACGACTTGACCAGAATGTGCAGAAATGTCGACTTCCCATCGACTGTTTTAGTTGTGCTCAACTGCGGAGGACACAATGAAGTCATCAACACTCGACACCATGAGAAGAAAACACTCACTCAAGACACCGTTTTAATTTGTTTTAGCGTATACTGTACCTCCGTAAGGAAGTTGATCTTAAAGCCTGTAGTAGTCTTGTTGGTTTTAGGCTGGCTGTTATTCAAGTAGTTCCCCATCGCCAGCACAAACTGATGAGACAGAACGGAGCAAGCACAAATGTAACTCTGTCCAGTGCTTCATATACAAATGTTTATTACAGTTCCAACATATTTTTGTTGAAAAGTGACCAACGGTTACCTCTAGTATTTTGGCGAGCTTCTTGCTCGTCTTCAGTTCCACCGAAGCCTTGTAGAGACAGTCGAGCGCTCCCCTCAACTCCTCCGTCTTCTCCTGTAGAGAGCACTTGAAGAGGAGGCACTGCAGGCGGGTCTTGTACTCTGGTATTGATAACAACTGGACGGATAACACACGCAACGTGATGAACCAAATAACACCACATGGGACAACGTGAGGCCCGTTCCAACCCTGCAAGGACTGTACCTGCAACACAAACTGGTCAGGCTCACTGAGCTTGCTGGGGTCCTGCCTGTAACCTTCGTACTTTTTGACCTCTTCGGCGTCCGGGGCGTACAGCAGCAGCTGCTTGAGGTGGGCCGGCTCCAGCCTGTCAGTGACCATGTTCATCAGCACCTGGCGCAGCTCACCGGGAGACAGCTTTAGGTGTGCGATCAGGATGGCTTTGTGTCGAGAGGAAGACGAACAGAGATTGTGATCTCCTAATTCTGAACCATGTGTGGGAGTATAAATGTGGCCGGGTGATGGCGGTACGTAGTAATATATTGCACTTACAGGCGTTATAGGCTTTCTTGTGAGACAGGATTTCAATCACGTCTTTCTTTCTGAAGGTTTCTGTCAGCGATGACTCCGGAGCAGTCACTAAAATGCGATCAGGGTTTGGAAAAAGAGGTTATGGAGTAATAAACAGTATAATAGACAGTAGGCAAGAGATGAATGGGAATGAAGATTTTGTTAAGATCATGCACCGTTTTCAGCAGGTTTGGAGGTTATTGCAGAATAACAAACTTAGATGTGTGAGTAAGTGTGAGTAAAATGATAGGAAAAGTGATTTGAAAAGGAACCGCGGATTCATGTGGTGTGTTTTTTTTGACAAGTTTCTGCAGTGAAATAATGTTGATCTAATGACTAAATAATCACACACAAAGTAAACAGAGATCCAAGAACTTGATAATGATGTGCTGCTAAGAAATAATGGTGCATGTTGTCCTTCTGATTAAAATATTTTGCACCACTTAAGGGTAAATTCGGCTTACTGATAAATCCAGAATGCTTTTATATCATCTTGTGATCTTCCGCAGTGCTTCCATTTAAAGCCCTGCAGATATGCATACAGCCTCTTGTACTCACGGGAGCTCTTCTGTGTCCCAAAGTGCAGCTCCAGATCCAGATACTTCACCATGTCGTGCAGTTTTTCATAGTCGGAATTTGCCCCCAACTAACAAAGACAAGCAAAAATGATTCAATGTGAATTACAATTTTGAGAATTTTTGATATTTATGAATTTGGAATGAATGAGGCATCAGCTCCAAACACCACAAAGCTCACCTGTCCCCAGATAGTGCCCTCTGAGTTCTCCACCTGCTCCCAGCGTAACCTCTTCACACTCATGTGGTTGGAGTCCATCCTGGAGAGCGAAGGCCTGGGCAAGGGTGGTGGCGTGCAGGGTGGGGGCAAGGGCGGAGGCGGAGGGGGCTCCAGGTGCTCCGAAGGGTCAGACAGCGAGTGCGGCAGCGATTGGGGCTGGCTCTGGCCATGGGATTGCTTGTGGTGGGCCTGGGTTAGGGGCTGGTGTTGCTGCTGCAGCAGGTGATGTGAGGGCTGGGACTGCGAGCGAGTGGCTTGGGTGGAGGGATGGATCTGGTGCTGTGGTTGGTGGTGTTGGGGCAGTGGCTGGAAAGAGGAGAGGGTCAGCGGGTGCGGCTGGAGCGGCTGAAAGGTGGAAAGAAGAGGCTGGGGCCTGTGGGGCTGCTGGGGAGGGTGGATTACATGGATCTGGGGTTGGTAATCCTGCGGAAGTGGCTGTGGGGTCATGTGGTGGATGTGGTGGATCTGAGGTGAGCTGGAGTGATGGTGAGTCTGCTGGATGGAGTGGGGTCTTTGGGGAGAGGGTTTGGTGGGCTGGGGGTGATGGGTTTGGTGTGTCTGCTGTTCTTGGTGTCTCCCTTGCGGAGACACATGGGACTGATGAGGACCTTTAACACTTTTTCGACTCTGATGGGAGTGGCTGTCCCGGTTTAGGTGAAAAGGGAGGGAGGCAGGCTCCTGCTGGGCTTCATGCAGAAGCTCTGTAGAGGAATGGTGGGACTTGGTTTGGTGCATCTGCTGGGCTTGATGGAGGAGCTCTGTGGAGGAGTAATGGGCTTGGGGCTTGTGCACCTGATGGAGCAGCTCATTGGATGAATGGTGAGGTTGTCCACGATGCATCTGATGACCCTGGTGGAGAACTTCGGCTGAGGAGTGGTGGGGCTGCATCTGCAGCATCTGCTGACCTTGGTGCAGAACTTCTGTTGAGGAATGATGGGCTTTGCTTTTGTGCATTTGGGGGAGCATCTCTGATGACGAAAAGTGAGCTTGGACATGTTGCATCTGCTGGAGCATCTCTGTAGAAGAATGGTGGGCCTGGGACTGCTGCAACTGATGCAGCATCTCGATGGAAGCGTGATGGGCTGGTGCTTGGGGCATCTTGTTGAGCATCTCCGAAGAGGAATGGTGGGCCTGGGGTCTCATGGCCTGATGGCTTTGGTAGATGCCCTCAGCATATTGGCCGTGTTGGCTTGGGTGGGTTGACGGTTGGGGCGACGCCTGGTGTGGAGATGGGGCTGACCGGGACAGACGTCGGCGGTGCTGACTCTGGTGGGCCTGTGCTTGACGCATCATATACAGCGGATGGTTAGGGTGCTGATGGGAGGAGTCTGGAGACGGGAGCGGAGGTAAAGACTGGTGGAGCTGCTGGGGAGGCAGCGGCGAGTGGGCTTTCTGCTGTGTTGGCTGACTAGGCATGGAGTGGTGGCTCTGGTAAATCTGTTGCTCTTCAAATGCTTGTTGCTCCTCATAAGCCTGACGCTCCTCGTATGCTTTAAGCTCTTCATAAGCTTTTTGCTCCTGGTAGGCTTCCAGCTCCTCAAGTGCTTTTTGCTCCTTGTAGGCTTGACGCTGTTCGAATGCCTTTTGTTCTTGGTAAGCTTGGCGCTGCTCATACGCTTGCCTTTCTTGGTAGGCTTGTTGCTCCTGGAACAACTGCTGCTCTTCAAAAGCTTTTTGCTCCTCATACGCCTTCTGCTCTTCGTAAGCCTGTCTCTCCTTGAAAAGTTTCTCCTGGAAGGCCTGCTGTTCCTGGAAGTCCTGCTGCTCTTGGAACAGTTGTTGCTCCTCATAAGCTTTCTGCTCCTCATACGCCTGTCTCTCCTTAAATGCTTGTTGTTGATCTGCATAAGATTGTCTTTCCTGGTACGCTTGTTTCTCTTGAAAAGCTTTCAGCTCTTGTATGGTAGCGTGGACCTGAAGGTCGTCTCTTTTGGGCAGCACTTTATGTAAAGAGTGCCGTTTAGGTGGTAGATTATTGCGGGGCGGAGGTGGGGGAGGAGGGCTAGATTTGCGGCGGACGGGCACGTATGCTCTTGGGGAGTGTTCAGGGGTGTAGCTAAGCTGTTGCTGCTGTTGCTGAGACTGAGTCTGAGTCTGTGCGGGTGGTGGAGGTGGAGAAGGAGTTTCGTTGATCTGAACAGGTGGGGGCGGCGGAGGGGTCATCGGGGGTGGAGGGATGTGGTCGGAGGAGGATGAGTAGGTTAGGGAGGAGGCGTTCTCTTCTCCACTGCTGCTGTGAGCGTCACTTGGACTGCTGAGCTCTGGGGCAATGAATCCTCCATGTCCATCTTCGTCCCCCCCCAAATCCTCTTCCATATCCTCATCCTCTTCATCTGGGAAGCCCATCTGTACAACATCCTGGCGTTAACACCAATTAAACTTGATTAGCCTCAGGTCAAAGTGGAAGTTGTAACATTAGAATGTACACATGGTCATCTAGAGACAGTTGTTCAGGATCTCCTGGCCATATTTTACACCATATTTCTTTGCAAGAGCTGCACACACATAATTACGGCAGGACATTTTTGGACTGATGTGATGACAGCTAGACCGGCTTCTGTCATCAGCTGAGTTCACTCTCGAAAGGCTTCTCACATTAAAACTAGTAATCATACTAAGTCATTATTCGGTTGGTGCGTTTTTGACCCACAGATTGATTTTTGACTGTCATCAATTCTTTAGTGTTTGTGTGTGTTAACTGCAACAAACTACAAAGACAATATACTTTGCCTTGTTTGTCCTTTACCTGTTTGTATTACATAACCTGTAACCCAATGCATATTGTAAATATATATTTATCTCCTAAATGAGAATACAGGCTTCATATTCGTTAAGTTGACTTTACCTCCTCATAGTCGTTTTCCGGTGTCAGAAAGTCATCAATTATGGCCACCCTCTGTCCCAGCTGCTCGCTCAATGCGTCTAGAAAGCGATCTGTGTCTTCTGAGCGAGGGGGCTTGGAGAAGGTGTAACGCCGCTTGTTGCTGCGGACCCCGGGGGGAGTGGAAGGGTAGTCGGGGAGCTCTGGGGGTGACAGAGGGGGACTGTCAAGGCTGATGTAGGGGTTGGACTCCCCACTGTCCTGGCTCGTTAACCCCGACGAATAGAAATGGGACTGGGGGGGGCTGGGGAGGGGCTCTGGCCAGCATGTAGGGAGCGGGGGGCCTTTTCGACCGCCTGAGATTAAGAAAGAGACATTCAGTGTTGTTTCAGATGTTTGAATAGAATAAATACATAACGACTATCAATGAAACATTCAGTTAACTTTGGTCTTTTTTCTCTTTCATAATTGAGTAAATAGAGTTATGTATTTTATTTTCCAGCTAAATCAATAATAAACCACAGAGATATTTACACCTTCCCTCACAGGCAATTGGGAAAATTTTCCAATCACTCCATTCATTTTTAAAAATCTCAAATTATTACTAAGGTTATTAAAATAATAACAAATTATCATTGTGTACAGCTTTTCCACTAAAATGTGAAAGGTTCAGGAAAAAATGGTCAAACTGAAAATGTCTTTTAGAAGAGCTGTACTTCTTTAAATGTGTGTTTTCTGGTTCCACTTCCACCTCCACGATCACCATATCCTCCTTAATGTATGCGGTTCAGTTTTTCTGGACTATATATCTAACATGCCTGCAACCTGAGCAGACTGAATGTGAGGGAACTCTTATCTCTCCCTCGTATGTTGGCACTGCATCCTTAGATTAGATCAAGTCAAAGGTGGCAACTTGTTAAAAAAATTCAAAATAATGGCACGTCCTGATCTAACGAACTAAATAAAGGCCAATTGCAACACCCAGGCACCCAAGAAAATGTTAAAGGCAATGGCGAAATATAATTCCAGCTGCTCAGAGTTTACTGTATGTTTTTGGCTACCTGTGTTCGCATGTATTGTCGGGGAGGCTGTGCGCGAGGGACGTTCCAGATCCAGAAAACTCTCGGGGGTGGGAGGAGGACGACTCTTCAGAGACTTGGACCTCTTGCTCGAGTACATGTTCTCCAGTTCAGCGTACACTGCTGACAGCTTGTATGGTGGAAATGTACAGAGAAACCAGAGTAAAGAGTTGGCCTAGTGATGAAGTGAATGCTGAATCCGACGGTGATATTTACTGTACTTTGGTACATACATTGGTGAGGTTATTAGGAGTCTCGGGAAGGGAAGTACCGTCTCCTGACTGTCTCTCGCCTGGAGCCAAACGCATACCCGTCTCCATCAATGTCTCTACACGGAGGCCTATGACAACCAGGTAACTAAGTTAGCTCTGGCCCATACATGGTGGCCACCAACCAAGCAATTTTGACAACATAGGAATACTCTAATATAATATTCAGTATAAGAAATCTCTAAACGGTATGGAAATAAGAGCAAAGGGGTATGAGAATCAAAGGAGTCGCGGTGGCGCAGAATCAACCAGCATGGCGTTGCTGTTGCTGTGGATGAGGATGAAGGTAATGAAGTTCTGTACCCATGCCCATGTGTGTGCCAATGACCAGGTCATCAGAGCTACGTCCCCTCACACTGCTCCTGTACGTGGTCCCTGTCACCCTCATGGAGCTGCTACGTCGATGTGGCTCGGGGGCAACATCGCTCTCCGGAGGAGGAGGGGGAGGAGGAGGTGGTGGTGGTGGTGGTGGAACTGGAACACACACACACACACATATCGGCAATGCAGAGGAAGAGGCAAAAGGCGTATGAAGGGCTGCAGCCCCCGAGTTAGTTGAACTTTACTGGGCCACACGCAAAATTACTTAAGGGGCGCACACACCTGGCGCTTTGTATCCAAGAAAGCGTGAGATCTTGCTTTGGCAATGCTCCTGCTCCTCGTACGTCAGCAGCTGGTAGACAAACTGCCAGATCACCTGTTTGGCTGGAGTATCCAGCACCGGGAACACATCCACGATCAGAGTGTCTACGTCCTGTTGCCGTGGAAACACAGGCAAGGTGACAAAGATCGCCTGGCTTTCCAATCAGAGGTCAGAAGTTGAGCTCATGTAAATGGTCACCCACGGATGTGGCGAACTAGACGGAAGATTAAAGAGGTACTCCACTGATTTTACTCATCATGAGGAGTGTTGAGTCTGTATCATATGGTCTGTGACTCAAGGTTATCTTTCTTTAGGCTTAGGGACTCAACATTTTAACAGACAACCAAACAGGGAGGATGTATTTATGTGATGCTAGTGGTGACTTTATGAGAAATGTACAATGTAGATCCAGTAATAAACAAAAAGAACACTCTTTAAACCGTATCGTTTACCAAACTCGCTGGAGTACCTCTTTTATTACCATCTCACATTAATGAACATAATGCATTTCAGACTATCCAGATTTGACTTAGTTTTTATTCCATTCCAGGAGTCCATTGATGAGAGAATGCACTTTTGATTGTCATGCCAATTATGTTAAAATAAAAGCGTACCGGACCCAGCAGTGCAAAAACATAAACATGTACTATCTTCCTCCCGTTTGTCACATCACATCACGTCCATCCTCTGACCCCCTCCACATCATCCCGCTCACCTTCTTCTCCCCTTGAGCCTATGCTCACCTGTGCTGGAAGAAGTTCTCCAGAGCCTTGCAGATGGTGTACTTCTCCTGGATGGTCAGCAGGTGTTCCAGCTGCTGTCCGAAGGTGCGGCCTTGGACCCGGATGCTGGGCGGGAGAATTTCTGCCACCCACTGCAGGGAGCTGAGCACAGGGGAGCGGGCACACTCTGTGGGGAGACCGCCGCCCGCCAGGTCCTGCTCCGCCAGCGTGAAGGAAGGCGGACCGTCCTCCACAACCAAGGTGGGCATGGCGCCACTGCCCTGGAGCATGGACACCACCTTCTCATGGGACGACGTTCTACGGGCAGATACATGGTATTGCATGGAAAGAAACAAACACTGCGATAACCTTTTGCTTGAAACTTGTGGTTACATATCAAAACCTTTATAATCAATCATGATTTTAAATATTTCTTGAATATTTTGGGAATATTCTTTGACATTTTTTTTTCACCAAGCATAAACCCACTGGTTCCCTATGAAGATCACTTCTTTTTTTCCCTAGCAATTTTGTAGAAAGCAAGATGTGCGGTTGGTTTTAAAAACAAATCTGGTCGACCAGATATTTTCAATATTTGATTTCCACAGGACAAATGTGCGAAGAATTCATGAAATGCATGCGTGAGAGCTCAACCTCATGTCCAGTCCATTGAGAAACAGGATGCGGTCTCCTGGCTTTAGACCTGCCTTGTCAGCTGGGCTTTCTGCAGAGCAGAAAATTAAGACATTATACAGATGCTTGGAAGCTTCATACAGAAAAGAAAAATGTTATATGTACATAGGTATTAGTGTGTAACATTTTTTTACTTACCAGGGATGACAGAGTCAATCCACACTGGAGCATGGCCTCTTAGAGTAAAGCCAAAACTGTTGTTACCCTTACACACTCTCACTGTCCTACAGAGAGACATTTGACCTTTTTGATTAATGACAGGACTGAGGAATAAACAGAGATCACATACATTTAAAATGAAAATAATTAATTGTTAATAATTAACAACTTATATCTAACTGCAATTGAATAATACATGGACAACTATATAGTAGAAAACTCACAGAGAAAACAAACTGTGCATAAATGTTTGTACTTGTGTGGTTCACCATGTTGCCATCATGACGCGATCAGGAATTTGTCATTTTGGGAACAAACTCATCAATTCACAAAGACACAACAAGAAATGACGTGGCAGATGAGGAGAGCAAGAGGACAGGCGTGACTGCTTAAATGAGATTATTTACCATTGGCTTAATCTCCTAATCTATTTTTCATTTAACTCCCACTCGTCTTAATTCACATTAATTCCATGCCTCACAGAAAGACCTGTCACAGCAGTTATCATGCAGAGCGTCAATAAAAGTGACGTAAGGAGAGAGGGGAGATGCTATTTTAGGAAAATTAGGTTTTCTTTGAAAGTGACATGGCACTGTGTTGCCGTTGATGATGATGATGATGGAACTCATGCTGATGAAAAAGGTCAAAACACAAAGGGACTAAAAAAAGACGAGATGAGCAAAGAAAATCCTTTTGAATGGAAATCAGCAATAGGACACTGAATAGAGACCTGCAGTTGGTGGTGTTGCCGCCGGAGTGACCAGCTATGAGGGAGGTGGTCTTGCGCATGCCGCGGGCGGGTGGGACCACGCCTTCCTCTGCTTGGGTACGCGGCACTGAACTGGCGCGGGTGGAAACCAGAAGGCGCTCGGGGTGATCCTCGCTCCGGCTGCGTCGAAGGTGGCTGCGGCTCGGGTCACTGAAGCTGCGCCCTTTGATCCGACTCATCAGACTCTGGGAAACCACCTCGTCAAAACGCTCCCGGTGCTTCTTGGGAATGAAGATCCTGACGAACATTGTGGGGTCAGACAAAAGATCAGAAATAGGCTTTACTGAGAATCTTCACATCCTACAAAATCAGATTAGAGAAGCATTGCAGCCAAAAAAACCCCCCACAAAATCGAAATTAATGATTCATCCTGATCTCTCAAAGCATCCATCGTCCAAAGGGTAAAGAAAAAAAGTCAGCGACTCTTGTTCTGACTACATTGCTCCAACTGCAGGATCCACACAATTGGTCCAAAAATAATCCCGTAATCGTCTCACGGGAGGGGCCGAGGGAGGTAGAAGGGATTGGTCCAACATTTATTTTTGTGTGTTTATGTGGGTGTTCGTACGTGTGTGAGAGAATGAAAGAGATAAAAGATGAGCCGTGTCTGTGTGGTCCTGTCACATCAGCAGCTGCAGGCCTGAGTGTTCGGTATCAGTGACAGCTCTCTGCTAATATGCGAAAAGGACGAAGCTCAAAGGCAGAGCAGAACCTCTGCAAGAAAGTGCTCCTCTCTCCCTATCGCTGTTGTTACCCCCTCCCATGGTGGACCCCTAATGCAGTTATCCTCTTAAGGAACAACCCACCACTGGATACTCAGAGATTCGGCCTACAAATGTTGTTGCTGCAGCTTCTATAACAAAAAATCAACAAAGAATTGTAAAGAAAGAAGCATTTTCTGATATAAAAAATGGATGTTTTGTTCTGCTTTGAATGTATACTTCAATTGAATCCATGTTCATATTAAGGCCAATTATCGGCAAGAAGGGGAATATACATAACAACAAAAATGACCCACATATGGAAGAATCGTTGCCAAAAACTCTTTGAAATGTGTATCAGGCTCTGATTTTTCTTTTCTTTAAGACACCTTTTCTTTCTCTTCAATCTGATGGCTCTGAATAAATATATAAAATAAAACCGTGCACACCCAGCTCATGTTGTACTTGTACAAGATGTACTATTTGTTCTATTTTGCATAACCCTCCCGTCTACAATATGATGCAGCCTCCATCCTCAACACAAGACTCCATCTCGATATCTCTCGCTTCATAATGAAGCTCCAGGCTGCTTCCACTGTGCCAAGTAGAAACAAGTGATTTTGTTTCTTCAATGTTCCGATGTTCATGCAGACACACAGCGTAATACTACTAATAGAATTTGGTAGAATCCAAAATTGAGGGAAGCCAATATACATCGCCTCTCTAGAGATTTTTTACCTAGACAACAATTTGTTCATGGCCTTTTGCAAGACTGCTGCCACACATTAAAACGGCCGCCTGTCAACTATCCAATAAAACCTGGGACCATACACCAAATAACAAAACATGAACTTTCATAAAACGGGTCAGAAATGTCTAACTAACAGCCCATCCTCATCCTACTTCCAGACACCATACCTTGTGGATTCATATACACACATTCAGTCACATAATGGGAATCCAAAGTGGACTGCTGGTAACGGAGTTTGAGGTTGTGTGTGCCATCTGATAAACGCACACAGTTGCTTGTGAGTTAACTGTGAGTTAACACATTCTTGCAATATCTAAAGACAGCTAACACCTAAAATATCTGTGTGTCCTTATGTGTCCGGGTCAACTATCAAACTATTCCATTAGAAACATTGGAAAAGTGACTCGGACTTCCAATCGTAGGTCCCTCTTCGTTTTACCTCCATCTCCAACTTTAACCCAAGATGAAGGCTGCATGATGATGTATTTCATATCGCTCGTGATGATCTTGTAGTTGTCAGTATACTCAAGAGTCGTGTGGACATTCAAGTGTGGATGTGATGCCAGAGTGAAAACCTAAACACAAAGTGAAAACCTGACCCAGGCAATCGCAAAGGTCAGTTTTGTTTAGCAAGAGTAGAACAACTGAGGTAGAGATATAATGCAACAACATGAATGAGTATTACACACTGTAAAATCAGCTAATACAAAATAGAGGGAATGAGAAAGAAAGAGACAAGTTTAAAATGACGACTTGATATGGACAATAGAAAAAAAGAACTGCAGGACACAAGGAGTAACGTAAAATATGCTAAAGTTGGAGACAAGGACAGAGAGAAAGTGGAGAACCAGAGATCTTTCTAGGCCGGGGTCATGTAACTAAAATACAGGCAATGTAGGCCACAGAACTTTCCAAAACTACACTCACGATGCACCACGATTGCACCCACAAACGGTGGATGGAGAAAACTAAACAGAATGGGGCCAGTCAAGTTCTGGTTCTAATGACCTCCATAATACTTTATTACCTCAAACCACTCTTTGTTATAACTATTCGATAACGTCTCAGTCAAAGTATGAAGAATATTTCATTTTGCCTCAAAATCACCCCAAACAAGTGAACAGAAACTTCACAGCTTTCCTCTGATGAAGTTGGATGTAGGCCTTGGGGTGCCCTAAATTATAAGGAGGGCAAGAGTCTATAATTAGGAATGAAGGAGGGAAGGATCAAGGACACAAAGGGATGAATGACAATTGCAATCAGCTGGGCAACTCATTGCAAGATTCATTGTTATCAGACCCACTTCCAATCTGCTGATTTCCCAGCTCTTTCATTCAAAAAACACAAAACAAAGTTGCAGACACATAGTTAAATTAAAAAGCCACGGACATCAAAATTAAGAAAAAATTGTCATTTGAGTATGAAAAACTCTTTTGAAAGAATCTTGCAGTTCACACTGCTTCTTATGTTTACCTGCAAACTGTAAAATATTCACGGAAACCAACTTGAGAACAAACACAAATAGTTGCACAACAATACTTCAGCAACTTATACAACTTATATGATACAAGTCAGCACCAAACAACACAAAGCCCAGAGAGCACTGCCGAGATGAAAGTAAAAGTGCCGTACCGAAAGTGTCTGGAAAGGCTCCTATCCCGTCCCATGGCTCCTCGGGGGTCTGAAGGAAGCGCCTGTGCTCAGCTAAGCAACGCAAATGCTTCTCCTCTACCTCGCGTGAGTCCCCATCTAGTCAGAACAAGCAAACTCTCCCGGACAAAGGGGAACGAAGAGGAGGATGAGAAAAGGAAGGTGCCCCCAATCTGAAAAGCGTTTGCCGCCGACTTGAAAAGCAGCCGGAGGAAGAAAGACCGAGAGAGAGGGAGCGGTTCACGTCCCTCCACACCTCCGAAACATCCTTGGGCAGCATCCTCGGCTGTTTGGGGCTGCGCTCGCTCTTCGTTCCCATCCTTCGTTCCCCTTTTCCCCCAAAGACGCCAGGGTCAAGTCCGGCGTTCACAGTTTCGGGGCAATCCTCGTCAACGAGTCGCCCATCATTTTGCAGTAAGAGGTGGTGTGTGACAAGTGTCCTCTTCCCTCAGCGGAGGAGGAAGGAAATAATGAGATGAACGAAGAAGTAAGTGAGAAGGGAGAGAAGGGAGGAGAAAGCCCAGTGGAATTTCATAGGCAGGTCATGTGTGCGTGTGTGTGCGCGTGTGCGTCTACGTAAGGAAACTTTGTCATGTCTGTGCGACGTCCGTGACAACGTCTATCACCCAAAACAACTTTCGACTGATTCTTAAAACCTTTGTTTAAGAACTCAAATAATTAAACACAAAGAAAACACTGCAGTGCATCCTGGGTTGAGAATGCATTAGTCTATAATACGTTTACATCGTCTCTGTAAAGACAGAGTATGGCACAAAGGCATTCGATTTACCGTAATACACAACAGGGGCGACTGCATGTTGGGATGGAGACTCTAATAACACTCAGATCATAGCTGACAAGTGTTCAAGCATCCGCTAACCCCTGGATTTCACAGCTGTTTAAATCAACACTGGCAAATGTGTCAAAAAACTAAGAGAGAATTTATTAAAAGAAATGGGCTGCATAAAAATAGCACACATCCTGTGGGACGGCGAGGCAAATCAGCGGGGGGGGCAGAGACAGACTGAGCAGAGAACCGGCTCAGCTGGTCAAGTGTTGCAAGGAACAAGTCAGTAAGCTGTTTAGCACACCTCACATCTTTTGACCTCCGGAAGTGACAGTGCTTGAGGTGGAGGAGGGTTGGGGGGAGGAGACGGCTGCGTTGTCGCACGCCTGTCAAAAATATAATCACCAAACATCCCGAGGAGCAAAGAACTCCAGCATTACATTCCTTCCCCAGAGGCATTTCATTGTCAGCAGCAGCCATTAAGACCACCGGCACCCCGAGGCCGGTCTCACGGGCGACCTGGAAGCTCCCTCCGGCTCATACCACAGAAACATGTGCCATTGTGTTGTGCAAAACCTGCAGTAAACCTGAAAAAAGAATTGTGTCCCTTTCGAAGGAAGGATTGCAGCTTAATTGGCATAAACGCACATAATGGCGGACACAACCGCACTGTGATAATAACAACACATCGACACAGCAGGCAGAGAAAGCCACGATGAAAAACTTTGCATGTCAAAGCACATCAGGATTCCAGTGCACCTGATCTTGATGAATTAAAAATAAATTATGCGTTACTACAGCAACCCAAACTAATTATATCTAATGTGAAGAGATAAGCCGACTCCTTTTGTTAGAGTAACTGTACATTGTGAGGGAAACAGCAAAAACAGTCCAGTGTGGATAAAGCTAATGCATAATTAATGGAGCTCCGGTTTCACAGGCAGTTTTCAAAGGAAGGAAATGTGCTATCAAAGCTGCGGTAGAGACAGCTGTGTCGGAGGAAACTGAGATGCTGAGCTGCGTTGTTTAGCTGGGAGGAGAACAAATTAGTCCCCAAAAATGAATCATTGTAAAAATAAAAAAAAATCAACGCTAATTGATTTTTTTAAGATTGCTGCCATGGAACGCTTCAAAAAGCACTAGTTCTTACTTTACAATCAATCGTACATCGTATATGCACCTGATGATCCGTTGCATGCTACAAAATCAAAAATGTACAATGCCACAAAGTATTTGCCAAAGTACTCACCTGAGGCAGCAATTCATAATGCCTTCCCACATAGACCTTCAGAGCAATGACTGCATGCATGTGTGTGTGAGAAACAGTGCTGTGGCCACTCAGTATAAGCACCTGCATGTTTTTCCGTTTTGGCATATGTGCATACCTCAACCGGCAGCAGCAAACTGGCTGTTGCAGCAAAGAGCTGTGTGCAGAGGAAGGGGAATAAAGAGCATCCAGTTATGTGATCTACAAAAAAAATTGTCTGTGTGTGTGTGTGTGTGTGTGTGTGTGTATCAAAGAGTGTATCACAACTGACGGGGAGAAATGAGAAAGAAAGAGACCAACGGGAAGAAAGTCAAAGTGAGAGACAGCGAGGTGGGGACTGAGAAAAAAACAAAAAGTGCATGCAGAGGTTTTGTGTTTTGGGCTTTGATTTTCACATCAATGCCGATGCAATATTCAAATGAAATATTCCAAAGTGAATTTTTAACCATATTCGTGATTCACACACACAATAGGAAAGTCTCCCGAGTGCAAGCCACAATTAGTATGAGAAAACAATTTGAAATGTACAACACAGTGAGGATATTATCTCCGTGGGAATATTCCGTTAGCCTTGTTCAATATTAATTGAATATTAATTTCTACAAGCCACTACATGTACACATGGCCACCGGATTGAGTTTTACGTTTTGACGTTTTTTCTGCCTTTGAAAAAAGTTTGACCCATTATCGAAACAGCTCCGATTAGTTGGAATGCTCGTGTGGCTGCTGATGACCTTCTCTAGCGTTTTGTTCCGACGTTGGTTAAGTTTTTACCAACGCCTCAGTTACTTCCCTACAGGCTCAACTAAAATGCAACTCTAAAAGCACATTATGTGTATCCTGCCCTTTGAGAGCTAGACCATATATGATGCAGGGACCTGGTTGCCTCCCTGGCAGTGACACGTGCTGAGGTTAAGAACTTTGTTGAATGTGATTGTAATGTTAACTATCTTGTGACCAGGCTTCTTTGATCGCTGCGTGAGAAGGACTCATGAGAAGAACCGATGCCGACGCTAACCAAGACACACACCCGACGCGCACAGTTTGCGATGGAGTCCGTCCGAGCCGCGGTACCTGACACTGTCGATCAGCTGTTGGTGCTCCTCTGTGATCAAGATGTCGGGCAGCGCCTCGGCCAGACTGTCCACATCCCTCTCAGCGGCGTACTGCTTGAGCACCTCAAACAGCTGTTCCTTCACATCTGGCTCCTCCCCCAGCACTTCTTCCACCTGGTGGGGAAAGAAACGCATGGACATGAATCGACAGGCGAAAAGAAAAAAAAAAAAACACGAATCAACACGAAAAGTGTCGGACGCACTTTCTTGTTGAACTCCATGGCCTTGTGGGCGCGGCTCTCCCGAATGCTGTCCCCGCTCTGCGACAGCACCCTCATGCTGCTGCTCAGCCGCTTGGGCCGCCGGGCCATGCTGAGCACGCCCAGATGGAGCGGCCGACCCTGAGCTGCTTTGATCATGGCTGCTGCCGTTTCGTGATGCTTCACCGGGATGCCGTTGACCTCTATGACGTAGTCGCCGGCCTTGAGGCCATTGCGGCCAGCCGGCCCGTTGGGCATGCAGTCCTCCACGATCAGAGGGCTGTCGCCGACGATGGTGAAGCCGAACCGGCCGTCCGGGCCGGGAGCGACGTCGATCTGAAGAGGGGGACGAGCACGCTTTTAAAAAAAACCTGAATATTATTTGTGTTTTCTTAAATATGGAGAGCGCCGGGTGTCGGCTTACCTGCTCGATCCGCGACACCACTCCGATGCTGGGGGGCACCGTCTTCAGGGTCTGAGCCAGAGCGACCAGCGCTGGCGTGCTGAGGTTGGTCACGTCCTGGCCCTCGATGTCCACCACCTGATCCCCCGGCTGCAGGCCGGCCAGGTACGCACTGCTGCCCTCCACCACTGACAGGATGTAGCTGGGCCCAGTGCCACCCAGGCGGAAGCCGAAGGCCTCAGGCCAGTTCTGATTGGTGGCCGGGAGGCCGAGGTCTGAGGGAAGGACAGAAGATGGTTCTTGGAAAAGGCCCGAGTACGTCCACCTGGACTTTAATAGGTTTTTAAATTGGGAGGGGATGTGTTTTACTGCATGTAGGACATGTATGCTGTATTGGCACGTCTAATCTTGCACAAGCTGCTAATACGAAAAGGCACCGTGGTGAGCTGTAAAATGGAGGTCAAGCAGCTCGATGGTTTAAATAGGGCATCTCAGTGATGGAGCTGGATGGAGAGGGACGGGAGTCTATTTAACGAAGCACACAAACAAAGACGTACGAGGGAAGTCAAAAAACACTTTTAAAAATGATAGATCCGTACGTTTGGATGCGAATAGCGTGAAGGAGGGTTATTTCTGACAGTTGGTATCTAGTCCACATCAACCGCTGGCCTTCCCCTGGTCACTGGCCCCATTCTACAGCAGCAGAAAATGTCCCAACAGGCTCACTGTACTTTATCTCCTCTCATCTAGAGCTACGTATACGTCATAGACACATGACATTATAAGGACTTCTTGCCCCACCCCCTTTCCCTCTGTTTTTTTTCCACACTTGTATTGAAGCTCTACCTACAGTTAAAATAGGAAAAAGGACAAATCTTCAGCATATACAATTTCTGAGAAAGAACAGGAAATATCACAATATGTGTGATTTGAAATAACATGTTTGCTTACAAAAAGGCACTCCCATCAAAATGTATTTTAAATATCAGCGTATGACAAAGTGTCTCCAAGTTGCAAATTTGGAAATAAATATTTGACATTGGACCATTATGTAAGACACATTGTAGAACTGCAGAGGAATAATTGCATGGATTCATCCGTCAAACCATCAGCGCCAATGCGTTGACTGTTCGATGATTGACATCATACACGCGTTCCTACGCTTATGATCATTAGAAAAAAAAAAAAAAAGACAGGAGAAGTGAGACAGCCAGAGAAAGTTTAAATTAGATACAGGAAGTAAGTAAAGGAGCAACTTTCGCAAGGAAATGTCTGATCTGCTTCAATGCAAAAAGGACAAATGAGATCTCACTCGGTCATAAACTCTGCCTCCTGCACTCCACTTACACAATGTCCGCTTCGGCTCTTCTCTTCATCTCACCTCCAGCAGATGAAACATTTGAGGAACATCACTTTAAAAATGAAAAGAAACTCCTATTCACAGACTTACAGAAATCTTTGGAGGCACTCCGGGTTCCAGACTTGCTCTGGCGCAGGGAGAAGCGGCCCTTTCTGCTCAGGAAACGCCTCATCCTCGCCCGGCTTGCGGCAGGGCACGTTCCAGCCAGCCTCCCTTCACCCCCGGCCTGGAGGTCGATGCAGCCAAAAGACGGCCCGCCGACACCTTCACACTGCTGCTGCTGCTGCTCCGCTGAGCCCACCTCCTTCCGTTAAGCCCTCTGGAAGTCAAGTGCACCGAAAAGGTCACATCTGTAGGTTATGTGGGCCAAGCCTCCCTCTGTTCTCAATCGGAGAACCAAAGCCCTGCAGCTGAGGAGACGGAGGCCGGAGGAGAGCGTCTCGGAGTCAGGCTCTCCATTGTAGGGGGGGGAGGCGGTCCAGCCTCAGCGCAAACCCTATAGCTGAGCGATGATCACGGAACTGGGACACGCTCACTTGGTCCCAAATTGGTTCTTTGCAGGAAAAGGTGCTGCGAAGCCCCATTTTTCTATAAATACCTTTCTCTCTCTCTCTCTCTCTCTCTGCCTTCCTCTCTTGCTCATGTAGATGGGGCCCTCTCAGAGGGCTGAGTGGTGACCCAGAAACCAGCCAGGGACACTTCTCTGATTATAGCGGCCGTGTTAACCTCAGTACTGGAGCATCAGTTAAAGAGACGCAGCCTGCAGATACACTCAAGGTCACCTGCAATATTGAGTGAGTTTGGTGCAGGATCGCAGACAAGTATCTAAGTTTGACAGCATGACATCAGCGGTGACAAGCCCACCATGGGGCACGCGTGTCCCAGAGGATGCTGTGTTTTACAGGTGTGTGTGTGTAGTTTTCAAAGAAGGTGGGATGGTACAAGACACTCCGACAGCCACACACTTCTAAAAAGAGGCAACATGCTACACAGGATGATAATAACACAATGATACTGTAGGTTTGAGTACATAATAGTAATCAACACAAGCAAGGATTGGCTGATGTTCATGGGCATTCGGGGGAAACTATTATGAAAGAATTGATGGGAAACAACCTTCTGTAATAGGGAAATATAGACATTTTGAGTTTACCCAGATAATTGTTAAGCTCTGCGCGTTTTTACCGACTCATTAACAAACATTACTTGTCAAAAACACTTCATTCGGTACTCTGTGTTATATGATCACAGAAAATAAGTCACTCGTTGAAGCAGGCGATGTTCTCAAACAATGAGGAAAACAGGATAGCAGTGAAGATAAAAAGAAGCAAACTGTATAACAAAATAGCATTTATTTGGTGTAAACTCTGCTTAAGTAAACTGACCACATCTTAATGTCTGGTGTATCCTAGACCTTTACACTTATTAAGCACTGTGCCACGGGACGTTCATAGTCTCACACAGGGCCTCACACAGGCAGGCACGAGCGCGGAGCCTTGGATTAGTCGGTCTTTAAAGGGCATCGCATTTCAATTTGACAATGACGACTTCCAAAACTTTACTGTAGAGAGCAGCACAGAGGGGAAAACACGAGGGAATGACCCCGTAAGATGGAGCTTCGCTTTTGACCGCAAGAGAGAACAGAGACCCGGCTACCAAGACAGATTATCTTCAGTTTGTACAAGCTTATGGAGATATACGTCGTTAGGTCAGTTTAAAGTGAGGTTGGTAATCGTTTTGTTATATTTGATTTCTACCTCCAGACAAATGAAATGCTCCTGACAAAATATTGAAAAGAATCTGGCGACTGTTGCATGACTAATCCTCCAATTCAATCACTCATTTGGCCTTTCTCAAACGGCCATGTTTGTTGTTTTATGCAAGTTGTGATCATTTTGGGTGGGAGTGTGCCTTTGGAAGGAGGCCTAAAGAAACTCAGACTGGGTGACGTTCGCCCTCAATTCAGGGACTTTTGGAGCTACTTCTGCTGGCTGCATTGGAACAAATACTGGGCTGGGTTTTAGCTAAAAACATGCTCATGATAGTTTATCCGGATTACCAACCCTATCTTTAAGCTGTACACGCCTAAACATTCTGAAATTAGCAAGAATACTGTGAATAATGCGGTGCTTCCTTTTAGTAAATCAATCAACATGAGATTAAGGATAGAACTCTTCCTCATGCACGGTCTTTGTGTTCCACACAGAGATGCATGTCTATTTCTGGACCTATAAACCTTTGTTTCATAATCCAATCGCAGACGAGGCTCATATAAACTCTACAGTAATCAGCTACACAAGTCCCGTCCGGCCAAAATTCATCAGTTCATAGTTAGCATCCTCATGAATCATACAATGACAGTCTGAATCTCCACCTCCTCTGGGGACGTAATGACGTACTCCTCCTGCTGCACCATCTGCATTCCCTCCTCCACCGCTTCCTCCGTGGTAACCATAGTAACTGTCCCGTCCGCCGTCTCCACGGTGCCCGCCGTGGCCAGTAGCGTGCCGTCACTGATGGCGGAGGCCAGCGTCATGGCCACCTGCTCAGTGAGGCTCTCGGGTGTGGCGATGGTGATCGTGTCACCGCAGTCAGAGATGGATGCGCTCTCCTCGTCCATCGCCATGTTGCGTACAATGATCTGGTGGCTGCCTGTGCCGCCGGCGCCATGCGACTGGCTGACAATTTGCTGCACTACTTTCATGATATGGTTTCCCATCTGGCAGGGTTTCATATAAAAAAGGGAGGAGTTATAAATTAACAGATATACGATTAACACTGCATTAATCAATTCTGATTGGCATTCTACTGTCCTTTCATTACTTTAAAGCCTCTGCTATGAATCGCAGGCCGTTGCTATGGAAGCACTGCTTATTGACTACTGTCTTTAACAATAACTAAGATTTCTGCTAAAGAAAACTATCTTTTTTTTAAAATAAATTTGCGTAAAATGTGTGATTTATTTAGTAGTTGTGTGCTAAACTCACCTGTCAGGATTAATTTCTCAATCATGATTGCTGCACATTATCCATTACTTTTCTCACACGCTACACTCGTGACCACACGGATGTTCTTATTTTCAAAAGTGTATTTGTGTGTACCGACCTCATTTTGACTGTCTTGAATGAATGTAACCTCTTCCTTCACCTCCTCCTCAGTTTGAGTCTAGATGTGGGTACGAGAGAAGCAGAGCAAGTAAAATAAATGACAAACAATAGCTGGATCTAGCCATAAGAGCCTTGAAAGAAATAATTAAGACAATTAGTGAAATGTATGTCCTCTGCTAAAGAAATTAAAAATATACCCCTTGCCTTGACACTATTGATTGGGACCGAGGTGCTTGAACAAGATCCCAGTAAACTGCTACTCATGATTCACCCCTTTGCATCTTGAAGCCGTGGTACAAGGAAAAGAAACACAATTGCTCTAAATCCAGCTTGCCAGCGCCTCACCTTGATGATGTATTCCTGTGTGTCTGCCACCACAGAGGAGAACTCCACCAGGACAGCGTGAGGATCCTCTGACATGATGGCGGCTGTAGCGAGACTGTCTGCAGACTCTTTCTCCTCCGTTTCCACATCCTGCTGCTCACAGAGATTGTCCTTCTGGCAACCTCCTGGTACAAATCATACGTTGTGTCATTATATGCATCTTTATACGTACCACGAATACTACTTTTCCGTGTATTGTCTTAGACCTTTCGCGCGCATGTGCCGATTGAGAGTCCCGTGCTCAGCAAAGCCTCGGGCACACTTTGGGCATTTGAAAGGCTTCTCTCCGGTGTGGTGGCGAATGTGTCGCACAAGGGAACCTTTCTCCCTGAAGCCTCTCAAGCAGAACTGACACACGTAAGGTTTATCGTTGCCGTGGGTCCGCTGATGCACCTGCAAGGCGTTCTAAGCAAGACAGAGCGGCGTGTTAGCAACAGCACTGCATCTCAGACCTCACAAAAACAATGAACGACGCGGTTACGGTTTCACAGCAAATACGTATATCTATAAAATAACCTTGGTCTTATATCCTTTGTTGCATCTGGCACAGCGGTAGGGTCTCTCATCCGAGTGCGCCCTCATGTGCTCTCGTACATGCCCGATGGTTTTGTACAGCTTGCCACACTCGCCACACTTGTACCTCCTCTCACTGAGGTGGACTTCCATGTGTTTCTTCAGCAGGTAACCAGTCAGGAATTCCTTGTGGCATAGTGTGCACCTGAAGGGCTTGTAACCTGCATAAAGAGAGTGCATACACAGAGAAGGATCAAGTATGTAACCATGGACCAACAAAAGGTTTCAACTTCTGCATTCTTTTGTTGCAAGCCAATACAAAGGATTATAAAAGAGGAGAGTCTTCATTAATAGTTATGGACTTACCCGAGTGGCCCTTGACATGAAAGCGGAAGTAATTCAGTCCCTTGAAGGAGCGATTACAGTGCGGACATGTGTATAATTTAAAGGATGTTTGACTGACTCCATCACCTGCGTCCTTCAAAAGAAACACATGCGGACAATCAGGCATCAAAAAAAAAAATATATGTGTGCAAATAATGATTGCAACATTGGAGCAAGCTCCGCTAACAACCAAGTCAATCATTTCCAGCACTGCAATCAGTCACACACCAATAACTCTGGGGAGAGTTACTGCTAAACACAGATCCAACTACTCAAAAACTGTCACTGTGGCAAAAAACGGGTTTCAACAGAGAGCAATGCGGTAAACGTACTAGTGCAGACGTGGTTACCTCTGTCTCCATCTCCACAAACTCTTCTTTCACCTGGATCTCAGTGACACCGTCGTCGTCGTCGTCGTTGTCATCATCATCATCATCATCCTCATCCTCATCAGCATCCGGACAGTCGGAAACCACTTTATCGATTTCCTCAGGTGTCGGTGAGGTCTCCTCAACCACGGCTTCCCCTGGCGCCAGCGCAATGCCAGAATTGATGATTGCCTGGCAGATGAGGTTGTCGCCTGCTGCTGCAGCAGCAGCCAGAGCTTCGGCCTGAGACTGCTCTACCACGACCTGCTCAGATTCAGAGCCAGAGCAGGGAAAACAGAAGAGGATGTGTTAGAGTTGAAGGCACAAGCCTCTCACGCTGAAACCCTTAACGTTACTTATCCATTATCATTGCAAAGATGTACCAACAATGTCGGGATAGGCAAGCCCTAAATGTTCATTCTTTCTGTACTCACCTGTTGCTCCTGTGTGGTTCCATTCACCTCCATTGTGAAGTGAACCTGATGGAGAACCTCTTGGGAACCAGCCTCCACCACACTGACGACAGCAGTCTGAGCTTCAACCATCTCCTGCTCCTCCGGCTCCTCCACAACCACTACCTGATGCTGCTGAGCTGCCGCTGCAACAAGATCCTCTACGACCCCTGCACAATTCACACAGACCTGTCAGAGATTCCTTTCCCGCAGCTCAATGTGCAACACCATCAAGCTACCCCATTCGGTAAAGACTCCGCACAGTATAACAGCTCCTGCAGAATCAAACCTTTTTGTACTCCGTCTTTGCTGACCAAGATCTCCTTGTACTGAACAAAGCGGATTTTTTCTGTGCATGGTGTGAGGGCCTTAAGGTGTCTGGTGAGGGCACCTGACTCTCTGAAGGACTGACCACATAGGGTACAACGATAAGGCCGCTCATCTGCAAGAAAACAGGGAGACACTTGTGTTCATCCGGCAAAAATGTGGACAAGACAACATCAATTTAAGACAAAAAATAGTCCCTGTTAACGGTCTGTACCGGTGTGACGGCGGTTGTGACGTATCAGGGAGCCTTTTGTGCGAAAGGAGGTCCCACATAGGTCACATGAGAAGTTCTTCTGGTCGCTGTGAGTTTTCATGTGAGTCCTCAAGATGTTGGTCTTTTTGAAGAAAAAGAAAAGAGTGTTTTACAAAGACAACACAGATTGTAATAAAAACCCTGCATTGTTGTATCATTCATGTAATCGATTTCTAACAATTACAAAAACATTTTCCAACAAAAGATTTATTTGATGACTTTTTGATCACTATTTGATGACTCACGGTTTTAAATGTCTTGTCACAAAGTTGGCAAATATAGCGTCCCTCTTCTGTGACTTTGTAAACAGTCTTGTTTTCACTGTCAGCATTGTCAGATAAGGATCCTTCGGTCCCATCCGAGTGGTCGGTGACTTTCAGTGAAACAGTTTTGTTCCTGCGACCTCGACCCAACGTGTCTGTGGGAATAAACGATAAAATAACTATTCAGTCCAGCTGCTTATCTAAAATCGAATTGACATGTTGCAACATTAAGCGATCAAATACTGATAAGGCAATCTATTTTCTATCTTTTGTCTTTTTGCTAAACTCAGCTTCTCAAACGTGTGAATCTAGCGTTTTCTTTAGTCATACATGCCAGTAAACTAACTACTAAACTAGCACTGACTTTGGGCCGACATTGGGTTAAAACAAACAATTAGAGTAACTTGCATGTGGGAAATCATAAAAGGCATTTGTCAACAAACAAAATCACAACTTTGCAAATAAATATCCTGCAAATGACGTGCAGTCTTAACGTTGACCCACCAGGAGTAGTCTTCAAGGGATCATCAGAAGATGCAACTTCAGCGGTTTTCATCTCAGAAGAAGAACTTCCATTGGTAACCTGGCAACATAGAAATAAACATCTGTTCTCCCCATTCCGATGATGATGATGATGATGATGCTGTTTTCTGAATACTGTCCCAACCATCCCAGCTCACACCTCTTGACTGGCCTCCTGTGCCTCCACGCGTTTGCAGTTGTGTTGCAGCTTGTGCTGGATGAAAGCCTCCAGCGCCGAAAACTCGGACTGACAGCGCCCGCACTTGTGCACATCTTCATCTAAAAGCAAAGGGGCACACGGTTGAACACTACAGACCGGGAACAACGCCGTGAAGGGTCCGCGCTGCTAGCGCCCGACCTATCTGAGGAAATGTGTAATTTATCCGAATTCTGCTGACTGGCTGGATTTCTAATCTGGGAGAAGCTGTGGCGACGAAGCTAATGTTGTTGCTAATGGCAGCTTAGCCGCTAGCAACATTTCATGCCGGAGGAAGTTAGCTAGGCCCAAACACAATATCGTAGACATACTTCAGTCTCGCTTCAGCTGGTCAGAGAGTTACCTTCATCTCCCAGCGTTGTCTGAATGGTGATCGTCTCGCTGCCGTCCGTCGTTTGCTCACTCTCAGTTTCTGCCGTATGATTATTTTCTACATTCATGTCGTTCGAATTCTCCGTCCCTGTCGCAACGCCGCTGCGAGGAGCGAAAACATGGCGGATTTACGACCTCGTAGTCATAACAACAAAAGGGCGCGTGCGCGTGTCTCTCTCATTCTTTAACCAAATGCTCCTTTTAACAATAACACAAAATGGACATGTTGAAAATGTTGTCTTGAACATTTTGGCACATATGTATATTCTTATAATTGATTTGATTGTTTTGATAGTGATAATGCATTTATATTTTCCCCTTACTGTTAAAATATTCTTTATAAAATTATTTAATATTTGTGTGCACATGGTATACAGCAATGTATGTGAGTCAACAGCCTTCAGTTCAACATAGTGTGAGGTTTAAAAAAAATTGTTTTAATGCTGGCACTGCTATTTGTCTTGCAGGGTTACACGTGCAGAGAAGCAATGCTGCATTCTTGATGCTATTTAAAATAGATATTAATTGAAAAAAATAAAACATTTGTAAAGACAGTACTTAGTTTATAGGTTTGTATCACATGGAAAACTGGTTCCACCGGGTAAGAGCAATTGTTTGGACGTAATGGTGTTTGTCACTCGAGTCAAGGATAGCTTTTACGACACAATAGTAAACAACGAACACTTTACGGCCGTGAATATGGCTTCTGTCTTCAGCGGTGTGCTGCAGTTGACAGATCTCGACGATTTTATTACCCCCTCGCAGGTAGATTAACTATTTTAACATGCTGTAACACCGCTTCCATTAAAAAAGGCAAATTAAAGCGAACGGTGAATTTCACTGTTAACCCAAACGTACTGAAATAGCGTGCAAGCTTAGGCTTATGCCACTAGCCTACCTGCTAACGTTAGCTGTCCCAGTCAGTCCTGCTGTAGGAACGAACAAATACTAAACAACCCAACCGGGGTTCAGGGTTCCGTTTGACCTTAAGTAGTGTAACGTTACCTGATCTACAAACGTTTGAAACTGTAAAAGTGTGCGACGCTATTAGCTTGCTGTTAGCTTGCTGCTTCCGTTAGCACTGATGTAATCTCGGGGAAGAAGTAATGTTGCGTAATAACTGAGAAAATAACTTAAATGAATGTCTAGAAACGTTCTTGTGTTCCCTTCTTTTTCTGTTTTTTTTTGTCTTGTATGTTATTAATGTTTACTTACCTTCCTTTGGTGTTGTTCGTTATAACCTACAGTGCTTTTCATGTTCATAGAGTTAATTAGAAGATAATGAGCATACAGGTGTGTCTCTTTTGCAGGAATGCGTCAAGCCTGTTAAAGTAGAGAAGAAACAAGGCAAATCTGTAGCCAAAATTCAAATAGAAGATGATGGCAGTTACGTCCAAGTCAATCAGGTGGGTGTCGCAACTTAATCTAAACCTGTGTGTGAAGTAAAAAATGCACCACTGTTTTGCCTCCAATTAATCCGCCTTCTGTTTTGCAGGATGGTGGAAAGCAGAAACTGGAGAAGGCGAAGATCACACTGAACGACTGTTTAGCCTGCAGTGGCTGTATCACCTCAGCCGAAAGCGTCCTCATCACTCAGCAGAGTCACCAAGAGCTCCTTAAAGTGCTGCTCAACAACAAGGTAGATTTATGTGTCTGAACACTCGTGCAGTATGTGTCTGGTTATGATCACTTCTACAGCTTTTCCCTACCTGCAGTCCAGCGCGACCGAGCAGAAGGTGGTGGTGGTGTCGGTGTCGCCGCAGTCCAGAGCCTCTCTCGCGGCCCGCTTTGACCTCAGCAGTGGCGAGGCGGGCAGGAGGCTTACCTCGTTCTTCAAAGGCCTCGGTGAGTGCAAGTGTTCCTTTTACTCTTGGAGGGTTGATTTAGACAAACACGGTCACTTCTGTTAGGGATTTAAGTGCACCCCTAGTCATGGAATTATAATACGTGTAATAATGTTTAGTGTTAGAATTGTAGTTTGTGATGATAGATATTAGTTATTATATTAACATGTTAGATGAAGTGAATGCAATTTGAATCAAACACAATTTATAGTCATTTAAATCATACAAACACTGTACACATTAACATTCTGTCACAATGTGATGTTAAAACCTAGCCACGGATGCTAATTGCCGTCCTTTATGGATTTCTCCCAATTTTATCCCCAAAGAGTTTTTTTGGGGAGTTTTTTCTCCTGTCAGGTAGTAAATGAACAACTTAATGTAAGGCAGCCGACTGAGGCAAATGTCTTGAGTGTTGGACCACATGAACTGTCTTCGATCTTATGATGAAGTGTGATGAACGGTGATCAATAATGATGTGTTGTAATTAAGGTGTACTAGTTATAAGATGAAGACTTAAACTATGCATGCTTTGTTTTATTCCCTCATTGAGGTATAAAGCCAAATGTATCTACATTGAATGCGTTGGAATGTGAGGGACATATAGGACAGAGAGGTTCAGGTTACAGCTGCAGCTGTACAATGAAGGAGGAGACACTTTGAAGGAGAAGCCAATGACATTCAAATGCACCAAAGAAGACACACCTCAAGAGTTCTTAAAGGACCAAAGCGGGGAAAGGACTGTTAGAATTTTCCTGCAGCCGCTTTGATAAGTCGCTTTAGACTTGCTCAGAGGATTCTCTATTTCGCAAAATATTTTACTGTTCGCTTTGTATTTCACTTTGTAATTGTATTCCTTATAACGTTGCTTAGTTATGAAATACTTTTTGATTTTTGAATTTAAGCAAGCTGACTCTTGATGGTCTCTTGATTCTTCGTTTCCAGCCGGGACGAGAACAAAGGAGTGAGGCCTCCCTCGAGAGCTTTCTGAAACCCTAACACTTCTGAAGAAGGTCATCCTTTATTGCAGGGGTTCACCACGTGTTTGAAACAAGCTTCAGTCGTACCTTCAGCCTGCTAGAGAGCCAGAGGGAGTTTGTGGAGCGTTTCCAGAGGAAGGAGCAGGACAGCAAGAGTCTGCCCATGCTGACATCGGCCTGTCCAGGTATCTCTCCTGTTTTCCATTCAGCTCTCTACCGAATACGCTTTCAGTGCCTTTTTTTTTAACTGTAGACTTATTTTTTGATTCTTCCAATGTGAAGTTTCATGGACCCAAATTAATTCTATTTGTTATGATTTCAGTGTAAGTTCAAACACATCTCCCACTGCATGTCTGTGTGTGTGTGTGTGTGATTTGCTCAGGTTGGATTTGCTATGCAGAGAAGACCCACGGGGAGTTTGTTCTTCCTTACATTAGTACCACTCGCTCTCCCCAGCAGATGATGGGTTCCCTAGTTAAAGGCTATTTTGCTGAACAACAGGTACTGTACATCAGATATGGCATATATATCTATCCACATACTGATATATACGCTTTTAGATAATATAAAGAGTTGTTCATTGCCTGTGTGGTGTCAGGGGCTGAGTCCACAGCAGATCTACCATGTAGCAGTAATGCCCTGCTTTGACAAGAAACTGGAGGCCTCGAGGCCGGACTTCTACCTGGACGAAGCTGAGACTCGAGAAGTGGACTGTGTTATCACATCTGGTACAGTAACAACTGTTACAATGCTCTTTGTCGACATAAACCTGGTGTGTCATTTCTTTTATACTTTTCTCGTGTTGTTCCTCACGTCTCGCATAGGAGAGGTTCAGAAAATGCTGGAGGAGAAAAATGTGTCCCTCAATGATGTGGAACCTGCACCCTTAGACACATTGTGAGTTTGTTTTCGTCAGCGCAATTGCCGAAGGAATAGATGAACTCCCACGCTGAATGTTATTCTTGACCCAGGTTCAGCAGTGTGAGTGAAGATGAGTTCCTGAAGCATTCTGGGAGCGGGTCGGGGGGTTACCTCCATCACGTCTTCACTTATGCAGCCAAGCAGTTGTTTGGAGAGGAAGTGAAGGAGCTGACCTATAAGACCCTGCGGTGAGTCTGCCTCTGCTTTAAGAAGCTTGGCTGCTTTGTGGTAACTTAGGGGAACAGCCAAGCTTGAGTTGGGAAAACCTTAATTTTTTAGAAAGCTCTACGTAGGCTAAGAGGAAGCGTCGATGATCTGCCGTATGCAAGCTATCCAACCTCAAACCCTCTGTTACAGGAATAAAGACTTCCAGGAAGTGACTCTAGAGAAAGACGGAGTTGTCCTGTTGTCCTTTGCTTCCACATACGGCTTCCGCAACATCCAGAACCTGGTGCAGAAACTCAAGAGAGGGAAGTCTCCATACCACTTTGTGGAAGTTATGGCCTGTCCAGCAGGTAAATGGAAATATGCAGAGACAAACCTTCCCTGTACGGGTGCTGTTACTCACTGTTACTATTTGCTTCATTGCTCAAGATCATATTTTGAGTTGTTTGAATTCAATATATTTTATGTTTTTAATTCTTTGATAACTGACAAGCACAACTTGCATACAGGTCTCACCAGCACTTAGTAAATTGATGTTTGCAAGTAAAATAATAAGCAATAATTCGAGAATGCTTCTTCGTGCCTCCTGTTCATATTCAGGCTGTTTAAATGGTGGTGGACAGGTGAAGCCGCTACCCGGTCAGAACCCCAAGGAGCTTCTCCAGAAGGTTGAGGAGCTCTACATGGCAGAGCGCCCCCTGTCGCCAGAAGATGACACCCGCGTGGCCGAGCTGTATCAGTCGTGGCTCCACACTGTTGGGGAGGACAGAGCCAACGAGCTGCTGCACACTCGCTACCACACCGTGGAGAAGATGACAAACGGACTCACTATGAAGTGGTGAAGAAAGATTTTGCCGCAAACCATCAATCTGAGAGAATATCCGTAAACACGGGTTACTGAACCGTCCAAATGTGCGAAGTGACTAAGCGTGTCTCTTCGGAGGGAAGTGTTATGTACGAGCTGGTTTGACGAACAACTTTTTATGACTGTCCTGACAAATTGTTCATCATTTTTGTGGCATCTATTACACTGAAAATGTTAACTGAAATCACACACGCAAAAAGAATCATTACTTGTTTATCTAACCTTCTGTATATTCACAAATAAAGACTATATTTAATTGTAGCTGCTGGTTTTGGACATTTTGAAAAGACATATGTCAAACAGAATATCGCCAATACAAATTATGAAGGAAGCTGCTTTATTTTTTTCGCAGAACAGTTATTTAAAGCATGACCTACACAAAGTTACAGTTGTGGATTTAGTTTGTACAATTTTTAGTTATTTCATTTTTGGAATATTTAATGAAGCATTCAGCTAGGAAAAATCCAGATTTTAGAAACCGCTGTTCAATATGGAAAAACAAACTCACCTTTCGCAAAACGGTCAAGTATTCATTTAGAGTATTTCTACAGCAACGAGCAATTAATTTAAAGTGACGGGTATACACATTTGGAGTACTCAAAACGCTACAAGCACCAAAACAAAATATTAATACATTGTTTTCAAATGACTCAAATTACAATATTTAAAAGACTTTGTTTTATCCTTATCCAGCTGCGACGCCCTGATTATATTTATTTGACTTTGCTATCGGACAGACGGGGAAGTTACCGCACCAACGACTCAAGACATTTTAATCGAGCCGGAACGATCACCAGGGAGGTTTTTCAAATGGTGTTCTCTTCATAGATTTTTATCATTACAATTCATTCTTCGCAGTATTTTCTTAAAAAAAAACAAAAAAAAAAAAACGAACATGGATTCACAAATAGATTTAAATGCAGGTTCAAATTACTTTACTGCAACTGAATGCTTTTTTATCCATCGTTGCATCGAAGCCTACAATTAAAATCTCTTTATACTCACTACTTTTACACCCACACATTTAATTTACTTCGGGTACGATTTGGAGAAAAAGAAAAAATCTTATTTCTACTCACTTAAAAAAAATTGTATTGCTTTTTCCATGGACAGCAGTCAATATTTGAAAGTTCCCAATGCTCTAAAATAAAAAAATAACACCCCCAAGCAAATATGAAAACAAGGAGATTGGTGTCATTGGTATGAATCCTTACAGAAAAAGAAATAATTTATCAAATTTACAGATTTCTTTACATATATCATTACAATTGTTGATCAAGCCACTCTCAATTGTAATATTTTTACATTGTATTTTATAAATTAATTCTCACTTTCAAACTCAAGATTTGCAGATTAACAAATGAATTTCTCATGTAAAGCATTAAATTGTATTCCCTGAAACTATCACCACCAAGATCAAAACAAACCAAATCCAACTAAAACAAGTTTAAAGCCATTGTGATCTGATCATACAAAGAAAAAGAATTATGCCTTGACTTAAAGTGAACATAGAAGATTTATCTAAAGCGGCTTTGAAGATGAAATCCAGATATATTTCGTTGTACACCGTTAACAGCTCAAAGAGTTGTAAGCAGTTAAGAAACGAGAATTCACTGGCAATCACTCCTTGGGCACCCGAAAGCCATCTTTTTCTTTCCGGAGACTTCTCATGGTTTCAATGGAGGAAGTCTGCTTCACGTGGTCTTGCACAGACTTCTCTCTGAATTAGACAGCAAGGAATACAGCTGTGAATACCTCTAAACAAGCCACACGTATACCCAAATATAATGAATGATGAATATTAAATCATGCTGTACATACTTGACTCTCATAAAGGGGTTAAATGTGAATTCCTCTGCCAGAGTGGATGGAATGGTCGGTTCTCCATTGCTGCATTTCTCCTACGGAGAAGAAAACATACAGACTCAAAGCTTTCGCTTTCCGAGGCTGATCAACTGGTGGAGGAAATGAATGATTGGGTAGGACACATCGATGGAATACCTTTGCCCATGCCAGCTTTTTCTGAATGTCTTCATTGTCTGGTTCCACGTGACGTGCAAACTTCAGGTTGCTGACAGTGTACTCGTGGCCGCAATAAACACGCTTAAAAACACAAACACACTGTGGTTAGTCAGTCTGACACACCATTTTGGTATAATTCATCAGAAAAGGACATTTTCAATACAGTCACTGGAAAATGTATCAGACAAAGCAAACTCACTATTTAGTCTCATCTCAATTGGATTCCCTCTCAAATCTTCTGTAAATTACTTCCAAGGCGCGTTTTGACTTTCATTAATTACCCTTTTTTAAAATTTACCGTTTCAGGGGGCAGGCCTCCCAGAATGTCTATTAAGGCTTTGTGCATCTGCTCTGCTGTACCCTCGAAGAATTTACCACAACCAGCCACGAACAGTGTGTCCCCTGCATTGGAATAAAAACGAGCGGCATAAAGACATTTAGAGGTCACACTTGACAGATGTAATGGTCAAGCTTGACGGATTCTAAGTGAGAATCAATTGTCTCCCGTGTTTCTGATATGATGCCATCAGTCCAACCTGTGAAAACGGCTGGCGGCTCAGTGCTTTTATCCTTTGTCACGTAGTAACAGATGTGACCAGTTGTGTGACACGGTGTGAACAGGCATTTGATATTGAGTGATCCAACCTGCAAAAGAACGACAACCAGTGAGCGAACGTCATCATTTGATTCTTATATCTTGGTTGTTAACAGCTGGATGGTCCTACCTTCAGATTGTTGGAGTGAGAGACTTTCTTTGTAATGGCATCGACTCTGTCATCTCCTCCGTAGACCCGCAGTCCTGGCATCAGCTTTAACATCTTCTCATTTCCACCCGCGTGATCCCTGAGGAGAGAAACTGGTCAGTATGTTGTAATATCAGCGGAAGGGTAAGTTTGTGCAGACATGATGGTTTCTTAGCATACTGGCATTTTTAGCGCTTATGAATACAGTAAACAAATGCCAATGAATATGTAAAAACTTTAGCTTAACTTGAAGCTTACCAGTGGTGATGAGTGGTCAAAACGGTTGTGAGTTTTACGCCGTGCTTCCTCACAGCTTCCACAACCTGTAGAAAGCACAAAAAACTGGAATGGAGTTCAGATGAAATTTATAAAGAAAAACTGCATTATATTTGCTGTATATAATTTTATATTGTATTATATCGTAGGCCATTCAAAAAAAAAAAAAGTACAATTAGTAAGCTTTGGAGTAAAGCGGTGACTCTCTGAACTTATGGGGGGATGTGACAATACATACTGTAAGATGAGGTGATCCTGTATAAACATGCATTCCAGTCATTTTCATTATCAAGAAACTGAATAGATCTTTATATTGAAAGTGCTTTATCCGTAGTAGTGCCCTTCCCTACCACATATCATCTTATTAATTGATCACGTATTTTGTGGCTGGAATATTAATCTGTGCAGGAACTGGTACTGTTAAAAAAAAAGGAAATATTTTGGAATCATACTACATCCATTTACTACGACGCACGGACCTTTATTGGCTCCACGGGGTCGACAATAGCGGCTTCCCTGGTGTCCACGTCGATCAGGAGGTACATGTAGTTGTCAGTGAGTGCTGGGAGAAGTTCAACCCTCATGTTTGATTGTTCCACCAGGGAGGATTTCCTCACTGCGCTGTGAAGGAGGACCGCCGCCTGGGCCTGGAGTTCCACAGGTGCTTCATGAGAAGACGCAAGTCAACGTTTAGTGAATGAATGATAGTATGACATCATTCATTTTCTTCCTATAGAATTGACCTGTGGTTTTAAAGACCATGAGAAAACATCAGTGGACGCATTAAACAGTAGCCATTGGCAGGACACGTATTTATCCATTTAGTTAACACGTCAACAACATAAAGTAAACAACGTTAGCTCTCATGCTAAGTTAAAATTACGTTTAGTCAACTTGCGTTAGCTAATATAGCTGACTCATCGATCTAACCTCAACTGGTCTGTGAAGTGGATTGTGTGACTCAATCGGGCAGATATTTGCTCAGACAGGCCAGCTGGGTCCCCCCCGTCCTCTCAAGACACAACCCAACTAAAAAAAAACATAGCGCGCATAACGTCAAATGTAACGTAACGTTAACTAACGTTACACAAGCTAACATGCTAAACTGGATGATAGCTTGATGGAAGACAGTGGTGACGTACCAAATTTGAAGGCTGTCGCGGCTCCGAGGAGAGTGCAGGCACTCCCCACCAGTGACCTGAATAACATCGCAACAGCTCGTACAATCCTTATCACGTTCGCGTAAACCAACAAAGTTTGGTTGTGTAGTTCCGCATGCGTCCCTTCTTCACTCGGGTCCCGACAGGCTCCACCAATCGAGTCTGGCGAAGCAGATCGCCTTTAAATTGTTTGATAAATCGAGTATATTTTTTTACATCGAAGAATCCATAATAATAAAATAAGCTACGCGTGAGGGGAACTTATTTAATCGTTTATTTTACAATATTAATATATTAAATATAACAACCGCGATCCGTTGGATTTGCGTTTTTGAACTCGCGGTTTGTCCGTTCGGGCTTGCCGTAGGTCAACGATCTCTCGGTTTTGTGGGATCGGTCAAAGTTTAGTGGAACTGGTGCAGACGGCGTCCGAGCCGCCGGCAGCCTCCACGTCCTCCGCAATGACGGCGCGAAACATAACTCGATTCTGGGAATGGGGGAGGAAGATCATCTGCGTCGGGAGAAACTACGCGGACCACGCCAAAGAACTGAAAAATGCGATTCCCACGGAGCCAATCTTGTTCCTGAAGCCGCCTTCCGCGTACGTGAGGGAGGGCTCCTCCATCCTGGTGCCGCGGTACTCCAGCGACCTGCACCACGAAGTGGAGCTGGGGGTGGTCATCGGCAAAGGGGGCACGGCCATCCCGCAGTCCGCCGCCATGGAGCACGTCGCGGGCTACGCTCTGTGCTTGGACATGACGGCCCGGGACGTCCAGGACGTCTGCAAGTCCAAGGGTCTCCCCTGGACCAGGGCTAAAGCTTTCGACACCTCCTGTCCCATCAGCGAGTTCATCCCCAAAGAGCGCATCCCCGACCCGGGGAACGTGAAGCTGTGGCTGAAGGTCAACGACCAGCTGCGGCAGGACGGTTGCACCTCCCAGATGATTTTCTCCATCCCGTATCTCATCAGCTACATCAGCAAGTTCATCACCCTGGAGGAGGGGGATCTGATCCTGACCGGGACCCCTAAAGGAGTCTCCGCCGTGCAGCAGCACGATGAGCTGCAGGCTGGCATCGAGGACGTGGTCACCATGAGCTTCAGGGTGGACAGACAAGACCAGTAGTGGAAACAAAATACACCGATGAGGAGGAAAAGAGATTGTGTCTTTACTTGTGTCTTCGCTAAATTACATTTAATTATCCTAAATGTAGTTGCACATGTGTACCAGCAGGCGGCAGCATCGGGCCACCAACACCATATTTCTGACGCCGCCTTTTACAATGTGTGAGAAAATGAACAAAACACAATAATTCATCACCCATTGTCCTTGTCCTTGTTTCCAATCAGCAGCAGCAAGTATATGATGCGTAATATGTTGTAAAATCATATTAATAAAATTCCAACTATTAGTTTTAATTATTGGTGACAGAATGAACTGTCAGTGTTTTATTATATACAACGTTAATTACATTATTCATAATTATAATTATAATTATTTTGAAGTAGCTAGAGATAACTGTAGCCACTTTATATGCTGTATTTACCAACTTAAATGCAGTGGACGAAAACATACTCAGATCTTTTACATAACAAATGTACAAATAGTCCTTTATACACTGAAAAAAATCTAACATTGGCTCAAATTAGAAAAATTGAGGTAATCGATCACAACTAATATTCTAGTGTTATACAATATAAATAATTCATTTGATTTGACCTGAAATATTTAACTTCGTGTAAACCCATTTCTGAAGGTTGAACCAAAGCAATTATTTCAGATTTTCCTAAATTAAAATAAATACATTGGTTTTATTGCTTAATGTAAATAATCTACTTTGTTAAACCTGAATATTTTAAATTCATTTAAACAACTTTTGAATATCGGAGAAAACTATTTTTTTAAGTTGTCTCAAATAAAAATTTAAAGTGATACTTTAATATTTATAGACCTGAATTAAAAAAAGATATTTTAATACATTTTGATTTAAACTCAGAAGCCATTCCTTTTCAACACATTTATTGTTGAATGAACATTTTTTTCAACATAGTCCCACCTTAAAAACAGTCCTTCTCAATGATGTCTTTTCCCCTCAAATACAACAGCAACATCTCATTGTATTAACATAAACCAGTGCTTCTCAACCATCACATCTCAAACACAAACAGTAATGAAGACATGCATTTTCAAGTAAACCAACAGCATTTGGGAACATTTTTCTCACTGAACAGTGACCATTTGAAAATGCAATGTAATACAGTCAGAGAGGAATTATTCCTTAAAATCAAAAGTGATGTGTGTGAACGTCCTCAGTTCCATAACTTGCAAACGAGTGAGGTAGCTCCTGATCCTCTTGGTCAGAAAATGCTGCAATAAACAAATCAGTGCTCTCCAGCACAATACCCACTTGTGCCTGTGAAACCTTAGGCAGATTCTTTTGTCCATACTGTAGCAGAAATGTAGTTGTGCAAGTGTTTCAAACACCAACCCCAGATAAAACGGTACAAAGTCTTGGTTGTAGAAATGCCATTAAATCAGGCCTAACAGTGGAACTCTACTGTGCCTACTCTTGGCTGCCAAGCTGGGTACTCAGCCTATGAATTTCTGGGGACATCTTTTTTCCACCAAGCTTCATCAGGACCTTTTGCACAAACTCAAGGATATGGTGCAGATTTTTGGGATATTTTATGTTGAGAACATAGGTGAGCCCGAAGAACATAGCAACAGCCGTTGCTATTGTGGGCACCTCTCTGAGGACCTCTGTTCCGTCAATGACGATTTTAATGTCCTCGTTTCCACTGACGATTAGTATGGCTGCTTCATTTTCCTGCACACACAAAAAAACAAGAAATGAGGACAATTTGAAAGAACATTTCCTGAAGACAATGCATGTCAATGCTGAACATCATTGTTGAAGCAAAGTTGGTATATAGATATTGTTTGTGTTAGTGAGGGAGATGCCCTTACCTGGCAGTCTTTAATGAGATGATGAACAGGTTCACCCAGGTAGATCATCAAAGATTTTAAGATGCACTCTCTTCTAATTGTGATGTCCACGGTCTGAGGAAATATAGGTATTAACAAAAGCACATACACACCAACTATTCAACTATGGATCGCATTAAGAACCAATTCATAAATAGATACCTCATCTAAAACCTGCAAAGTTGCCTTGGTCAGCTCTTTCACACGCCCTCCCTTGCTCCTGATGACCTCCAGCAGTTTTGACGTGTGCTTGTCCAACTGCGCTAAGAACTTTGTCTCCAAGGGTACTGTTGTCACCCGCATGATCTCAGCATTAATCTGGAGAAACAATAACAGAGCACGCAGAAAGAACTTTTAAAAAGTGTATTAAATAAATTCTCCTCTGAAAAGACCTAAGTTTTTAAGGTTAAAAAAAACCATCTTTCATGAATGCTCATGAACACCATTGGCATTAACAAATATATTAAGTCCCTCTCCTCTGAAAAATAGGCTTACAGTGCCTTGCATCTGAAAACATACCTCTTCCATCTGAAAAAGTGCTGGCCATCTTGTCAACATGTCTTCAATGCTCGGCTGCTTATGCACTATTTCTTGTCTGCAGTATCCAAACGTCTTTGCCATCTTTTCTTTTATTGTATGACGGTTGTTGTTTTTCTGTAGTTTACATTTCCACATACATGGATAACTGAGGAAAAATAAAAAGGCAGAGGAAAGGACGGTTTTAGGAGAGTGATCTAATTATCACAAATACACTCATGATATTGTACTCAGAACTTACTACAATAAGATGAGGGACTTCCAAACTGGTGGTTGCACAGCAGGAACACAGTGGATCTTGTGGCAGCTCTCCTTAAATTAAGAGAAAAAAACGTTTTAATGATGGATATTCTCAATGTTACATGAACTACATCTTAATACAGTTTAAAAATGACAAAACATTATTATGCCTTCTGTTCTTTTTAAATCGGATTTACTATGCCTATGAAATAAAATACCTGACAAAATATTATTTAAGTTGCTTCACTATTACACAGGTCAGTTTAGCTTTACCAAAACGAGAAAATACAGCACAGTAAGCAATAACACGTGCTAACGCCGTATATAGTGTTAGCTAGCTAGTTAGCCACGTGCTAACGCCATGTATAGTGTTAGCTAGATAGTTAGCTACGATGCTAACGCCGTATATAGTGTTAGCTAGCTAGTTAGCCACGTGCTAACGCCATGTATAGTTTTAGCTAGGTAGTTAGCTACGCGCTAACGCCGTATATACGCTTTTCAGAATGTAAACGTCGACTGGAACACTGCCGCCATCTGCTCCCACCTCACCCGCCTCCCTCCCGAACGGCGAACCCCCTCCCCCCAGCGCCAACCCTAGCCGAACGATTAATTGCCCACAAAAGCAAACACTTAAGACACTTAAGACACTTAAGACAGACACTTTGTCTGCGGGCTAACATTTTCGCCCAGTCATCTTTAAAAATCGTAATGACTTACCTTAACGTTACCAAAATGCCGTGGGGTCTGATATTTTTCACAACGTCCTCTGCAGTGGAAGATTGAGGTGGAAATAAGTTTCCGCCAGAACTTTTTAAAAAATGCGCATGCGCGAATCACTCAATCTAATAAAAATGCTTTGATTAAAATAAAAAAAATCAGTTTGGTGCCTTGCTGTCAGTTTACATTGTAGTAAAGTAAAATATTCGATTAAACCCTAACCCATAAATAAAAAGGTTTAGTTTAATAGAGCAAAGTAATTTTTTTTATTCATTGGAATGAAAAAAAACACATTAAATGAACAACAGCTTTGTTACGCTTTTTTCAGTGTAGGTAATAGTCCTTTCACAGCAAAACCGAATGTGTAGAACACCTTAATGTTGCAGCCGCCGGCTGGTAAATAGGGAGTTTATTTACTGTTTTTTTTAAAGCTGTGGTGTGGCTAAATAGTGTATAATTTTTCACTTATTAAGTTTCAATGTTTCTGAATCTGCCAAGTTAGTAACTACAGCTGAAAATAAATGTAGTGGATTATATGGAGCTAAAAATGAAAGGAAATGCAAGAACCAACAAATTAAATTAAGTACCAATTTTTCTAAAAATACCCGGTAAAAGCCCATCAATCATATCCAAATTGCAACGATGAAAGAAAGTTAGAGGTATTGTCCAAAGATACATTGTTATAGTCTAAACAAATAACAAATATCTATAGCATTTGGAACTTCTCATACTACACTGTGCTTTTGCTATCGTGTGCACTCTGATTTAATGTGGGCTTACCTTCAGGAGCTTAAATGTGGACAGAGTTTATCCCGGACCATTTCCAGTTGAGGAAATAGTCATGTTTGTGAGGGGGTTTAAAGCACTGCGGGTTTGGCTCCGGCTTCATGTGGTCATTGGTGAATTTGGAACACATTTAGCTGCCTGTTGGATTAGCTGAGATGACTTTTCTCCAGAGGGTTTGAAGTAGAACATTTTGGTATTATTCTGCGATGGCACATTGAACCCCGTTGCCTCTTCAGTCAACGACGTCTGGTTTGCCTTCAAGAATCCAACGTTCCACATCGAGGAGACTCCCCTCGCCAACACCGTTTAATGCAACTGCGTTTTCTGTTCATCCAGTGTAATTATGACTTTCTGGCTAAGTACCTTCATCATAACCACATTCTTCCCGGACTGTTTAACATCTGTTCCAGGTTCAATTACAATTCTCCCACGGGCTTCTCTGTTTTCAGGATCAATCAGAGCCCCCATCAACCTGTCCCGGGCCAGTCTGCCCGAAACCCGACTCGACTGCGCGCATCATCTTCGCACACCTGTGAGGCATGTTATCTCCAAGCCTGGCAGGACAGCGGGCCCCTGGCCCTCGAGGGACCCCCCCTCCCCCTCCCCGGGGGCCGTGCGTGTCCATCATCAGAGCAGTTATGACAGATTCAATTAGATCGGGGATCTGGGAAGTGCAGTCGTGGCCTGTAAGAGCACTTGCCGTCTTTTATGAGAGGTGAGTCATGCTGTTCATTGTCCCCGCGTGACGCCGTTACTCCCTCAGAGGTCCTAACGACGGCTTCAAAGCCCGCGCTCAGCTCTGGTTTGGCGTTCCCCACGTGAAGCGGGACGTTGTCACGGAGCGAGAGTGCCCGAGGTTTAGTTGACGCTTTCGAGGCAGAGGGGATTGGGTGGAGACCAGTTGGACAAGTCTTCCGATCCAACGTATTCCAACAGCGGTGTCACCTGTGGCCTGAAATTTGTTTTTATCTGGGGGCCGAATGGGGTGAAATGTCTCAACCAATATTGGACAGATTTAAATTCCGTTCGCCGAGCACATTTACGTCACCCGGGGGGGGAGGAATTGTAATCACGTTGGGCATCTGCTGACTTTTCATCTGGCCGTCGGGTCAATATTTAAAGTCGTCCAATAGCTCGGTTTACGAGTTCTCGCTCAGCGAATGGCTTTTCGATAATGTGAGCGGACGCATTGGAGACGTTGAATTCGAGACTACTTTTATACCTTTTACTGCAACACGCCACATGTGACGCATCGCCGTTTAACCATCTCACAGCGACCGGCAGGTCAACGGCAGGTTTACTGCAGAGGTATCTATCCTGCTCCTGGTCAGGTCTCTTGAATAAAAACAACGTGTGCGTTGAGCATGCACACCCGGTCCATATCAATCCAGAGGTGTTTATATTAAAAAACAGGGAAATGGAAACATTCAACAGTGCACTGCCACAATATACCGTCCCTGAATAAGCGGAAGATGTTTGAAGATTAAAGCACCGGCTCTTGATGTGAAATGTATGGAGAGAAGGTTCAACATGTGAAAATGATTTACAACTTGGCTGTCTGTGTGTGTGTGTGTGTGTGTGTGTGTGTGTGTGTGTGTGTGTGGTTGTTGTGTGTAGTGTGTGTCAGAAAAGCACCATCCTCGCCGCACTTTGCGTGCGTCACGTACGCACCAGACGGAGCTGTGGTCTGGCCATTTTTAGAAAAAAGGAGAACACCAACACATACAAAGATCAGAAGGGTTGAGACAGACAAGATGTCCATATCGCATCATAAAGACGCACTCTAACGAGTCCAATCGATCGCATTTCCTTTTCGAGAGAGGCAAAAAGGCCACTGTGTATCTTTTTATATTTGCAATGAATCCCTCGAGCCAGTTCAAGGGCTGGTTACACTGCCAACATTGCCTTCCACCTGCACCTTCAAACAAAACGTTAACGCACGTCGATGAATGAAAGGGGCTGGTTAAAGCCTGGCGCTGGTGTGTCTGCAAGTAAAGAATTACAGTGCATTTAATGAATCGTTCTCATGCAGAATGAACAAGTGGGTGGCTGGGGATGAATAATAACAGAACCAATTTATTATAAGCCGAACGTAAGGGCTGTAATTCATTTAGATTAATAATGAACGGGGTCTTTAGCAAAATGAAATGAAATCATGCACGAAGACCAGGTGTGAGCCCCTTTCATTCCCCGTTCAGTGATGGACTGCTCGTAGTGCGTTAACGTTTTGTTTGAAGGTGCAGGTGGACGGCAAAGTGGGCAGTGTAACATGAAACATGCTGTAGGTTTAACAGCAAAGAAGCAGCATTTCTTAGTGTGAAAGGCTTTCGTCATTTGGATGCAAGCTTCTGTACAAACTTTGATTGTCAAAGTTAAAAAACTAGAAAAAAAACTAGCTCGAATTTTGTTGGCTAAAATGAAAACAGAAGTATGTGCTGAAATGTGTCCAAAAATGTCGTGGTGTATGTTATAAAACCCCTGTTGTAAAAGCTCATAAATCCATAACCCTAAAAAGTTTCCCAATTTGAGTTGAGCTACCATGATGAATTAAAAATGCATTTTCCCCGAATTACTCTCTCGTCGATTAAAGCTGGGGTCGCAATTTAACGCTGTGAGGCCTAAACCACAGGGAAGAGAGAAAATCCCTGAGCATTTCTTCCCTGGATTGAAGGAGACTGCGGTGCTGGAGAAAAATGCGTGGAGTCCTGGGTATGTACCGTCCTCATCTGGCGTCGCTCCTTTCCTTCAACGCAGCCTTCAGAGTGCTTCATCCTCTGGGTGTTTCCGATTAGTCGGCTATTTACCCATTATTCCCAAATAAGAGTCACTACCCAAAATATGCAACGCTCAACCATCCCAACTGTTCAGTGGCAAGTAACTCGATCCACGTTGGGCCATTTTCATTCATGCGAACAAATCCACAATGGTAGGAATCGATGGCACGCATTAAAATGTGGGCAGTAATCCTTGGAAGCTGCATGCCAGCTGAGCTCAACAAATTACTGTTCCCATGAGATGGGGAATATTTTGGGTTTTGCCGACCTGTAATTTGCCCTTTAGTTGTCTTGTGCAATTGTAATTCAAAAGATTCTTTATTTCAAACAAACCCAGGGACGAATATATATCGTCTATCTTCTAGTGTCGGGTCCGACGTGTCTTTTTTGCTTTCAGCGGTTACATGCGTCGCTTCAGAGTGGGAAGTAATTCATGCTTCGTGCCGAATACATTTTTATTTATTTTTTGTGTGAAAGAAATTCAGACAACTGGTTAAACTGCTTTGAATCAAGACTTTTGTTGAATGCTGTATACCCTTAAAATATTGACAACTTGGTCATAAAACATGACTGTCTGCCGTCGGCTGTGTGCTAATTCTTCTGGGAGCCACAATTGCACTGTTGAATGTGCAAACGGTACTTAGCAATATGTACAAAGACGGACCAGAGGTCTCACTCATTCCTCCGCCTTTCTTGCTCTTTCTTTCCTCGTCTCAATTGGTTTTCTCACATCATTACCTGTGTTTAGTGACAACCGTAAGATTACGCTGAACGTCCTGCTGGTTAAATGAAACTTAACGACTGGGCTAGTCCTGCGGACACATAATAATGTCTTTTGCAGATGGCAGAATGGGAAATCGGTTAACCTTCACGTCTGCTGCTGGGCTGGCACAGCCGAAAACGCAGCTATCAATACGACTGCTAATAAAAGTTGGCACAGATGAAGTGAGGCAAAATGTTTGCGAGGCCCACTAAAAACTAATGCCAGACATATAAAAACGGGGGGGGATGTGACCGAAATACCTACTGGAATAAGAGAGGGCAAAATGCATGGAAAGAGCCCCAGCAACGGGTGTGTGCATGCAAACTTGTTTGAAAACACGCACAAGCATGCTTACCCCAGCAAACACGGAGGTTTCCACAGGCAAAGCTCAATTTTAATAGCTCTGATTGACTCGTTTTGCTTTGATCATTAAACGCAAGCACTGGTCAGGCATATTTCCATGCATTGTTAAAAACAGAAACATTGACATCTCAGTGTATTATTCACATCTTGTCAAGTGGTCGGTTACATTTTTTTTGCTCGTTCCAGCAGAGCAGATGTTTTTTCCTCCTCTTTTTTTCCTTCTATGCAGGAAAAGTGTACAATGAAAGGGAGAAGCTCTGCTGCTAATTCTGAGCCCAGAGGAAGGAGGTTCCTGAGTGAGCTGCTATCTTTTATAATTGAAGGCCGCGGCAGCACGGCCCCCTCAGACTGCACATGTGGTCTCGCTGGGTGGAAGTGGCGAGTGGGAGAGAGGAAGCCAGGGAAGAGGGAGAGATTTCTATCTTGGAGCGAACAGCACGAGATGGACGGACCGCGTGAGGCGCTTTGGCCTTGCAGCGCTAAGCACTTATAGGGTTAGCGGGGAAGAACTGCCCGAGCACCGAGTTACTGTTGCTGTGCATGTCAAACTTCCAGCTCCAGAATGCGCCTGGAGAGTTCTGCAGGGACGATGGCCCTGCAGAACTCTCAAAACACAAACCGAGGGATTTATCATCGCACCGGTTCCCTGAAAACATGCTGGTTGTTTTTGCTAAGCTATGTTTAAAGGAACGGTTTATCGGTGGCTTATTTAACAAAAAGAGGATAGGAATAGACATAGGTCTGAGCTAACATTGCATGTATTAGATTCTGATTACTTGTTGAGAGAAGCAATTGTTTTACAAACATCCTCCGTGTGCTTGGCTAAATTAAGAAATAAATGAAGGATCGGCCATCGTGCCCTACAGCTTACAGACACAAAGGATCATATCAGAACAAAAGTTTCTCACACTGTGCATCGTGTACTTTAATGATGGAGTTTAAATGCTTTCAAAGTAATGCCAGATTAAAACAGTTATTTATTTTAAGTGAGTAACAGCCAATACAGTTGATACCGTCCAAGGCAATTAGGCGTGTGTTTCTTTGAGAGGAGAAATTTCTACCAATGAGTACAAAGATTTGTGAGAGTGGTTTATGATCATTGTAACGTTTACAGATGAGGGATCATTGGCATCAACTACCATGTGCAGAGAAATGCCCCGTAACATTGAACCAACATGTTCATTTCAAATGACATTTAGAAACATTAAATGTAATGCATGTAATATAAATGCAGTCAAAGTAACACTGCTTGTAGCAGCCGCAGTATGATCATTAAGACATAGTGGTTTATCATGTATGACATTTTCTCCATGGCCTGTCAATTAAAACATACTCAGTCTTAAAACATGTCTTGCCTTGTCGTGTAATAAATACATTTCTTTCATAAAAGAAATTTGTAACTGTTGTATTTCAAGTCAACAGAAAATATAAATATCAGCTTATTTCATAAAGGGAAGTAAAAAATGATATTCAAAAGAAATGATTGTATTTTTCCTTTTGGTACGTTCTATACTTCTGCATAACATTAACACACGAGTCAGAAAATGGTTTAATAACTAAGCCATTAACCTTGTGTGTGACTTGCATGTCGCCTTCAATCCCCCAGCAAACAGTCGACCTGCTGTGTGTCACGTTCGACTCCGTTGTTGCAGAATTCGGCTGGTGGACTTTGTCTTGCTCTCCCTGAGACGGCAGTTCTGTGGAGCATTAAACAGCCAGGTTTGGCTTTCATTGACGGGGATCAGTCCCAGCCAAAGTCTTGTCCACTCATCTGGTAGAAACGGTGGTTGAAGGGCCTGTAGAAGTCTCTGAGAGTCTGCAGGACCTCGGAGGGGATTTCGGGATGAGGTCTGCCCTTAGACTTTCCAAGGCAGCGAGGTCTGCTGCTGCCCTCGGGCTTCTTCAAGCACGGAAAACCTTTGGTCTGGTTGAAGTAGAAGTGTTTTTCTGAAACGACCCTTTTCAGTCCCAGGAAGTCCTGAACTCGGCCCATCTCCCCAGCCGGATCAGACACCAGCCGCTCGCCGCTAACAAACAGAAAATGGGACAATGGGAAGTGCCGAAGCCAGTTCTCCAGATGTTTGGCGTAGAGGCCGATGCGCACAGCGCTCCACGTGGTGTCAATTAGACCCGTGGTGGTGTTTTTTAAAGCCAGGCTCTGGAAGGATGGAAGGCCTGGGTTTTTGGACAGCGTCTGGGTGTAGTCAGATACGGCCCGCGTCACAGGATCCCTGACCACCACAATGAGCTTGGCTTGGCAGTTCATGGAGCAGACACGGCTAGGAGCCTCCTTCGTGACAAAGTAGCTAGGAGTTTTCTCCATGGTGATCTGGCCGTCCAGAGTCCGAGGCATCAGGCTCCTAAATCAGAAAGACAAAATGGTCAAAAACGTGATCAGGCACTCGAAACAATAGCGGACAGATCTGCCATTTAAAGCTCACATACTGTATATGGCTATGAGTGACTTCTCATTACACAATGACGTTTGGCAATTCGTTAACATGAACATATATTAATGCAGCTTTAAGAAGACAAGTGTTGATTGCATTGGTGGTTTATAGTTGGTGAACTTGCACCAGAAGGACCAACCAATATAATCACATGTGGGGTACAAAGAGACTTTGGTGAAAGGAACATCAAGCTGTAACGTGCACACGTTGTGTACGCTAAACATTCAAGCACATGAAACTCTGTGTGATTAAAGGGCCGTACACTGTAGTGTGTTTATGTACCGGGCCCCCAGACGGGGCCCCAGACGGCCCATTTGAGCCTTCGGTGTAAGGCCTGCACACCAGGACCATCTACTCACTATGGGTCCGATGAGACAAAACCACAAAGCCTCAAGAACCACTTAACAGCAATTTCCTACAGATTTCCACCCCCCTCCTTTCTTCCTGCAAGAGCAAAGTGTCTCCCTCTCTGCCTCCCTCCCTCTCTCCTTCACTCCCTCCCTTTAGGGTTCCTAGAAGGACCCAAACAGACCAGAGTCAGGAAGTGCAACCAGAAGGGCGAGCTGCTGAGCTCAGCTAGTGTGTTAAACACATGTCTGAAATGAGGGGAGATGTTGTGAATAACATAGAAGTATAAAGGTTGAATGATATGCTACTATTCTGCATTGATACATTTTGCATAGTCATACCATTTATATCCATATAACCCAAATCAATAATCGACTGATATATATTTTGACTTTGTTTTAGCGTATGTTTGTTTTCCTCTCTATATGCAACTGCCACCTCATACACCTTTCAGTACTATCTGGCAAACAGGCATTAATGGGTAAAATGGTATTTGATAGATCTTGACTTTGACGTGTGTGAGGCAACATTTTGGTAGATTTGGATTTCACAGACCAATCGTTGTTTTCATTTGAGATGAATTCGATAGAAATGAGTTGGCCTGACTCAATTTAATCATATTACATGAGTGTTCTTGGTATGCGTTAGATTTACACATATGTATTGGATTGAAATCCTGCCCACAACGTAATTGAGTTCATCCAATGACTTTTGGCAGTCGTTCTATTGAGATTCTCGTGGTCAACGCTGAATGAAAGTAATAGACTTGCTGATGTTATTGATCTTAGACTACATTTATTTATTTATATTTTCTTTATCATCCATCTGAGACACGTAGAAATAGGTAACGCTTTAAAGTGTGATTAAAACAAGCATGATGAAATAACAGTTAGTGGTGAACTGCTGCACAAGTCGACAAGCAGCAGCATGCTCAGTCACCACAAGCCCATTGGTTGAACCCGCAGAGCTTTACTTTCAATTGTAAAGGTCATAACGGAACAGTTTTACATGTTTGACGTATATTCACTTCCTGGACGAGGGAGTTTGATGCTAGAGAATAGCTTTGATGTGAAGGTTTGATACCACGTGTCTGTAGCTTCGGCGGACATCCTCCAGCAGTAGGTAACAAAATCCACCTCCGTCACCTCTGAGGCTGACTAATTAAGACCTTGTATCTGTACAAAAACAAAAGTATAAACGACACATGTTGTGGTATTTTGCTTGGATTGTCTGTCAGACTTCTCTTGGCCCAGTTCTGCTACTTCCTGAGCCCCGTAAAAAGAAGAAGAAAATAACACATGTTGTTCTTACTGTTTGGGTTTTGTAAGGATTCAACAAAACAAAATAGAGCTTTAGAGGAGCTGGTAGGAGCCGACCTTTAATGCTATGTTGTTTCCCCGTGTTTCCAGTCTGTGTGCTAGGCTAAGCTAACTAAGTGCTGGCTAGCATCGATATTGATCTTCTAGCCTTTGACCATTGATCCTATTTCCCTATATTTCAAGCTTGTTATTTAAAATCTGCACAAGGAGATTGTGTAGACGTGATATTGTCCCACGTGGGATATAAACGAGCTGAGAGGAGACAAAAGGTAGAACTTCATGTTAATAATTTGTGTGCTGTGACTCTCTGTAATTCTTTCATCATGAAAAGGTATTTGTTGTCACGCTCACGACCATGAGTGTGAAGGAGAAAAATCTGTCTTGTTTCTGTGTATAAGTTTTGAGTTTCCACCTTTACTTAAAACTAAGCCGTTTCAATGCAGCCCATTAAATGATCCCCCTTCATAAAAGACCATTAATTGATTATTATCCAACTACAAGTGCTGCAAATGGCCCATTGCTGCCTGTCTGTCCCCTGTTTATCGGTGTCTAATCAATATGTCTGTCTCTATGACAGATAGTTCACTGTGATGTGTGTGTGTGTGTGTGTGTGTGTGTGTCTCTGGTGCAGACATACTCATGTGAGTGCGGAGGTGTCAACGTGTACTGATGAGAAACTGAGCGCACGTCTCCCTCTCTGTCCTCTCCGCTTTCCCCTGCGCTCTTCTCCATTTGTCCTTCGCTCCTTCACAAGTGTCACTTCAGTAATGGACCACAAGTTCTCTTTCCACACTCATGAATACTGAATGAATGTACCCGGGTCCCTGCGTCCCCTGTCACAATCTGTCTCATTATCAAGAGAATCAATAAAAGCCTTTTTTTTTTCGATCCTCAATCTGCGCCTGTACGTGGTGGAGGGGAAAACTTTAAAACAGACCAGGGATGACTCACTTTCTCACATGGCTTAATGTTTGACATGTAAGACGAACTCTTTTGACTCAGCCTTTAAGTAACCGACGGGCAGAAAGAGTCTTTTTGAGGACGAAGATGTTTTCTATTTGGCTCGGTGGCGGTAAGCTTTGCTGACTAGCCACATTAGACTGGAACTCCCTGCTGCTTAAAGGATGTAGCACTTTTCCTCCCCGAAGTGCCACGCCACTGATTACAACTGCTGATATGTTCTCGGCAGTCTGGATCAGAAGATTAAATACTAACCCTGGCAACGGGGATGTGGCCAGGAGACTTCCTGGCCCCCCGAGATTGTGGGTTCTCTCCCGCCGAATATCTGCTGCAGGGCCCTAACGAACGGCATTCTTCACAGACAGCAGAGCTGATTGCAGACAACAAAAAGATCCCCGAAAAAATTACAATTATCATGTCATCTTCAAAAAAACAAGATCTGATCTAAATTTCAATGGGTTGTTATTTTTGTTTACTGGATCATCTGTGCGCTCCATTGTCTTACTGAAGGAGAAATCTCAGCGTCCAGAAGCTTTTATAATTTTCTTTTTTTTTTTAAGCCACGGAATTAACGAGGCTGCGGAAAATCAAGAGGGTAAATACGTGGAGCGCAAACAACAGACTAGAGGAAAACATTTCCCAGCAGTGGTGCTCAGAGGGTGACAGAAGAAGCCTCGGGGCCACGGACGCCCGTCTGGCTGACAGGATGAGAGTGTGGGAACGTCGGCTTACGCCTTCGTTCCTGGAGGAAACATATGTGACTATTTTCCTCTGACCAGAAAAATAAAGAATAAACAAGGAGTAAATAGAGCATTTTATAAGAAAAGTTTGACATTTCGATTACGCTTATTTGTTTTCTTCCTTGGAGTCAGATGAGAGGATTGATAGCAAATCTCGAATGTAGTATCAACCCTCTCATCTAACCCTTCGTGGGAAGCGTATAATTGTATTTTCCAAAATGCCAAACCACTGCTTTAAGTGTGCGACCTGTGTGCGCTGCAGTGTCAAACGGATACTGAGATCCTGCACACAGACACGAGAGGATGAGAGGAGGTGCTGTTCGTTCACTCAGAAACCTGGCACAAGTCACGAGGCCTGATGGTTTAGTGGATGCTCGAAGTTGGAAAGAAACACAAATGAACATGTGTAAAAACCAAATAACAGCCCGAGGACAGTCTCGACACTGTGCGGCATAATAAACAATATTTCACAACAGCGAGTGACAAAGTGTGCATAAGAGCTGAAGAAATACTCAACATAAACACTTAAAAACCTGGAGGTGGATTTCCGTCACTTTTGCAGACATCCATCAGCTCCGTCCGTAGGCAGAGGGAGGAAGTGGTCCCTCCGGGGAACCACATGACTGGCAGCGAGACTGTTGCCACCCACAGATTTTAAATACGTCGTTATCAGACGATTTTATGGAGGGAGGAGGAGGCTTTCTCAGCGGGAGGTTTTGCTGAAGTGCCAATCTCCCACGGAGTACAGTGTTTTACATTTTTCATCTTTGGTGATTTACTGCAGGATGCCGTCGCAGTGGGTTTGAATGTGTGTGTGGGTGGTTCGTTGGTTGGGTAGGAGGTGAGATCAAGCACATGTGTGTGTGTGTGGGGGGTTTCTATAGAGAAATGAAATACCTTTTGTTGGTCAATGGATAATTAGTGACTACATGGCACACGAGCGTCCAATAAGAGACTGAGCAGGATGTCAGGATGTCAGCGATTATTTTCTGGGGAAATCAGTAATGGTTTCAGCATTTGGCTCATGAAAGTATCGCAGAGATGTTTTAAAAGGTTGAGCTGCTGATTAGAGATGAGATTTGTCTGGACATTTTCAGTGTCAATATAAAAACAACCCTTTTTTTGTATTGTTTTCAAATGGAATTAAAAGCTTTTTCTTCAAGACCCTTTTCCCGATTTAATAAAACAAATCAGTCCGCCTCTCAACAAATTGGATTGTCGTGAAAATGCAGTAAATCATAACAATCGGCGCCTTAAAGTTTAATCTATCCATGTCTTGAATCTGACTATAAACTTTTAGTTTTTAAGACTTGCATGCAAGGGACATAATTCATGCCTAAGAAGTATTAATGCCTCACATTATGTTTGCAGCTGTCTTGGTCATTTATTACAGTTCTGAGACTCTGAGAATTGCTCTTTAGATGTGAATCCATTCAAACTATGTCATTTTGGATTATGTGTCGTAACAATAAATTGTGTTTTGATTTCCCTGGAGTACCATCATTGCATGCTCATGCAAGTGTATTTTATATTAGTTACTCAAATCCCCGCAACTGTTCATCACTACCACGCATCTGAAACATTTGAAGTATTTTCTCCACCAGCAAACTGCAGCACGGAACTAAAACAACACAGCGGAAAGATTTTAGAGGCGGCTCGAAATGCGCCACAATGCGCCTCGGATTACCGTAATTCCCACCATATGGGGTGTGGGCCTATTCAAACCGTATAACGCCATCTAGACCCGACTCCAGCCAAAACGCAGCGCCATTAAAACACAATACAACTCAACACTGCAGAGACCACTTCTCGGTCTGTTACACCAATCAGTCGTGTTCGGCTTCCATCACTTAGAGCCTCGGGCCTGCACACAAGAACGAGGTGTCGGGAAAATCACTCCCGCTCTGGAAAACGCTGCCCCATGCGCATTATAGGCCACATTTACCATTTCAAGTGTCAAGTACCTAGACTGACGTGGTCAGTGTTTGAGTCGGACCTCCTAGAATATCAGAAATGATGAATCAATGAAGGCATAAGAACGCATGTAACCTAGTGAGGTAAAACAATACATTGTATGACATCTTTACGTTAATTACTCAATTCAATTAGAGAAAAGGTAAGAAGGGGAAGAAGATTTCTCCTCTGATAGAATTGACTTAACTAACGTGATGTATATTGAGTCAATATAAATGACCCATGTTAAGACCGACATAATTCACCTCTTCATATCCTTTTTTTTTACAAAAGTCTGTGTATTTCTAAGGACATAAGTCATTTTGATCAGTGCTGTCATTTTTGCTTTTCCCTGGTGCTGCCCATGAAGGATTACATTTATACTGCATGGCCTTTGGTGTCAAGACTGTAGGTCAGCCAATTGACAAGCTTTCAAAATATCGATGGGACTTCTGGGCTGGTGTTTTTTTTCAAATGGAAATGCATAAATACATCATTCCACTAATTAAATATATGGAAAATAGTTATCTGTGTTGTTCGACGATTTCGATCCAAGTGCGCTTTGTTTTTGAATAGCAACTTGTTCTGCTGCAAGACAACAACAAGTCATCATTAAGGAACTGAGGATGCTCCAAAAAAATAGAAAATACAGAGTTTCTCATCCCAGCTCACATCATGGAGACAAAGCCGTGAGAATCACAACCAGTGTCCCATGAAATGCTGAGGGTTTGTCCGTTCGCTGCGGTGGCTCTCAAGTCCCATATGAAACCCATCACTCCACGAGGGCCGCTTAAAGCCATAAAACAACACAGAAATTCATCAAATCTCTGCTTGATTATGAATGCACTATTTCTGGGCTTTTCCATCGCTGCCACGGGCTCATTTGCACACATGCAAAAGGGGAGCGGATGGAGAGAAGGGCCGACTGGAACCAGGGAGAGATCAGTCAAGATTGAAGCAATGGAAAACACACTGCAACAACGTCTGAGTTTGCCTCAAAGAAGACAAGGATGTTGGAGCAACATCCACGAGAGGGCATTGCTTGGTCTGTGAAGTGTCTCCAGCGTGGAGATCGCCAATATCTGACAGCAACTTATGGCCATGCACGGCTCTCGCCCATCTGCTAAAGTCGTCTACGTTTTCTGCTTATTTCTCCGTCCAAGACCTGCAGGCTTCAGGCCACACAACGCACAAGTTGTTGTCAGACATGGTAATGTGAAATAATGGGTCTTTGGGAAAGGTTATGGGTCTTTGGTACTTATATCACACATCAACAACATTTTAACCAGCTTTCTGATTTTAATGCATTTGAACACGTTGTTTTAAAAGATTATGGCTGAAGTCAAAAGTGTGCAAAGCGGACTGTCGATAAAGTAATACGAAAATGTAAGTTAATTGGTACGATACTTATTACTTATAAACTATACTTAGATTAAATTAACGATCCAGTGGGGTATTTGTGGGCATTTGCATCGTTGGTTATTACCCTGTTGACCTCGAGGCCGCAGATGAAGCAAGGAACTTCAACAAGATAAAATGTCAAAGCGCGGGGTTTCCTTTCAGAACCTGTCAGATGAGAAAAGGTGTGGGTGTGTGTGTGCGCGTGAAAGTGCTACTTTCCAGACGTGACTGTGAGTTGACCCACTGTGCACCGACAGTCAGTTGACGAGGACTTGCTTGTTCCACATGGATGCGCTCTTGCTGTCACTGACACACACACACACACACACAGACACACACAAACACACAGACACACACAAACACACACAGACACACACAGACACACACAAACACACACAGACACGGAGCCGAGCTCCGCAACTTCCAGCCGCTTCACTGTGGATCATTGCAGATGACAGCAAACAGTTTCCCCGCAAATTTCTGAGATTCCGTGACAACGAGAGAATCGCCTTTCAGTGATTTTACTCACGTTGCCGCCATTGTTGTTTTAAACCCTCCAGCTGACTTCTATCCAAAACTTGCTCTATAAAAATTACTAGTATGTTAGACGGTCAATTGAATTGTTGTTTGTCTTGTGTAACGTCTAAGATGTTTGAAGTTTGCCATCACTACTGAGTTGGATATATTGCAATTTCCTCTTCTATTTTGCTTATGGGAATGTATGTCTCATCTGAACTAAAACTATTTATTAATTAATAATTAGGTTGGTCCATTAACAGAAAACATACATGTTTTTTTGGGGGGGGGGGGGGGGGGGTTATGGTCTCAATTAAACAAAACCAGATATTCAAAAAGCACATTTTTAGTTCAGCCTTCATTATGAATGATTAAAATTTCAAGGACCATGCTGGTGACCCTGCCGTGTTACAGCACCAACCAAACAGCTGTGCTAAAGCATAAGAGCTTTACTGCACCAGTCGAGCTAATTAAAACACACAGAAACACACATAAAACCTGCTCTGGAAACACCAGGTCTGCCACAGGTATTTCCAAATAAAGACATCCTCTCCACTAACAGGAGAGTTAAGAGGAGTGAAGCGATGATGGAGTCAAAGAAAGCGGGGAGAGGGCGGGCGAAGCGGGGAGAAAAGGACAGATTAGAGCAGAGGAGAGACGTGTGAATGAGGAGCAATGAATAGAATAAATTTCCAACCTGCGTGCTTGTGCGTGGCTGTTTGTGTGCCCTTACAAGAGAGAGGAAGCTAAGGAGCATGCTGAAATTATCTGTGGGTTTAAGTGTTTCCATGTGTCTTCATGTCCTCATTTAAAACATAGCTAGGGGGGATAAAAGGCCAAGACAAGATTAAATTACAGAGTTTCATGCACCTTCATGCTATCAAAGTGCTTGTTTGTCTTCATCCTGTCAAACCTGAGCTCTCTCCTTATAGCATCTTTAATGCCGCACAGGACAAAAACAGCAGGTCAATAACAATATTCAGACACTGGTAAGTGTTTGAAATTAACCGGGACAACCGGGAGCTTGTAAAACATCTGGAGATGATCGGAATCAGCTTCATTCTGCTCTGCACAGCTCTGGTCTCCCCAAATCAGCTGCTGTAACGGCAACATCCGGCAATGAACATTTTATGTACAGCATCACTGTGGCACGCAACCGAGACAAATATACTTGGCCTGCATCCTTTACGAGAGGAAACCTTATTAGAGAAATCACCGAGCTGTTTGCATGACTCCTACTCTCAATAGGGTGGAAGTGTTGATACTGGATGTCACCGTGAAGGCTATGAAATGGTGTTTGGATGTCAAGATGATGAACTGTTCCCCAGAGAACCTTCCAGCCTTTTGATTTACGCTGCCAGCGGGGGAGAATATTGGCTTCATGGTGAACCTCGGCCAACCATGCGAGGTTATTGACAGGAGAGTTCAGCACTCACCTGACCCTTTCACCCCGACACATACATCATATCTGTCCGTCCTGTCATCTTCGGAACCAATAGCCCATCTTTAATGTTCAATAACAGAGTAATTCTTTTGATTTACAATATCAAAGTCTGGTGTGAAAAAAAGAATAAAGAAGAAATGAACTGACTTTCAGCTATTAGTTCACTGCCAAAGTTGAGCCAGAGGACGCGCATGTGAGTTGCCTACCTGTACCACTCCAGTCCTTTATCATAGAACCGGTCGAAGAAGTGAGGCTCGGCACCGACCGCCCTCACGTCTGGGTGGATGCGGAGGAACTCCAGCAGGGCGCGCGTTCCGCCCTTCTTCACGCCGACTATAAGCGCCTGCGGGAACCTCTTTGTCCCGAAAGAGTTGGACACGGGGATGCCGTTGCTCTCGGCGCTCTTCTTTGCGCCGTCCGCCGCGTGGAGAGGAAGCTGCCGTGCCGGCGCGTCCACCTGCGCTGCGTCCGCGGAGTCTGTGCGGTTCCGGAGACGCGGCGCGTCCGGCAGGAGACGCGGCGAGGGGCGCAGGTCGTCCGCAGTGTCATAGTAGGAACCCTGGTGGCTGTATAAAGTTCTCGGAGCCGAATCGCACAATCCGGTTAGGCAGTAGAAGACGTAGGTGAAGATCAGGACCATGGTAAAAAACACCGAGACCTTGGAGAGCACCTTCCCGAAGTTGAACCTGACTCTGCATCCGCTACATCCCATGAGTTGATCTCCTGCTCGGTGCCAAAGGGACAGAACGGGGACAGCATGCTTCTTCTCACTTCATTGATCGGGGTCTACGGTTACACGTATCTCCCAGAACCTGTTGCGCAAAAGCGAGGCTTCACGTGGAGACTGAGGAGCTTCAATGGGATGATGGTTGTGTCAAGAAATATCTTCATAATCTTTGTCACTTTTGTGAGAAAAGACGGAAAGGAATTCTCGTCAGTGAAGGAAGTTCTAGTCATTTAACGTGACTCGTTCGCAGCCAGAGGAGGTTTCCAGGCTGCTGCGTCTGCGCGCTCTGAGGTCTCCAGATTTCTCATTCAAGGTTTCTGCGCTGCCTTTCCTACGCCCTTTTTTACACGCCTCCACCCCTCCCTCCCGCAGCTATAGATAAACATGCCTCATGGGGACCTAAACTTCTAGAGGTTCATATGGCTTAACATGCGCCATCCACATGAATCCTCTCATTGGAACAAGTTGTTGCCCTATAAAAAAACTATTTCCGAAATCTTATGGCATTTTATGAGATGAAAAATATACCTTGAGTGCTTTATTATGAGCAACAGGCGCATGAGTGCTTTAGGTGCACCCGAAGAGTGAAATCCTCCTTGCCCCTTCTCTGTGAATAAGGGAAGGATGTCCCACACAGTATCCGAGGCCGAGTGTGGCACCTCAGGGGCTTCACCGGAAAGATCAGCACCGGGATGCTGTCCCGACTCTATGAAGCAGGTATAGAGTTTCTTCTGGCAGGCAGATGGAGGCTGAACCTGAGATGGAGTTCACACTTTGAACCTGTCCAACACAGCGAGCGGCTGTTTGAATGGATGAAGGCGATGGAAAGAGAGTGAGTAGGTAGAAGGGGAACTTAGGTAGATAATCTGTCTGAGAAAAATGCGCGCACACACACACACACACACACACACACACACACACACACACACACACACTGACACACGCAGCCCTGGGGCAGAGGTTTCAGACAGTTGAGTTGAGAGTTGGTTTGGCAAACGTACAGTGTTTGCTGATTGAAGATTTTGAAGTTATCTATTATTATTTTTTTGTCTTCATTTATATCCTTGGAGATTTAAGAAAATTGATGAAGCTGCCGCCAGCAGGCAGCTAACTAAGCTTTCACTACAATGAGAAAAGACACCCGGGGAAACCGCTAGTCGGGCTCCGGCAAAAGGTACAACAAAAGATTCCTATAGCTCCTCTAAAGCTCACTTGTTAACACTTTTTTGCCCAAGTGTAAACTTGAAGGATCAGCTTTTCATGTGCTGTAAAATTACTTGGCAGACAGCAAAAACTCCAGGAAGTAAATGTTCTCCAAAATTCAAAATAGAGGATGCACTTCATATGTTTTTATATGAAGGGTTCATTGTAAAAAACATTTCTTAGTTTTTTTTTATTCTCCTCATACAATATAATTTCACTTTGTGCCAATACGTCGCCCTAAACCCTACACACTGTTTCTTTTAGGGACCATGAACTCTTCAAAGTTAAGCATTTTAAAGCCGGTGATTGAAATGTTGGCCTTCAAAGCTGTAAAACCAGTTTGGAAAAGAAAAGTGCTCAAACAAAGGTTCTCTGCGGACTCTGACATGCAGGCATATATAGAATAATGATATGTTTTGAAGCGCAAACAGCCATTGTAAATCCATCCGAAGCGAGGCCAGCCGTGGGCCTGAGGAATTCACAGCTCTGGAAGTGACTGTCTGCTGGCTGCAGGCAGATCCAGTCAGAATGGGGTCATGATCCAAACTGCTTTCATCAGACATTGTATTTGCTTTTCCCACTTTGGAGTTACACTGACAGATTTGGACCCAGAAATATAAACAGCAAGATTAAAGAAACAAACAGGCGGCTGCGGCGCTTAGGAAATAAATACGACACACGCAGTTGTGGACTGTGCCTGTGTGCATATGGGGTGAGGTTGTGTAATAAGTCTTGCAGCTGATGTGGTTGTGTGTGTGTATCCCTCTGCATCTTTGATATGCGCTCACATTCACATGTAGGTGTTTATGCATGTGTGTGTGTGTGTGTGTGCGTGCTGTCCAGACTGCACCTCCAATTGTGTTGCCTTCAGCCGTGTGCTGCTGCATCCCTGTGTGTACCATTGCTACAGATGTCCGTAGCCCGAGGCCCGCTGATGTACATGTACATGTGTCATCCATTACAGCAAATTAGAAATCTTCCTCAGAGTGTTCCACTCTCATTTCCAGTATGAGGAAGAGGCGGTCGGCCATTTCTATTAGCCACAAAATACTCGGCTGAGTTGCTCTAAAGCCCTCATGACAGATCTTTGAAAACCCCGCCCAGGAGATACTCATTTAGCGGTACAAAGGTATGGCTGTAGTTTCCCCACAAATGGAACCTTTTATTCTGTCTGGAATGAGATTTAATGAAGTCCAGATTGAGGTTGATGTTGGCTCTTTTGGAGGACAGATGACATTCCTACTGTTGGATCTACCGTTCCTATGCGTGGATGTGGTTATTTTCCCCAAAACAATCCGGTTTAATGCTCACGTCGGCGTATGAAGTTCAGCTTTGAAGTAAAGGATGTCACACTCGCTCCCCGCTCTGTGTTGGATGCTCAAAGGCCGAGCCCTCAGGTAGGAGGTTCACTCAATACAAAGCCAAGTACAAAGTGTCTGTGATGCCACACCTTCTCCCGGAGCCTTCCCAAACTTTCATCTGCACAGCAAGTCAGTTGCTGATGAATGGACGACGAGACGGAGGACTAAACAAAACAAAAAAAAAAACGACAACACTCTGATCCCACCATTCACACACTATGTTCTCCCCCAACATCTTCCTCTTCTCCTCCCACCATTCATCCCTCGAATCCCACCACCTCCACCCAGGCGCATTGATCTTTTTGGCCTCCGGGAGGACTTTCAGATTCCCAGACGTGCCCTGCAGCTTCATGGAGACATCACTGAAAGGGAGATACTAAAGATCTGGGAGGAGGGATGTTTGGAGCTTACGCAACGACTTTCGACGGCCTTGAAAGCTCTAATCAATGTTGGACTCGCACAACGCCTCGAGTTCAACGTGGGAGTAATTTGTAGCGGAGGAAGAGCTTTCTGCGATTCATTCCATCTTCATGAGGCTTTGATTTAGGCAGCATCCAAAAGCAGGAGGTTCAATCATGCAATTGATGATGCACCTATAGAGACACAAGTCCACCGATATTTTTGAAATAAACAAAAATGAACGCGAGCCCTCCTCAACCGGTAAAAACCAGCTGCGCTCAACAATTTTCAATGTGTCTTTCATCTTGGCAATAAAAACCCAAATACCTTTCCGGAGAGCAGGTCTGCGCAAGAGCCTCGTGTTTTTTTTTTAACTGATATTTACCTCTTCTTTGCTTAATTGTAGCAGTGGAACCGGGAGAGTGAGGATCTAAAGGGAATTCCACCAAGCGACAATCATGTCATCGCACAAGCCACAGACCGTTTTGGGAAATGCCTTCGTCTGTCGTCCGCAGCTCTGCGGCGAGCAGTGGGATGGCGGTCGGCTCCTCAGTGACGGTGGGTGTGTTGGGGAGGGGTGGAGACGCTGAAGGGGGGGGGGGGTGAGAGGAAACCCGTGATGGGGTTGTGTGCGTTTTGTGTCTTCCTTGCGACGGAAGGCCAGTGTGAGCGAGAGCGGTAAGAGGAGCGGGAGAGAGGTTGAGAAAAGAGACAACTGTGATGAGTTCGCTGTATACAGTTTCATGCCTCCGAGCCCACTTCGGCGGGGTTGTTTGGTGGGTGGGGGGGGGGGCGTTTACCGAGACTTGTGTCTGACAGAGCCACCAAGGTGAAACATCGAAGAGCGCCTGACTGTAGATGTGAAGTCTGTATGTATGCGTGCAGAGGCCTTTTTCTCCCTGGGGGCTGTCATGTGCATGCTGCAGTGCGCCTGTGGGGGCCTATTGTTCCAGTCTGCTTGCACATGTTCCACTTGTGGTACCCAGTCCCAGACTGGTACTCACTGAAATGCTTGCGGGCTGCTCCGTCGTCGTCCTCCTCCTCCGCGTTTGATTACCGTGACGTCAGCTCCACACCACAGCACTGCCTTCTGCGTGCCGCTGTCACCATCTATTCCCAACTCTCTCTCCATCTTTGCACTCCGCTGATACGGACGGTTGGATGGAACACTGTGCTACTGTTACCGGGCCGCCCGAATGGAAGCACTCATTTTATTAGTATTATTATGTTCTCATTAGTTAACTGGGAGCTTGTGCGTTCATTTAAGTAAACAAGTTGAAACAGGAGGATGTGTGTAAATAGAAAAACACTCATCCGATGGGTGTCAACTCACTGTAATTGCTGGTGTAAAACTCCAGCAGGTTGTCTCTCCGCTCTCTGGAGTTTCCCATGTTTTTCAAATTCCAACTTGTCACATTGACTGTGAGAGAGGAGAGCTGTCATCCTAGAATAATTTGAAGAAGAAAAAAACAGCTCTGTCCTTGGCTTAATTTTGATGACTCAAAAGTCTGCTTAAAAGAGTATCACCTGTCCTGTGAGATCCTGCAGGCCAGTGTGTGTGTGTGTGTGTGTGTGTGTGTGTGTGTGTGTGTGTGTGTGTGTGTGTGTGTCAAACCGTTTCGTGCTGCAGAAACCGGAGATGGGCTTCTACCCTGTGGGGCCGGTCTGTATTTCACAGGAATGCAAAATCAAGTGAGACTCAAACCATCAGTGAAGGTGCTGAAGGTTGTTTTGGCCAAAGGGGACAGGAGCGTATAGCAAATATGTGACCCACCAGGAAGAAAACGTCCCCGGTGAGAGATAGATGAACTTTAAAATTGGATATTTCACTTTAGGGATTGATGTTTTTCAGTTTCATTAATTTACATTTGGTTCAAAAAATCTTTTGTACAATGATCCCGTTGATTGCACTGTTCATTATCTGCACCACCACAACCTCACTGTCGTACGGCTAATAATCACCTTGGCGAGTGTGTGAGTGTTATTCCTGTGAGAATGTATTCTGAGTCTTTGGCCTCTTTTGTTTTCACCCCTTAACCGACACACACACACACACACACACACACACACACACACACACACACACACACACACACACACACACACACAAGTACGTCACGCACGCTCTTACACAAATCTTCCTCTCCTTCCTGTAGCTCTCATCTGGTCTCACTTTGGGTTTTGAGGTCTGTGTTTTTAAAGGACACAACAGAGCTGCAGGTCCAAATGAGAGCAGCAAGGCTTTTCCAAAATACAGTCAACATTCATTTGGATTCGGTCTTGACCAAGCGATCACTCACTTCCTGAGATATGGAGGAAATTACAGGAGTCGGGATCTGTCT